CTCAACGTCATCCCTAAATGGGAGGCCTGACTACTGTATTCCCGCCGAACTGGGGCCTCTTTTTTTGCGTCCCCTCCTCCTCCTCCTCCTCTTGCCACCATCTCTCTTGCTGTTTAATAGAGCCATGCTTCACTCAGAAGGCCACGTCATCCTTGTTAGGAGGCAGACGCTGATGGCGCCACCTGCCATTCGCCACCATCCACGTCAGGGAGCACGGGCCACTCATCACCTCACTGCTTTACATGGTAATGGAAGGCTGCAGAATTGATGATGAAGCAGTTATGCCCTTGGATTCATGACCTGGGGTTAACATTGAGTTATTCACACATGGAAAACCTGCACAGTGTGCTATGTGCCTTTTTGTTTATAGACCAACGTCAACTGGCGGTTGACAGCTTGGTTTGGTGTCAGAACTTCTTTTGTGCGTAAAAGGTAAAGTAATTGGTCTGAGGCAGAGGGTATTGTGGCTTCCTTGAAAAGGAGCTCTGCGCTCATGATGCCGGTGATGACATGATTCCGACACGTACAAAGAGGAACGGCGGGAGGAAATGAAACACTTAGAACATGCTTTTGACTGGTTGCCAGGATGTGCAGCCAGCGCATTCTTGAGAGTGTTCATCTGCGACTTCTCCCCTCAACCATTGTGAACTCTCTGCCTTGAAATGGTTCATTCCACTGATGTAGGCCCAACCCTAATCCCCCTACATCTACTGATGAATCCAAGCCACACACACACACACACACACACAGTAGGGATGCTGCCTAATTGAATTTCCTTGGACACAATGAACACACACTGTGGACCTGCAATTTCCAGTCCTTGCCTTTGATAAGCAAATGACCCCTATGGAATTGAGGTCACAGCCTGCGAAAACAAGAGTGAGAGAGTGAAAAATAAAGTCCCGCGCTCAGACAAGCCCAATATCGACTCACCCGGGATTGAGACCAATGATGTTTACCCTGTGTGTGTTGAGCCCCTGTTGGCTCAAGGGGAAATTCATCCTACCCACACACATGCACACGCGGACACGCATCCGCACACATACAGAGGGTCTCGTCTCTCACGGTGAGACTTTGTCCTTTTCCTCACTAATAGTACAATGATGCTTTTTTCACATCTAGATAGGGTGCATGTGTAAATACTTTACCACAGATTGGAATAAGGGCAAGAACAGTAAGTGCGGGTGCGTATTCCGCGCGCGCGCGCGTGTGTGTGTGTGTGTGTGTGTGTGTGTGTGTGTGCGCGCCAATGGATCTAGTAATAGCTTTTATTGTACTCCATTGCCCGAAGTCTGTGCACCAAGCTCCATCTTATAATAGTATGGTCAGTTCATTCATGAACTCAGCCACTCTGCATCGCTTGCATTCTTTTTTAGTCCTTTTGTTTTGTCTGTTAAAAGTCAAGACGACTTGAGGCAAAAGAGTGTGTTTGCTTTGATGTCTCGAAGAGTGCACAGCCCCGATGCTTTTACGGATGCTCCTTTGAGATAGAAGCCCTACGTGCTTTTGCCTGCATGCTTTTCCATCCAAACCAAATGTTAAACAGAAATGTGTATATGAAGGTTAAATGAATTATAGAACTTCAAGGCAGTCAAAAAGTTGATGTGATCTGTTTTTCTCAAAGAAATATATTGCCAATCAATCCATGGACAGAAGATGAAGCTTTTCTTTTTCTTTTTAAGGCTCTTCATCAGGCCCACGGAGTCAAAATGTTGCCATGGGAAACACTGCAGTGAGCTGTGAAAATGCAGATTGCAGTTTTAATGCAGTTGAAAATGTAAGTCTGGTCAATACAAAACTGACCAGGAATTAACATGTAACTGTGATCCGGTATCATCGCGTCAAACATCTAATTATTTTGAGAGTAAAGTGGTATTTACCACCAAATACAGAAATTGATTAGTATTGGGACTAGTTATGACTGCACCTGAATGGTATGTTCTGTGTGCAGTGTTACAAGCTTGGAGATGTGTAGTTTCGAAAAATACAGCCGAGGGTTGTCACCCTCACTTGTGATACAATACAAATAAAATCACCTAGGTTCCAGGTGCAAGCCCAGAATTCACAGCGTCAATCACTTAATCAGCCCTTTAAAATTGTTATTTTACTGAGGTTTGGAATATTAGTTCATTTATAAATGTGCCACAGGCCAAACTGAAGGCTGGTGAAACAGCAAAATTGTAAATGTCTTCTTTTTTTTAAACTCTTTTTAGTTCTTAACACCTTGGAGGGTCCTAAGAATACTATTATGAATCAGTATTCATACAATTAAATTATAAGTGTCCGTTTCCAGAAAGACCAATTTTTCTATGGATCACTGGCTAATGTATCAGTCATCTATGAGTGATGTTTATAAAGTTTTGTATAGCTAACAGCCCTCCCAGTAGAAAAGACTTTGGAGAAAAACAACATGAAATAGCGGCCGGTTCAATCATTAAAATCTGCTAGAAAATTACAGTCCTATTTTGTTCACCATGTGATGAGATTATTTTGTCCTACTTATTAATTGGAGTGAAATTGGAAAGTGACTCACAGCAGTGTTACTGGAAGGTGTCAGACACAGAAAGCAGGTAATTACGGAGACAGGAAGAGATAAGAAAAAGGAATGCAATTACCCTAGCAAGCAGTCGCACAAATTGCTCCTCTTAGGATTTCTCACTTCAGGTTGCTATTGTTCATTCTTTGCATCTCCATTCTGATCTATACCTCTCACCCTCCAGCTCAAAGAAGGAACGGTTTGCATTAATCAAATGAAGTTCCCCTGTTAAGCAGAGCCATACAAAGCATTAAACGGGGCTTATTGACAAAATCCAAGTGCACATCTTCAAATAGATTTTTCCCCAAATCATTTTGCTGAGCTAAATCTAAGTCAAGACAGTGTGATGTTCCATTGTCTTTCCTATGCGAGGCGGTGATTCAGAATTAAGTTTGATTTAACTTTCAGGTTTGACGGCCCCTTTCAGATTGCTCGTCCACGTCTCTGTGCCCTACACTTGTAACATCCCGTTACTAACTTAACTTATTTTTGTCACTAACCCCTTCGTTCACAACACCGCCGTTCAATTACCTGCTCCTGGTTTTTCTTCCTGCACACGTACACTCCCCTGCTCTCCCCGTACTGGTGCCAGATTGTCTTGCGCTCTCCCCTTGTGATAGTTTCTTTGGTTTAGGACTTTGCCGTGTGGCCTTTTTTTTCTGCTTCCCGTCGGAGTTGTTTGCTTTTACTGACTGACTTCCCGTGTTTGACTTCCTCGCACTGAATAAAAGACCGTGTCCAGTACCTCACCTCGTCTCCCGGGCTGTTTGAGTCCCAGAACTCCCAAAATTGTCACAAGTTGCAGACGTGTGTTCATACACATACATACATACATACATACATACACACATACACACATACACACATACATAGCATGCATTGCCTTTTTAAAGGATTGAATTAATGACTCACACATAATAGCAAGCTGAAAGAATTGTCCCTCTCCAAAGTCCCTCCTTTGTCCCTCTCCTTTGTGTAAAGTGTATAAATTGCACATTGCAGCATATATTTCAAATAAAAGTGTATATAAATGAAAATATGCTGCATTTCATTAGTTTTTATTGATGCTATACTGTAGCTGACATTTTAGTACACAAAATGCAATTGCAGGAAGGTCCATTGTTCTCACTTAGCATGCTGTATGTAGATCTCTCTGCCTTATATAAAAAGTGAGTACATTTTATTAATGCTCAGATTGACGCTTGGTGGCTGGGTTAACACACACACACACACACACACACACACACATAATCCCATTGACTGTGATCGCATATAGCAAAAATCTACTGCATTTAGAAACTGGGACACGGGTGTTCTTGTTGTCACCATGTGACCCCCCGCACCCCCCCTGAGTCACCGCTGGGCCGGACTGCACTCACGAGGGCCTCTACACATTCGTGCAGTTTGAATTGTTTACGAGAAATTCCCCCTTTCGGTTTGATGAATACTCTGCATCAGCACAAGTGCTTTCTATAATTGCCGTATAGGCTTGATGGCCTGATAGGTGCCACTTAGCCAACCTTCAGCCAGCCTCAGCCTGGAGCTGGGAATCATCACCTCGCAGAGAGTTTGCAAGGGGAGGGTAAGTGTCACAAAGTGCCTTCACGTAAATGGCTGATGAAGAGCGGCTCTCCGTTGAGACGGCGTTGTGTATATTCTTGTCCGGCGGTCTCTGGGATGTATCCTCTGTGAATGTAAAATCTTAATATAAAAGGTTCAGCACCTCCCTCTCTACAAGACCCGAGAGGGAAAAGATGTGAAAGGCGAGAGAGCTGGAAGCTGAGGGGAAACACGGACAATCTCTTCATCAGAGTGAAGAGAGAGCAGCGCACGTGGTAGGGATCAAGGTCGTAGCTCAATATATAAAAAATACCTCTGGATTACAGGTACCAAATCAAAGGTCAAAGGAAAATGAAATGAAGGATTGCTTCTTGAATTTAAAAAAAAGGACTCGCACAACTTCACTGTTCTGAGGGTTTAGCAGAAGGGATTTCTTCCCAATATTCCGTAGTCAGGAGAAGCAGTATCTTTACTGTTTTTGGCCTCGCACTACGGCGCCATCACCTTTATCGACAGATTGTGGACTTCCCCACTCCCAGATTTGATAGAGGAGCAGGTTTTTCTTGAGTATTTTTGTTTGTCGAGTGTTTGTTTAGTGCCCCCCTTGTTCCTTCCCACCGGTTTTCACGCCTTCCAAATTACACCAAGGATAGCTCTGAGGCGCTCTCCTCATTGCGCCCAGTTAACAAGCACTCTGTTTGTATTCGATTAGGGTTCTGTGCTATTTTACTTCGCTTTGCTTCCTTTAGTTGAAATGACTTTGCCGGGTTGAAGGTACAAAACGCAGTAAAGGATTCCGTTTTTTATTTCCATCAAACGAGGAGGATGAGGGATGAACCTGCGCTCATCCAGGCCCCTCCCCCGATTCGCTATTTTGACAGTTGTTCTTTTGTTTGCTTTGCAGCGCTGCCAATCATGCAGGTGACTATTGACATTACCAGACAGCAGGTGGAGAAGATCTTCGGTCTGGATGAGTACTGGTGTCAGTGCGTCGCCTGGAGCACCACCGGAACCCAGAAGAGCCAAAAAGCGTACATCAGGATCGCTTGTGAGTGCACTTTAAAACAGTCACTGGGTTATTACCAATGCAAATGCAGCTTAACAAGGTGCTTACATAACGCATGCCAGGTTGTAATAAGAGTATATTAGCATTTCTTATTTTTTTTGCTTTGATTTGGTGGGGAGAACATCTAACTTTCATTTAACAATTAGCCCAGAGGCCTTTGTGATCTCTGCACAGCGGTGTATTACTGCGAGTACAATTTAGCAAAATCCTCTTCCTGCGATTATACTTAAGAAGTAAATATTCAACCCTAGAAGGGAGAAACAGAGAGAAATGCGCCTGCTCGAAGGCACTCTTAGAACAAAAGTGGAACACTAAATTTGAGTATTCATGAGCACATCTTTCTCTGGATACAGTATATCAGCAATGATCCCCATGAAAGTAAATGGAATAAAAACAGATTTGAAATTTATTGCTGTGCTGCAATCATAAATCTGTCTGGGGAACGCAGACACATCCCTCGCTGCAACCTCAAAAGCTTTATTAGAAGAAGCCATTTTACATTTGAGTATTTTAAAGCATTCTGCCTATTAATTCCCACATAAATATGCATTATTCTAGACGGAGCTGAATGCAGCACTGTCTGCAAACCATCAGACGTTTTAAAACACACATTCATTATCCGACCTTGTTAGAGAGCTCAACAAAGTCAGTTAGATGTAAGATAACGACACACGCGTGCCTTCATAACAATGCATATGTGTGCACGCACCACTTCACACGCACACGCTTGTTATATCTCTGTTAAATCTCCAAGTGTATCGCCTCTAATTAAATCAAATCTGGCAAAACTCTCTGCTTGTCTTAATGTTTCTCTCAGCGTGATTGGTCCAGACAGGCTCAACATCTGTCTAAAGGAATTCACCGGCGGCCCACATCTGCACCCTCAGTCCCCTGGATACACAATAACACATTGATTCACTCAGAGTCAAAACCTGGGCTGAACACGGCAAATTTGCGCCAACCGGCTGGCAGTCAGAGTCCTATCTAGCTCATCAGATACAATGGCCTCGCCATTTATTTTCCACTTGATAGAGATAAGCATTGGCAGGTTTACCTGGGCAATGTGTGCAGCCTCCACAAATATATAGCAGAGTAAGAGTATCCAATGAGTCACTGATGTGGAGCCCCATGCAGTCAGCCAGGCTTGCAGGAGCTCTTGTCCAGGCGCCTCAGGGATCTTTTTTTGTGTGGCTGCTCCATACAGATGGAAGCTGGAGGCTGGCGGATGCTGGAGAGAGCAGAGTGGGTGGTTTGGGAGGAGTGAGGGGTAATGCAATTGCCTTTGCTTGATGCCGGGCCCCTCTGGCAGCAGACAAGCATCTCTGAACCAGCCAGGCAGCCTGTAATAAGCAACATGGTTGCTGCCACCGATCCCTGTGTGGCTTAGGGGCCAACTCGAGTGCGACATTCTCAGCGAGGCCACGGGTTGACATTTCAGCAATGGGAAAAGTGCATCACAATACCAAGTTTTGGGGTTAGAAGTATTTTACTTAAGCGTCACAAGCTCTTAAAAATATTCTAATTTGTTGCGTTTCTCAACGTTTTTTTCTTACCTTCAGACCTGAGAAAAAACTTTGAGGAGGAGCCACAGGGTAAAGAGGTAGCATTGGACCAGGAGGTGTTACTGCGCTGCCATCCCCCCGAGGGAGTGCCACAAGCTGAGGTGAGACAAGGATTCAGAAGATATTTATAGACCCCCATCTAGCATCCATTTACCCTTTCCTCACCGGGAGGACAAAGAGCAAAATGTAACTCAGGATCGACTCCCCAGCATCTGTCCTAGCTGAGCCAGGGAGAAACCCCTGTACGGATGAATTACACCCCTAATTATTCCCCATTATTGATTTATTATCTCTCTTAAATCTCTAAGAAGCCGTATATCACAGCGCCTCGTCACATCACTCAGGATAGGCTTGGAGGCTTCAATCCCCGTTTGGCATCTCCAAAGGCCTATCCATAATTAATGGGTCTATTTGCTTCTCTCTCTCTCTCTCTCTCTCTCTCTCTCTCTCTCTCTCTCCCTCTCTCTCTCTCCCTATCTTGTTCTCTGCCTCTCTGCTGTCGCTCCATGTACTGTGTCCCTCATACACTCTTGTTCTGCCAAGGTCTCTGTCCGTCTTCACATCTTTCAGGGGTGTGTGTGTGTGTGTGTGTATGTGTGTGTGTTCAGAGGACCAGACTGGGCCCAGCTGTTTCACCTCGTCCGCTGCATGCTCCCAGTCCCAGATAGGCACTAACCGCTTTAATAGCAACACAGGAGGAGGTTAGGCCAGCCACTCACACAGGGACCAGATGCAGCAGACTAGCCAATCACGACTCGACAGTGTAGGGACGGTTTGCAGAGAAATGGGGAGGAAGGTGCCAACTGCAGTTCAACAGAAAAGAACATCAGAGCAAAAGTCACCATGGGGAAAAACAGGAATAGTGCACAAGAGGGAGAAAGCCCAATTATATGTTGTGTCAAAACTTGCAGTAATACCAACAACAATGCCTCGGTATTGTAGCTACTCTCGAGGCGGCACAAGGTCAAGTGAGAGCAAGAAAACAAGCAAACCAATCTGAGAGTACACCAAAAAGGAATAACATCTGTTTTGGCTTCTGCAAGAGGGCAACTACACAAAGTATGACCAGTTTTACTCTCAGGCCGCAAACAGTTGTGGAGGTCTCCAGCAGCCACAAAATAAAAGTTTTTTTTCAAAAAGAGGACAAATCGGAAAATCCAGTATCAGTATCATACCAATAGACAATTGTTCTAATTTGTGTCTGTTTGATTGCATCAATAAAATGAATGACCCCAATGCCTTTACTATCATTTTAAAACTCTCCAATCCACAGTAGTCGAGAGCTGCATAGGAGGGGGAGACTGTTTCTATAAAGTTGAGGTCAATTTACCTTTAAAACATATTTTCAGGTGGAGTGGCAGAGAAACGAGGATGTGATCACCCCGGCGAGTGACCCCAATGTTTTCATCACGACTGACTACAATCTTGTCATCAAAAAAGCCCGGCTGGCAGACACGGGCAACTACACGTGTGTGGCCAAAAACATTGTTGCGCGCCGCAAAAGCACCTCCGCCACGGTCCTGGTCTATGGTAGGTGATGACTTCTTTCAACAGGTGTCAAAAGGAGGGCCGCTCTATACAAACAGCATAAATGAATCTATTGCTTGCATGTTGCCACATTTCCATATAAACTTCTGCATGTTCCCATGCATGGGAGATGCCTGGGTGAACTTCTCTCATCAGGTGCTCTTACTGTAAGCTCTGGATGAATAGCACCATTATCAATACCTACAAAAAAGATATAGTAGTGTATCTGCACATTAATTAGCACAACTTAAAATGTTACTGGCAGCCACTCTGCCAAAAATCTGGCAGTCTCCAAACTTCCTACTGCCATCTTCCCCGTTCTCTGTAGTGGATCCAAAACGGGACGGGAAATTGAATTAAAAGCAAACTGTAAATAATGACTTGGCTTGATAAGCGCACTGATCTGTATTAAAATTCAGAAAAACAGCATATTTTCTATCACAGAGTTCCCTGGGTACTGGCACTGCGCACGTTTAGTACGTTGCATTTTTACGTTATCACAGCCGGCCTTAATTCTCAAGCACATGCCACCAGTAAACCGTGTGAACGCATCATAAAGGCAACATTGGTGAATATAAAAATAGTAAAATCGGGTATAATGTCAGACACTGGGTCTGGTTCTATTGAGGCCTCCAGAAGATGACAGTACCATGATGTGCTGTAAAGTATGTACATGGAGGTTATTGTATATTATCTAACACGACTGCAGAGAAGAGACACCATGTTCCACAAATACACTGTGTACACTATGTAGGAGTTCTCAACTCTCCCCAGCACCAGGTGCATCATGTCTTCTGCTATAAAATGATTTAAATGTTCCTGTGTGAAACCTATTCAATCTGTAGCATTGCTAAGAAGAATCAGGTCATTCTTATGAAATTCATAAATATGAAATGCATTTAAAAAAGGGGCTGGCAATGTAAGTTTGCAAATCCCTCGTGAAATAAAGGGAATTATTTGATCATAACGTATTATCTCAAATTCCGATTGCAGCTATTTGAATTATAAATTAATTTATTTCCACATAGATTGCTTTTACCCAGGCTATCAAAGGCTCCTAAATGGAATTTTGAGGGATATGGGTCGAACCTGAATTCAATTCAAAAGCAGCAGTATAGTGTGGATCCATAGGATCTCTTACGGATGACTTTAGCACCTTTTTATGTATGGAGGAAAACCAAATGTGTCCTGTACAAGATCCAAAAATATTAGAGATGCATATTTTTGGATAGATTTCAATAGATTAGATAATTGTTTATTTGTGTTTATTGGATAAGATGTTAAGTTTAGATAGATAATAATCAAATTAATGATTAACAATTAAGACAAAAGAGAGAGACAGCAAGAGATCAAGTTAAGGGGGTTTTGTGAACACGGTGAAGACTCCATAGGGGGTCCAAAATTTAGATGGCGTCATGTATATAACTGTAAATGTAGTTGAAAATTAAGGCTCGTACACTTTCAACTGTGAACGGTTTTAAATGAAATGTGTTCATTTGAAGCATGCAGTCAAAACACACATTATCATACACTCCTCCGAGCCTCCAGCTCAAAAATAAAAAAGCCCAATTATTCCGGCAGTTGATTATAATAGATTAGCTTGTTATTGAAAGACTCGCTCTGCAGATAAAGAAATCTAGCGTTGGAATGATTGTGGAGGCAAGAGCATTCACATTCCTATTGTGTGTCTTCCTTGTATTGTCGCACAATTGTTTTCACTCGTGGACCTGGCAAATTGTGAACGAATTGCTAGGGGGCTTGATTGTGAAATTGTATTTCTCCACGTGCTCGACAAGATGACAAACGTATTAACACTGTGTTGATTTTAGAGGTTAAATCATAATACATGTGGAGGAAAAAAAAGAACAATCGAGTTACCCGAGAGCTTCGAAATCCACCATAGCTCGCTGCAGAAAGGCATAATAGCTGCTACTTTTCAAAGGGGGTTCAACGGGGGGGCAGAGATGTATTTGAACAGGGCCTGGCTGGTGTGACTGCACTCTGTGCTAAGAGGTAATCAGGGGCCGAGTTGCCTGGCAATTTACCTCGCCGTGGTGGGCAATCAATCGCATAGAGAGGGCAAGGAAATGATTCAGCCACGACAAGCGCAGGCAAGAGTTAGGTGGGGAATTAGGAAGGGAAGTATGTACAGAGAAGGACCGACAGCGCTGTTCGAGTCAATAAATCAGGAATCTCGGTGTCTTGTAAGCTGCGGCAAACACAGGATGTACAGGAGGGAGCTGATTAGAATTAAACCAGCGTGTTTGATGTAATCAGCTGCTGTGATTGAGCGACATACTGTATCAGCAATTCTGTGCCAATTGGCCGTTACGGTTCAGTACATGGCAAGTGTTTTTTTGGGTTTTTTTCCCGTAAGTGGCCAAACTTTTAAGTTTCAAATAGAAAAGAGGCACCGATTATAGCCGGCAGTGTTGTTCTCTACAATTCAAAGAATACCTGAGTCGACGAAAGACGCATGAAATCGGTGGTGGATGTGAGAACGACACAATCTGAATTACTGAAGCAGCAATAATAAATATTTTTCAGTGGTTTTTTTTTGCATAAGCAACGAGAAGGCGTGGGCTTTTTATATGCATCCATTCCTGTGCTTTTTTGCTGTCATTTCTTTTTAGTGATTACCTTCCGACTGAGTGTTTGTTTAATGTCTCCCATTAGCTCTTTGAAATTTAAAAGGATATTTCAATTTGCCCTTTGCGGTATCTTTGTGTTCCTCAGAGATATGGTAAAAAAAAAAAATAGCACGCTATCATGTTATTTTCTGCTCCCCGTTGAAGCCATTTTGTTTTCACAACAGTTGTCGGTAAATCCAATGTGGACACAGGAAGCAGCCCGCGTTGCTCTCGCTCACGCACGAGGTCACCTTGCCGCGCTCAACCGGAGAGTGTACCAGCATTCACGGTTATTGCGGCTCAACACACTTTTCCTGTGGTGCATGTCGGGTAATCCTGGCTGCTCTGTCCCTCCGTCCGTCCATCCTTCCATCCCTCCCTCCCAACCTAACCCCTCCCTCACCCACCTTTCCCCGCGCGCTGGTCTGGCAGTCAACGGCGGCTGGTCCACGTGGACCACCTGGTCGTCCTGCAGTGCCGTGTGTGGCCGTGGCTGGCAGAAGAGGAGTCGGAGCTGCACCAACCCCACGCCACTGAATGGAGGCACATCCTGTGAGGGGCAGAACGTCCAGAAAAGTGCCTGCGTGGCCACCTGTCCAGGTAACTCCCAGGCAAACCCGTTTGTCCTGTGGCGCTTGGCTTCCTGTGGCTTCCCTTTTTGCATTCTTTTGCATCTAGAAGTCATTAATTCATCTTTATTTTGGCTGCCTTTTTATTCCAGCACCCAATTCTTTTCTTAGACGTCAGCGCTTCTGTTGTTTCTTGCAATTAGACTGCTTTCACAGCAACGTCAGAGTCTATTAGTCTTCACAGTAAGGCCTCATCCTGAAAGTGATTTATTGTTCACTCTTTGTTAACATGCCCCTTTATCTTCTGCGCTGTATGCAGGCTGCCTTGCTTTTATTTCAGAGACCTGTCTGCTTTTAGAGACATGGTCCTAACCACGGCATTGTGTCACACCACATAGTACATTTGTTGTTCTTCGCTGCTCAGGCCATGTAGTAAATATGGGCAATAAAAAGGAATTATGGCCGCCTCTGTGCCATGTTTACGCGTGAGGAGATCGGGGCGTTTCATTTGCCTGCCCGTTCTCCCCGTGAGAGCGCCGGGTAGGCAGCGAGTGTCCTGCCTGATACTGAGCAACACATATCGATCTCAGGGAGCCTGAGATGGAAGTCAAGCTGCTTCATTTGCAGTCCCACGATATCCTCCTGGCAGAGGGAGAGGGAGCAGGCTGGAGGAAAAAGGAGTTAAAGGGGATAGGAGGATAGACACAGATGGAATCAGATCCAGTGTAAGGAAGGGCAGGAACAGAGTGACAGAGGGGAGAGGAAAACCGAGCGTGTACTGCAGCTTGGATCCATCCTTGGACACATAGCGGGGACATATAGCCGAGGAGAAATCTCCTCCCGCTCGCTGCACAGCAGAGAGGGAAATCCGACCCTTCCGGCAGCTTCTCCGTGCCTAAAACAGAGGCTCCCTTCCTCGGTGAATCGCGGCATTGTGTTACACATCTACCGTGTAAAGACATCACTGGATGTCAAGCATGAGTGTAAGTAACATTGCCCGCTGGAATACAACAGGAGGAGGAAGACAAAAGAAACACAGCAATGCATGACACTCCATCAGGACTCCATCTGGATTATTAGCGCTGGAGCAACGAGTCGTGGTATTAGAGGGGTGTCTGGGGATGCTTGACATTTCCCCCCCACCCACAGCAAAGCAGGATTCTGACCTCCACAAGCTTAAAGAGATTAATGTCAGTCCAAGCTGCTTTTGTTAGACTGAACCCCGCCCCTTTCTATCTGTCTCATGGCCCAGTAGGAGAAAGGATGCAATTTCAACCCTTTCGGTGATGCGACCAAAATTGCATTTTGCCCCGTGAATACAGTTTGCAGAAACTTTGAGAAAGAAAGAGGTTGTTGTTTCCTGTCACTCGATCAGCCGCTCCACCGACGTGACCTCTATCAGTCCTGTTATTTGGCAACAGAGAGAAGTCTCTGCCTCCTTTTCTCGCTGGTTACCTTTGTAACAATATCGGTGGCGTGGCACAAATAACCCCGGGTGTCGGACTCCCTTCATGGCCATAGTCCCCCCCCCCCCCCCCCCCGTTGCCTCGGGACGATGGGCCGGTGTTTCCATCAGCGAATGGTACCGTGGCCCTGTTGTGTACAGAAGGGCCTCTGGAGTCCTGCAAGATGAACTGACCACTCCCATCATTCATCACCCAGAACACACACACACAGACGGGCAAAGACGACCCCAAAATACATCTGTGTCCACATTATTAACACACGTGTGCATCATCAGCTTGCATTTATAAATAGTCACATTCAGAAAGGGGTAACAGAGATACTGGATAACAACCTTTATTACCACTTAGCTTGCAGCCTTTGCAGGTCTAATCCACTGCACTGCAATGATAAATGGTGATTTCAGCTCATTTCAGAAGAAAGAAACTTGAGCAGAATGAATTACATGGGGGGCTGAAATGCTGCCGATAGACCTTGTCTTATTTATTTAGACACGGCTGACATTTGGATACAGGAGTCAGCCTTGAGAGGCATTTCTTTCCTCACTCCCTTTTTGTGAGTTTCATCTTGAAATACTACTTGATTTAATTCTGGTCTTGTTTCAAGAGTTCATTAATTATCCAGACTTGGATCCTTTGTTGATCATAAGCTCTCTAGTGCATTTAGCTTACAGCGTTAAGTCTTAGAAATGAGTTACAGAAGAAATCTATTTTGTTTTCATGTGCTTATTCTTTGTGATTTGCAGTTTCAGTTTGTTTTGTCTAAAGCACATCGATGGCCCCACCGATTTCCCCTTTGGGGTTAAGGAGATGCTGTCAACGGAATGAACATTCGTTGGAAACAAATCAATTTGTATTTGGAAGCAGCAACATGCAACGGCTATAATTTGTCTCTGCCTTGCCCAGCTAAGTCTATATATATTTCTTGTTAAAATGCCGATGGCCATGTGTTGTTCCACATTTAAAAAGTAGCATTATACCATCACAGCATTGCTCCAGCCACAAAGGCACGGACTGAAACCAGCAACATAACTCTCCACGTGTCCATTCGTCTCTAACGTGAGCTCACATCTCTCATCTGGAAAGTGCAAAGATGGAGAGGCTCATCTGTATGGTTGTCTGAGTCTACAAAGTGTTTTAATGAGAGTTGATGGAGGGCTGTGTGGCACATCAGATGGGCTTCATGCTGGGAGAGAATCTGTGGAGGAGGAGATGGAGGAGGAGGAGGCTAAGGCTAAAGCCTGAGGCTCAGAGGAGAGCAGATCAACACTCGAGACAGCGACTAGCCAAACTCTGCAAGAGCTTATCTCCATTTCTCCTTCCTTTTCTCTGCCTTTTCCTTTGTCTCCATCACATCGCACGATGCCCACGTGGCCCAACAGAATCTGCAGTCCATCCCTCACCGTTTCATTGACTCTGCCCCTGCGTTGACTCGTGATCAAAGACGGCAGAACATTTCCAACGAAAAGAAACCGCCCATGTCAACAGCAAATAGATGGTGGACAGTTCTGGAGGTGACACACTGACGCTCGTCCCACACAAATGAGTGGAACCTTTGCCGATGCGTTCGAGAACAGCAAACAACCTGAGAGAGACGCGTGTGAATTATTTAAATACTGTACTAATCCCTCAGGCTTGCCAGAGGAGCTGTGAGATTTATTTTAGCTGGAAAACCAACAGACTTGGCGTTGGTTTACTTGTGTTTGTGTGTGTGCGTGCATGTTTGCGTTGTACGTGTGCAAGTTAACGCCCGTATGTCTGCTGTGCACTGCAGGCAAATGTTTCGTCTTTTAAAGCGAGCATTCGTGTGTCTCCGGATATCATCAGAGATCGTTCCGGCAGACTTCATATTTCATCCAAGGAATACATAAAGGCTGTGGTTGACAAATGTGAGGGGAAAAAACACTTTAGTTCACTGCAGAAAGACGGTGGCCATCTGGTGACATCCTCGCATCAGCGCTGTTTTTAATCATTCTGTGCCATTCGTTTTGGCTCACCCTCCGCATCTCTCCTTCGATCTTGGTTTGGTTTGTTCCTGTGGCTTAGTTAACATAAGGGAAGTATAAAATAGTAGATCACACCCACAACGAACATCTGTTATTTATACATACGTACACACATACAAATATTCATATATATATATATATATGTATAAATCAACAAAAAGTTCCAGAAATAGAGAATTCTGTCTGTTTTTTAATCTCTCTGTCATCGCCCATTGCCGTGGCTGAGCGATCAACACCCTCTTTCGTCTTTTCCATCCGCCTTTGCACACCGGGATTAGAGGTGGTCACTGTGCACATTTGTGTTGACAGGACGGCGGCGGCCTGCTGGTGTCTGTGGTGCTTGTCTACCTCCTCGTGTTCGCCTCAAGGCCACAAAAACCACAGGGCTCCCAGGACCTCGGACTGTGTCCGTCAGAAGCCGTTGTCATTTTGAACAGCGAAGCCGTCAGAGGCCCTCCTACTGACCTGTAAAGAATGGTCGCGTCCCTTTTGCTTCTCCCCCCTTAAAGCATGTCCGAATGGGGGCTTGCCACTGCGCTATTGTATTACTTTCCCTCTGCAGAGACCCATCTGAACTGAAACCTGTGGTGCTGCATGATTGGAAATCTGCTGTGCCGCCATTTGCAATGGCGCTAACAATCTCTTTCTGGGGATTTGATAAGAAAAACGTTGGTTGTGGATAACAATTTTCTTATTATATACAATGAAAATGAAAAGTAAAAGGACCGGCTCTGATTTCAGCCTTTTAATAAAAAATAAAAAAAGGAAATCAAGGAAAGCATCAATGCTCTGGCTTTGACAACCTTCCCTCTTGCTTCTCTTCTGTCCAAAGACTATTGGAAGCCTCTCCTCTTACTGAAATATATAATATAATATCGTTTGAAGTGTTATTTGCATGGCCGTTTGTCTGGCTTTGTGGTGGAAAAGAGAAGTAGATTTCCATAACCTCATCAGGGCAGATGTTGATCTCGTCTCTTCTTTTTTTATTTCACTGTGGTGTGGATAAACTGAGGGGCGACATAATGTATTCATTAGGATGTAATTCTCTATTCAATCATTCTCGTTCCCAGTCTGGATAATCAGCCCACTGGCCCACGGATGGGTCCACTCAATGCCAAACAAGGACAATTATCTGATTGGTTCTGCTCTCTCTGCCAAATGGATCTGACTGCAAAGAGGCGCGAGCTGTGTCAGCATCCCTTCACACACACACACCCACACCCACACACCAACTAAACACTCTCAGAGTCTCTAGCAATCATCTGAGGACACAAACGGACCAGGCTTGTGTGGGAGCAGGGTGTAATTCACACACCTTTGCCTCCGGCCTGATACGCACACTGCGCCATTCAGCTCGGTTTCCAATTGGCTGTAAAAACAAATAACATCATTGCTTGGTGCAGTTATGTACCAATAATTGATATCCCTCCTTGAGTGACTCTCACATTTGTGTTTTATTAACCAAAGTCTCTGACGTGCTGCAGGTCAGACCCGCTCTCTTTAGGTCATGTTCCCTGCACTATTTATTGCAAGGATTAATTAGCGTTAAGGTTGGCCGTAGGTCAGTCAGCATGAGTGTTGCTGCTGTCACACAGGAGCGCTTGTAGCGCCTGTACAGTGTGTGTGTGTGTATTGCTCTGGTGATGCTTGTCTGGTCCCCTTCACCACTACGTTTGGGAGAGAGAGAGAGAGAGAGAGAGAGCGAGACAGTGGTGTTTTTTCCCCCCATGAGAGCTCATTACTGCTCTTTTCCCCATTAGCCCTATGGTAACCTTCCCCGGGCCTGGTGCTGTGTCACTCTCAATATCAGCCCCAGCTTGCTGGCTCTCCCACTCCGCCCCACCCCACCACAATGCCAACTTACCCCCACCTTTGCAAAATGGTCTCCCACTGTGTGCGTGTTAAAGCTGCTGATTTTTCTTACAGCAGGCCCCGCACAGAACAATTACTGGCCCATTTCCATCTGTTTCATTTTGCTTGTGTTGGCGGTGGTGTGTTTCAAGTTGTGGTGGACAGAAATTCGTGTGAGGTGTGATGCACATCTGCCTCTGCTCTGAGTAACACCACCTGTGTCGTATCTCAAATTGAAATGCGCTGCAGGTGACGCTCATGTTGCTACAGTAACGGTTTAATTGGCAAAGGAATCGAAGCTATATTTGGTGCATTTATCAAGATTTTTTAAATAAAGGCACACATTGTAGGTTTGACTATAGAATAAAAGGCCAATTTCCGAAGGTTCAAATTCTCCCCGTAAAGATTTAGTTTGTTGAATCGGAGTCTGCCAAACCACAGCACCCATGTTGCATTGGGGTTTAGCTTTGGCTGAGTCGAATTTCCATGTTAAAAATAAACAAAGAAACCAGAGTGGAGACAATATGGCTTCCCTCAGCAGTTTTACACACTTTGGTTTCCCTGCACATCTGCTGGATTTGAGTGTGTACAAGTGGATTTGCATGTCTTTATAATGCTTTACCTACCAGGTTTCCATTTTAGAGTGAGTGGATTTGCACAGAATGGCAACAGAGTATTCTACTAGTTGTTCTCATCTCACAGGCAAATAAGCCACTGCCTTTACACTGTTGCGTCGGAACTTCACCGTGTACAAGAGTTTACACTGTGTGTACGAAGGAGCTATAGCTGGTATTTTAAAAAATTGTTCAGCGTGTTTGTACAATCAATAGTTTTCCACAAGAACTAAGATACCTTTGGGTGAAATTAATCAAAGTTCTGCTGCGTGCGTGCGTGCGTGCGTGCGTGCGTGTGTGTGCGTGCTCACCCATGTTCTTCCTGTGTGTGTTTGCAGTGGACGGAGGCTGGAGCGAGTGGAGCAAGTGGTCCGCGTGTGGTGCGGACTGTTCGATGTGGAGGAGCAGAGAGTGCACCCAGCCCTCCCCCGGCACCGGGGGCAAAGACTGCCAGGGGCTCGACCTCCAGTCGCTCAACTGTACCAGTGAGCAGTGCCCGCAGAGTGAGTGCACCAACCGCCAGCAAACCGCAAACACACAACTATTCGACTCTGTTGAACTTTAAATCAATGAATTATTCTCAACGCTCTGTTGGAGACTTTAGGCCAGAAAACACTTGACATGACAAAGTAAAAGAAGCCCAAAGGGGCTGTAATGTATTACGATAGACAAAGCACCCCACATTGCATAAAATATCAAGTAGAACATAATCAATCCATTGACAACAGGTTTACAGGATTAGCATTGATTAACCCCAGAATGGAGGCAGATAGAGAGGCTTTTCCCTGAATGTTTTTAAATACTGTTTCCACTTTTATAATGGAGAACGAGTGTCCTCTCCTCTTTTTATTCAAATCCAATAAACATTTTATGCCTCCTTATGGCCTCACTATCCTGTGATAGATGGAGGATATCCATTTCATTACACAGTTGTACTGACACAGTGTCGGCGGACCCGTACCGGCCCGTCATCACCTGCGTGACCTTTTTAGACGATCAGTTCCAATAAACACCAGTACGACACCTGCTGCTCAGATAATATACAACCTTTTCACCTCCGTTGCTGCCGTGTTGCTCTCTGAGCTTTTAATGGAGCGTGAGAGTGAAATCATCTCTCTTCTGAATTAAATACAACTATCAAATAAAGCGCCACGGGTCAAATCAGCCACAAAAACCAACGGGCCGGTGTGGATGTGTGCTGTAATGTGTATGTAGTTACAGAGACGTTGTATCCCCGTGTATCTTTAATACGGCATGCGTGTGCTGTCTGAATGTACTGAATAGGAAAATGCAGAGCACGGCAGCTGAGTGGAAAGTGACACCACAAGGTCCACTACTGACCAGATGGACCTGAAAAGAGCGGGCCGTCACTCCCTACAGATTTCAAAGACTGAAAGATATTGCAGCTTCCCATCCAGGAAGGATGCGTCTCGGGGCGGTGTCTCATAGAGGAAGCGTTATAAATAGCTCGCTCTTCGGCTGATCTGCATGATAAACACAGAGTTTTAATGGGGACTGGGTTAACACGGGCCAGCGAACTAATAAACTGAATTATGTATCTTGCACCATTTGACGTGATCAGATAGACCGATGCTGGGGAGGGTGGAGGGGGGGGTGTATGTGTTGGGCACAGTGTGTGTGAGAATGTGTGCACGCATGTCAACCGATAGCTGAATATTGGCTGATGCAGTGTACCAGGGAGCTCAGTCGGCCCATCATCAAAGGTCAGCAGCTCCTCCCCAGAGAGGCAAGATATATACACAAAGATGCCAGTCATTGTTCCTCACACACACACACACACAGTCACTCAGTATTTACACTGACAGTGCAGAGCGGAGCGCTGGTCTCTGAAGAATGCCTGTTCCAATCTGTTCCCAGCAGATGTGTTTCCATAGACAACGGCTGTGTGAAGTATTATAATAAGCAAAATAGCAGGATGGTTTTGGCTTGTCAGCAACTCACATACTTCAACCATGTCTGCAGGCTGTTAGCTGAGATGGAAAACGTCCCTCTGAAACAAAAGGCAGCCTTCTCTGCTCCGCCGTAATCGAACAATACAACTGCAGAGCCGCGGTTACTTTGCCACAAAAGACGTCCTTTGGCTGAGGACCTCACAAACATCTCTAATCCGCCTCATTAAGCCTGGACTGGCATGCGATGGATGGGATTGTTGTTTTTGGTATTGCGTGGAGGCGAATCAATGTGCAGCGAGCAAGCTTTGTGCAACTGCTCAAGAATGAAGAGATCTGACCCTGGAAGGATCATGTTCATAAAGCAAACAAAGCTGAAGATGGAGCAACGCAAAATCTCTGCAGGGAAATAATACGCTGGCAGCGTGCCAGAGCCTCAATGGTGGACAGGTGTTGGAGGGCACAGAAAGCATAGTGGGCAAAAATACACTGCTCACACCTTCGTACGTATACGGAAGGTAATGGTCGTAGTAGGCAGCAGGTTCCTGTGATTTTGCAACAGCCATTAAACCATGAAACGGTCTTCCGTCTGCTTTTGACTTAGGCAGCTCATTTCTCATTGAAGCAGCTGTGACGGCTCTGTGAGAAATGGCTGGATATACATTTCGATCCATATTTCACCGGGACCTGCAGAGGGACAGGACCACTGTGGAGATAGTAATGGTCACGTTCACTTTGAGAGGTTTAGTAGCCGTATTTCCCTGACCTTAAGAACCCCAATGTTATTCATCTCCAGGCAAGTGACTGGGATTGGCCATGGGATGAGATATTTTCTCAGGTATCTTGATAAATTACCCCGGAGGGCGGCACAGGAGGCTGCAGCGTTTTTATTTATCGACGCGGGAGAGAGAAAGAAGCAGATAGAGAGAGTGGACGACAATCCTGTGCAAACGTTGAGCGAGATCCCAAACCTCCACAGGATCCCGGTTCCCCCCCTTAGAGGAGATGAAATATTATTTCTATTTCTATCCCTAACCAGCCAGCCCCCGAGCTAGTGACTGAGGAGCTGAACGGTAAGCTCTGGGATCGGGTAATAAACACAGATTAGCCCGGGGTCAGCTGTGAAAACAGCTCATCACATCCTCAGATTATTCGCAGACAGGTGTCAATCACACAGGAAGAGAATGAAAAGTTCTTTGCGAGCAATTACGCCAAGTGGACATGAACCACGGAGTGATGGGCGGTGGAGCAGAAGGGAGATGAATTGAGAGAGTCTGTGTGGAATGGAAGGCGAGAGAGGGCACGCTAGAGGGGGACCAAAGTAAAGCCCATTTAATTATAAAACCTGATTAGCTGTGTCAATTAAAGTGAGATGGATGTCCTTTCAATTATTGGCTGGCATCATGAAAATCAATGTGTAAGGGTCAGAGAGAGCAGAGGGTGCTTGCTGCTCAGGGTTGCAGTGGACGTCGTGACACCTGGTGGGTCAGATAAAACTTCTGTCAGCGATGCTGCGATAAACCGCCATAGATTACAGACAGAATAGAGGGGCGCACAGAGAGAGAGAGTAGTCTGATTGACTGACTTTATTGTCTGGGTGTAAGAATGGCGTGTGCGCAGGGAAAAGGAAGAGCAGAGATACTGGATCTCTGCGTCCGAGGTTAGCTAGGTGCCTTTCGTTTGCCCTTTAGCCGGTAAACAGCGACTGGCCAATCCAAGGCTGTGTTTATCCAATCAGCAGAGCCCAGTTGGCCCGTCTCCTTGCTGAGGGGTGTTGTTTTGTCTTTAGTCAAACTGCACATCCCTCTGTGGACTCACAAAGACAATTGGATTTTGGGAACTTTTAATGAGAGGTTCAACCATATTCTCTCCCCCTTTGTCGGCAGGTGAAAGATTCAGCCTGGCCGCTTTCAGTTAAGAACCTCAATGCTTCCCTGAGGAGAAGAGAGTCAGAAGCCAGAGGCTAATCTGTATTCTGTGAGACTCTCCATACCATGAATATGTTCTGTGCACATGCGCTGTTTAATGTCCAGAACAAAAAACACACTTGTGTTTATCTTCAGCCAGTCACTCACAATTGATTGCATGTCAAGATGTCTCTCGCATTACAGCGGGCCGCCATAGCGCCTGGCTGGATATAATCCTGCTACTTAAGGTATCAGATTGTACTGAGATAATCACCCATGAAATAGATTCTGGCATTTCTCTTTCAGGCTCGGGTATGTCAGGCGGCTTTGTCCAAAGAATTGGATTTTTCAAGGGAGGAGGAGAAGCCAAGGACAAATGGATGAAAGGAAATTAATAGAGACGAGAGTGGGACGCAGACAGAAAAAATATGTTTTCTCTTCACTTTTGACTGTCAGCACTCTGCTAATTTAATCGTGCCATTCTAATAACGCCAATCAAAAGAGTTGTGCCTGTCAAGCGGTAGGATTATGCAGTATGGAAAAAATCAATTCCATGACAGTCTGGAGATATTCATCAAAATATGTCAAGTAATATTAACGACGTCCATTTTGGCACAAATCGTTTTGGAGGGGTTTTCGCGAAAGTGCACATTATGTTTTCCCTGTTGCTCTTCTTTTGCTGTGTTTTTTTAATTTTGAGTCTGCTCTTCTCCCGCTTCTGTCCTCCTCCCTTTGTTGTCAACTCGCCACACGCCGCCAGCCTCGCGGCACTTTAACCTTTGCCGTTGCTCGCCGTCCCTCAAAGCCTCGCTGCTCAGTGCGTTCCCTCCTCGACTGTGTTCAGCTGACAGCGCTACGCCCCCGTGGCTTCCAGGGACAATGGCCCTACACAAAGGCCCCGGGAGCACTCGCCACCTCCGCCACCCGATTCCCAAAGCCCGGGGAGGAAGCCGGAGCGAATCCCACACACTCGCCACACACAAGAGCATGCACACGTCGATGATTGTCCCGGCTTAGCTGTCGTCTTCAAACCGTAGGAGGGTTCAGGTGGGGGGGGAAGATGCTCCCGCTCAATTCACAGGAGAGGGAGCGGGAGAGGGAGGGAGAAAGGAGAGAGGGAGAGAGACTAAAATGTCATAAGCAAATCCTCATTACCGCCATTGCATTTGTTCACTGAGAAAGACAGGGGAGTGAAAAGTGCAATAGTAATAATAAGTTAGTATATGTAAACATGTATGTATTCCTCATGTTAATATTTAGGCATCTAATAGTACTTCTACTCATATAGAGGTGAGATTTACTAATACTGGCTCCATGAAAGAGTTTGATCAGATCCTCAAGTGAGACCTTTTGTCGAGAAGATCTGGAAAGAAGCTTCAGCATCACGGGTCGGGATTACCACGCATTACCTAAATTCATTTCCCCAGTTGTGCTAATTTTGATTTTTCTTCCTTCGCACCCCCCCCCCCCTCTCCCATCAGCCGTGAGCGGAGCCGAGGACGTGGCGCTCTACGTGGGCATGGTGGCGGTGGCTCTGTGTCTGACCCTGCTACTCATCGTGGTGGTCCTGGTCTACCGGCGCAAGAAGGAGGACTTGGATGCCGACGTGGCAGACTCCTCCATCCTCACCACTGGCTTCCAGCCCATGGGCATCAAGCCCAGTAAGCCAGGTGTGTGGGCACCGCGGCCACGCAGGCCTCCCCCCCACAGCAGTAGGACACTGTTCTTTGTTCTACCCTCCTCTGTGCGTCCGCCTGCCCGCCGCGCAGCGCTCCTCCGCGGGCCACTGATTCCGTGTTTGTCCGTGCTGGTGGTGGAGGCGGTGTGCATGTCTCAAATGGGGTTTTGGGGCGGAAGAAAGATGCATCTTGTTGCGTGTGCATGTGTGTGGACGTGTGCGTGTGTCTGTGTGGAGCACTACCTGTTTATTTGTCCGCCTGACACATTATGTTTCGCCACCGCCTCGTTGTCGGGGAATGTACCCGCTCTGTTTAGCGCCTGTTCGGAGCCTCCGAGGTTTACCGGAGAGTAATAGAAATACAACTGCCTGAGTTAGATGGAGAACTGGGTTGCAGTGCCTGTGATTTCCCTTTGAAAAAAGCCTTTTATACATTCTGGGTGCTTCGCTGTCTTTGAGTTCTGTTTGGAATTGACTGTGTGGTTGCTAAACAGACAGACAGCGAGAGTGAGAGAGGATGTGAATGGACGGGCTTTGTGTGGAATTTGCATTTGTGTATTGTCAAGTGTGGGCGTGTGCGTCTTCTGTTTTCAGCACCATGTGTCTTTCCTGTGTTTGTTTCCGTTTCCGTGGTGTGTTTCGACAGCTCTAGAGAGTGTGAGGTCTGTGACGGACGAACCCCCTCCTTGCCTGCCACTCATGGAGTTTCACACGTTTGCCTTTTGTCTTTTCTGTTCTTTTCATTGTTCGAACAGAGAATTCCCATTTGCTCACCATCCAGCCTGATCTAACCACCACCACCACCAGTTACCAGGGCACCCTGCGCTCTCGCCACGACACCACTGGGAAGTTTTCGATGACCAACGGGCCTCTGCTGGACCCGCTTCCCAATGGCTCACACACTCTGCACAACGGCAAACTTAACTCCGACCCGGCTGAGTTTGTGAGCAGGCTGTCCACTCAGAGCTACTTTAAAACGCTGCCCCGGGATGTGGCGAACAGCTCCTACGGGACCTTCAACTTCCTGGGAGGCAGGCTGACGATCCCCAGCACAGGTGGGGGAAAAAAGCCAGTAGCATAGCGCAATTGTTAGGTTTGTTTTACTAGTAGGCCAGGTTGTGTTGCTCACTGACTATTTAGATACAAGCGTGGTCATAAGGACTGACATTTAACTCATTCATTGGACAGTTTTGATGATCGTCCTGTGAGACTGACTCCTCTGGTTGCCGGAAAGCAGCTCACAATTAGTGAGATATGATTAAATGACGTTTAAATCAAATGACCATATTATGTAGGATTAGAAGACATGAACTGTTTGGTCATTTTGCTACATCAAAAATAAAAATAAAATGTTGTTAGTTTGTGAAAATGAATTGGCCCAAGCGGGTTCCCAGTGGACGTGGACGTGGTTGCAAGTGGACGCCTGCATGAGTGAGTTAGCGAAGTTGGTTCGTACAGAAGTTCTGCCCCTACGAGTGCAACGGCAACAGTACATATGTATAATGGGCCACCCTGCTACGTTGATTTAATTGTCAATGTCCATTCTATTCCTATTCTATTTCTATGGGCATACCATACCATATATTTTGGTGACATACTTGTTATTACCGTTGAGGGGATGACGTACTTAACTGCACTATTTGTGACACGCTATGTCCATACATACCGTATCATGACATTTTTATTCTGCGGTATTTCTTTTATGCTATATTGTTAGATTTTCTATAACATTTTCATAATTAACGTAGCTGTAGTTTGTAGTGATTCAATACGAAGCTCAGGCTGTTGACTGTTGACTGTTGGTAGAATCTGAGGTTGTAGGTCAGATATTTATCAAGGCTGACTGGATTTTGCAGTGAAAAGCTTAGAGAAACAGGCTTGAACTTTGCAATCCAACAGGTCGGGCTCTTATAGTCCAGAAGAAAGTTATATGAGCTTTGAGAAAAGATTCCCGAGCTAAGAGTGCTCGGTGCATGGTGGCATTCTTTGTACCAATAAGATACCGATAGTGGAGTATCAGGCTGGAAAGACCCTTTAAACCACTGCTATATTATTATATACTTTTACTTTAGTCTCCCGTTTTTTAAAGATAAAAATCCTTCACATTAAACGTACATTCTGAGATTTTTGTGACACAGTATACTAGGACATTTGAATACCTTTTTTATGACTTTTTTTCAAAAGCTTCTTTTTTTTACATCCTATCAACATACTATGCTATGAACTTTGGCTTAGTATATACCACATATACTATGCCAGTGGTTCCCAAACTTTTCTGCTGAGCCCCCATGATTATAACATTGAAGCCCCCCCAGCCTGAAGGGGTCGTACCTTCTTTGTTTGGAATTAATTGGAATTAAAATGAACTTAGTGCTCGTCGAGCACATCAACAGTGCCCTGATAGCCCAAAGAGGACACAACATCATTTCTGTGCAAACAACAAGTACAAACATCATATTTCCCCACATTTAATAGCAGGATCATATTCTCTTTTTAATCTGATTAGGTTCACGTGATCAGGCTGGTGGGTTTCCAAGCGTCTTCTTAAATAAGTGGGCTTCATTGTGTCTGCCGCCAGTATTTCAAGACACCCAACACACTGGGGTCTCTTCTCTTCTTGGCCGACCGTAGTGCTCGTAAAGCTCAGGGACGGATTCACCTCGTTATATTTTCGCACCTTTTTTTGTGCCGTTGTTGTAGTGGTCGCGTTGCCTATTCCACCTGGAACAGCTGGAATAGGAAAAAGCAAGGCCTTTAACTTTTAACGCAATCAGGAATCTTAAGGCCTTTATAGTGCTTAAGATTCACGATTGAGTTAAATGTTTTGTCAGTAACCTACATTTACATACAGCAGCATGAAAAGTCAAAAGGTTCTGTACAGTGATGATGAGATGAATTACTATGAGATAAGGAGTGTCTGCTAAACACACAGTACTCTGAACGGCTCCTGTCATAAACCTTGAACAAATTATTTTAACTAGGCCCGCCACCTTTAACGGAGCTGGTTTAAATTGTACCTGATGTCCACAAGTGTCATTTGCGTACTGCATGCATAGGCCGAGCAATAGAGATTATGCATTAAAGATTAGTCTGATGAAAGATATAATAAGCCCGATATCATTAGTCCCCTGTTTTGCTTCCTGTCGTCGCATTAGCTGAGAATGGCGCTTACATACTTATACTGGAAGAGTGTTTTCGCCTGCCTCATTGTAGGCTGTCCAGCTTAGCCTATGACAGTGCCAGTAAGCAAGTATCTTGAGGGAGAAAAGGTCTTTTCTTCTTGTGTTTTTCTTGCCATCACTTTTCTCTCTCTCTCTCTCTCTCTCTCTCTCTCTCTTTTCTCCATCTCCCTTTCTGTCTTACAGATATTTTATGCATGGATTACCTCAAAGCCGTGTAGGCTGTACCACGCATTGGCACCAATCTCCTCATTGGGACACAGAGAAAACAAAAAATTAGAACTTGCATCCACACGGAAGAGATAGGCCGTCCTTTAAGCACAGTTTCAGAGCAGACACACATGTAAGACAGTTTATCGGTTCAGACTGTGCGCATTAAGGCACCTTCGCCTTATTCAAACAGATGAATTTCCTTTGGTAAACAGACCTGGTTTAGAGTGTTAAGATTGTCACATAATCATTTGGAATGGGATTCTTGGGGGAGGATTTTGGCAGGAGAATCACAACACTAATGCCACCACATTGAAACTACCTCAATAGCTCGCTCTATTCTCTAAGGTTCATTCCCACACTCTTCTGGGGAAGTGTAATTTTGCTTGAGTAGTCTGTTCCATGGTCTCAATTATCTACTTGGTGGCAGACGGAGGACATTTAAACTTGCAATGTGGTGTGTGCTTTTGTCTGGGCTAATTATTGACCGTGGGGACGTGTGCAGCCTCGGCTGCCGGTGCGCAGATCCACTGTACTGTACCTGACGCAGGCTGCCTCTGACCTTCAGAATCGATTTGTTTTGTTTTTGCAGCCGTACAGTTCTGTTGAGTGCGCTGGCTTTCTCTTGTGAAATGACAAAAGTGTTGTTCAGTCAGAACAAATGAGCCTGTCCCCCCTCCTCTTCCTCATCCCCGCTCTCTCCTTTTGTTGTTATTTGCATTAGGAATCAGCCTGCTCATTCCTCCCGAGGCCATCCCCAGAGGAAAGATCTATGAGATTTATCTCACTGTTCAGAGGAAGGAAGATTTAAGGTGGGTCTCTTTAACACTGCCTGACTGGCAGTCTTCCCTGGGTGCCACTAGGCTGTTTGTTTTGATGCGCTATTGTTCCATTAGGAAAGGCTTTAGAGTCTGTGCCAGTACCGAGAGATGTAAATACAATTTTAAGTTAAATGCACAGTTTCAGGAACGCTGTTTATCTGGCTCGCTACATTCAAGTCTCTGAAGGCGCAGTCATCATAGCCTACTTTGATAGGGGTATTATTCAGTCATCACAACTATGCCCGAACAAGTCGGCGAGTTCAGCAGCGGGATTTCATTGTTCTCTGTTAACAGCTGCTGGATCATTTGCAGAGGGGGGGGTCAGAAAGTTCTCACAAATAACGTAATCACTAAAGGCACTTTATCCTGGTCCATCTTCCTCCCCTCTCTCCCTGTTGTAGGTTACCCCTGGCCGGCTGCCAGACCCTGCTCAGCCCCGTTGTGAGTTGCGGCCCTCCCGGGGTGGTCCTGAGCCGGCCAGTTATTCTCAGCATGGACCACTGCTCCGACGCGTGCCTCGATAACTGGGCCATCCGCCTCAAGAAGCAGAACTACGAGGGCACTTGGGAGGTGAGACGGCACTATAACTTCACCGATCCTCCAGAAGGATAAAGTTGCCACCCACTGAATTTGTAAAGTCTTACTGAACACACAGAGAGCTTTCCTTGAAAAAGTACAAACCGGGTCCGCGGTGATTTGAAACTGGCACTGGAAAGCACTCAATGCTGTATGGCAGAGGCAGTTCTGGCCCAACGGTCATCTGGCCTCCATAGAGTTTAAATGATATTGTCCATCAGGTATTTTCTCATTGGGCTGGGGAAAAAAAGCCGGTAAAGTCCTTCCAGCTCAAGAGTTGCTAGGCAACATATTTCCCATAACAGAAATTCTCTAAGCAAATGACTGATCCTCGAAGTACTCTCCTGAGTGCTCCTTGGCCATTTTTGACCGCTGCTTCCAATTACCGAGTTCCCTTCCCTTTTTTCTATCCATGAAATTTGAAAGTAACCAGAACCGCCAGACTGCAACAGGATCGAGTTGGGGGAGAACGTTTGGTGTACAAACACACACCCTTGCAAACAAGTGCGGTTTGAGGCAGCATGCACACGTCTTCACAATCCAGAGGGATTGGAAAGGGTGCTGCCGGGCTACAGGGCGTTAGTAGGTCTTCTTTCATGTTCGATATTGTGCATAAATTATTCAGCCTCCCCGTGTGTGTGTCAGCGGTGGGGTGTCTGTGGGATGGATCGGCCTGTCTGAGGCAGAGGTTAGACCAGCACTTTTAATCATCGGCCGGACCAAATATAGCCCCACGGCCTGGCTGCGCGTCCAGCGAAGGAAAAAAGTGCCAGGTGGACGAGAGAATCAGAGTGGAAGCAACCGCAGCGAGCACGGAGGGGAGGAAACTGAAAGAAATGAGGCAAAGAGGAAAAGAGATGGGGAGAATGGACGTGCAGAAGCGGAGGGAGTTGTAGGAATAAATTGCTTGTGGAGTGAGCGCTCAGTGGTGTAATCGAGCCCCCTCATTCTCTATTCCACCTCGGAGAAATAAATATTAAGATGATGAAAAAGTGAGACTTCATTGTGGTTGCATAGGCAATGAATTGTGTCAATACTAATGTTATTGATGTGGATTGTGTCTCATTGAATCGATCCTGGAGGAGCTCGCTGGGCTTTTGGCAGGCAAAATGCTCTCTTCAGCTTGATTGGGTAATGAGAGGAGTCAGTCAAATGGCATGATGGGATTTTAGAAAGAATATTGTCACCTTGTATCAAATTAGCCCAGAGAGCAGTGGGATTATCTCTCAAAACTGTCCCATACTGTGATGGGATGCAATATTTTCGTACGTCTGTAATCTTTATTAGAGATTCAGTTGTGAAACAACCAGTACCAGTACCAGTACCAACTCTACAAAGATGCACGTATTCAAGATGATGCTTTTCTGACATGATTGAATCCATCTGGTTTTTTTCTAATTGGCCAAGAAAAATGCCAATGAATTATTTTGCGGCCATAGTTGTTTTTTCAACATATTTCACCCTCAACAGTGATGTTTTTCCAATAAATAGGCAAACGGATTCCAATCTCAAAGACTGAAGGAAATTCCAGAAATCCCAACAATCCGATATTTACTGCACCTCCCCATTTCTTTTTCTTTCTCCGGCACCATGTGTTCTTGCCAGTAATCTATGTGAGTCTCCTTTCATGTCAATTGAGTACCTCGTTCATGCATTATTAAGTGAATTGATGGTGTTCTATAGGATTTGTGGGTTTCTTTGTGTCGGTATGGAGTAAGAGTACCACGGCGAAAAGGGAATCTGAAACAAGAACAAAGTATTCATATTGTTTTTTTTACACTTATGTAACCTTACCTTTTAACTTTGTCTCACTGCAGAAGCGACACAGTCTGTGCTTTGATACTGTGCCAAAAGCTTTTCCCAACAAACCCTTTACAAACACAGACTCGCGCATGCAGACATCAGTTACCCAGGCAAACGCATTACCCTTTCCTCCTACGTAAATTGGGTGCTTGACCTTCCAACCACACTCTGGTGTTGTTTTTCCTCCTCCAGGACGTCCTGCTGATGGGCGAGGAGCTGGTGTCGGAGCCCTATTATTGCCAGCTCGAGGCCGAGACGTGCCGGCTTTTCTCGGAGCAGCTGGGCACCCTCGCCCTGGTGGGAGAGTCCCTGCACATGGGTGCCGCCAAGCGCCTCAGACTGGTGCTCTTCTCCGACGCGTACTGCTCCACGCTGGAGTACAACATCAGGGTCTACTGCATGGATGACACACAAGACGTTTTCAAGGTAAATTGTGAAATCCCTCTGTTATTTGGTTGTGCTGGAGTATCTCAGCCTGAGATTGCACGAGGCAGCTGAGTGATAGACCATTATGTGTAATAGCATTGCCTGTCACATCGGAAGGTTAGTAGAAAACGGCGCCGGCATGTAGGAGTTAGGCGTTGCCATGGCAAATTGAACAATATTGCAAGCCTGATTAAACCATGTGGCAGTTCAAGAGTGTGTGATTTGTGGTGCTGTTGTTCCCCCACTATTGAAACAATGACATTTGTCTTAAGTTAATCGTGGTACGCAGTACAATCTCTTTGCCTGTTCTTGTGTGCCTACTGAGATGTAAAATGAGTTGTATTAAAGATCCAGGGCATTAATAAAGCAGCAAAAAACAATTTCCTGTGTAGCAATATAGGGGAGTTATACCCATCAGTCTACCTGAGCAGAGAAGGAAGTCACTCTTCCTTTGCATGTGTTGTTGCTTAAGCTTCACCTTGCTTTTTTCAGGCATGCCGGATGCTTATGTCGGTAAGCGGCCGGCTGGTCGGCTAACAGCCGCCACTCCACTACTCTCGTGCCGACCGCCAGTAGCGCGGTGGGTTTGTGGCACCTGGCCTCTGGTAAACACTGTTATCTCGCCCAACGCTTCCGCCGTAGTTATCCCTGTCAGCACTCTTACTACAGTTTGCCTTGATGAGAGCCAATCCAAACGCTCCAAATTTCAGATCTTAAACCTTTACATTTCTTTGGTGCCTTTAGTGTCTCTGCTCGGCTGCTATGGGCCGAGAAGCTTCCCGTCACTTTGTGCAACAGCATATTTCTCCTTTTTGCTCTCCACATGGACGCAGTATAATCAAGCACTAATGCCTTCCTCCCTCCCCCAAGGACTTCCTCTGAGTAGCCTGTTAAGATTTAATTTGCATGGTTAATTAGTAAATTAAAAGGAGAGCCTCCCCCAATCCTTTCCCAGCAACCCCTGTGCTCTTGTTTCTTTCTCTTCACGCCGCTCTCCGTGCAGTTCCAGCCACAAGAGCCACTTTCCACTCCAGTCCACTTTTGGCAGCTGTAATGGCCGACCTCCTCGTGCAGAGGTTTCCTACCGGCACCGACTGTGGTTGGCTGTGGGACGTAAACAATGGAGGGCATTGGAGACTCCAGCGGAAATTAGCGCTCACACACTCAGGAGGATGAAAACTGTGCAGCGGTGTGAGAGTCACCTAAACCTCTCTGGCTCACATCTGTCTTTTTGTGGCTTAAGTGTGCCCCCGCTGCTGTCTCTCTGTTCCTGACTCAGTTCACTCACAGATATTGCCGGCTGACATGTTGTGTTCTAATGTTCTAATTTTTGTTTTTAAATATAGCATTCAGGAGTCAAACCCTGTAAAGCTGACGCAGCTCGTATGCAGCTTTGTATGCAGACAGAAATCCGGCCTTTCCGTTTATTTGCCGTCAAACCAGTTGTATTGATGAGTTGTCGTCATGTGTTGAGATCATCGCGTGACCCTGTGATGTTTTGCTGCAGTCTGGCTGCTCAAACGACCGCGCACGTCCCGCGTCGGATGCAGGGGTAGTATTGGTGGACAGAAACTTGTCCTCTCTTTCTCTCTCCCTCTGTGTCTCACCCCCCCAGATAGCTCTTCTCCTGCTTTTCCCCCCATCTCTCAGCCAGGAAAAGGACATCTGAGCTTGTTGACTCCCGCACTTGTGCTGCCGTACTCTGCGGCTCCCCCGACGGCCTTGAGTGCATTAGCTCCCCGTCTCTCACACAACCTGGACCTGTGGTAAGCCACAGCGTCTCCAGGGTTTTGTAGTTTTTAGTGAGTGATTTAAAATGTGGCCCACACTCTTTACTAATCTCAACTTCACACTGCTCTTGGTGCTATTACAGAGGGAGCAGTTCATTTAGCAAGTACATTAACCACTTTGAGTGGAGATTTAACTTCCCTGGAGAGGTTCTGCATAATCACTAATCACTAACTTTAAAATGCACCATTTATGATTAGACTTTCACTATGGCTAACATTAAGAGTTAATTGTAGTGTGCAACAGCGGTGGTGTAGCAGTAGGTGGTACAGTCGAGTGTTTTTTCTTTTTTTTACAGTGGAGTGAATCCAATTGATGGACAGTACACCTTCAGCACATGTGAATTTTATGACAGCGTTTGCTGCCTGCTTCTCTTTTTTTAGAGAAAAGACTGTCCATGCATGAAACAGACTTTGCTTTGGATGGGAGATAAAAACTGAACAGAAAAGACATTTCTCTGCCTTTTCTGTTGGATGTTCAGTGGCAGGGATAACTGTAGAAACCAAAGGGGATACTGAGGGCTTCCGGCTGGATGGCTGTCAGTCTTCGCTGAAAAGCCTCCATAAGCGGCAATGACACGTACGCACACCCACAAACATGTGGACACAAGCATGCACACCACACTTATGCATGCTGTACCATGCAATCTCTTATCTCCCAATTACAGCAGATTAAAACCAATGTTATCGCCTTTGATCCTAAGTGTGTGGAGGCTCTGGGGAAACAGTGACATTTCCGTCTGATGCTTGCCGTATGTTAGCAGGGCTCTGCCGGGACCAATTAAGTTAATATTTAATGTGTGTCCCACTCTTGTCGGGCCCAGCCAAGGCTGGCGCAGCAGCAGAGGAGACACAGTCTGCGTTTGGTAGCACTCTGACTGTGCACTCGGTTGTTTCTAGCTGGACTTGTGGGAGAGCTTCACTGATGTTCTGCCATCACACAACTGATTGAAACACCTGCAGTGAACCGAGGCTCCGAATTCAGAGACAAACCAGCATCCGCTGGAACGCTGCCAACCAAGGTGTCTTGTGTGCGATCGGGATGTGGTGCAGCTACATTTTTTATTACTTTTTAAAGTAATTTTAATTTTATTGTTATTATTATTATCATTTCAGAATCTGTCAGCTTTTGGTGTCAACAATAAAATACTCAGTATGTTTTACCTATGAGCATAATCCATGCGGACAAGAACGAAAACAAATGTTCTTACGCCTACCAGTCTCTGTTTTGAAAGCCCATTTTTGGTCTACTGTTAAACACATTATTTCTAAACCACCCACTTTCAATTTTTGTTTTTTTATCGAGCTTGACGTTCATATTTTCTGTTTTGAGTGCCAAACCTTTTTAGGGATGACAATAAATACCAATTCAGCACATTTCACAATGAAAATCTTGTCTCTTATATATATATATTTCTTTGCCCTGTCAGGGGCCCAGTCTCTAAGGACGGACAGGTTGATCCACCATTTTTTTTTTTTACAGACATTCATGTTCCTAAAGGGATTAGACTTGACTAATCTGACTGTTGTGTTCCCCTGACTTTTCCTCTAGTGCCATAAAATAAGTTCTATTTCCAATAGCCTCCGCTTTTCCTTGGTGCTAATTGGCAAATGTTGCTTACACGCCAAACTGTTCTGATTAACTTCATCCCCGTTCAACATTTGCCTGTCGGTGTTCTCATTGTGAGCAATGAGCATATTAGCATTCAGCTCAAACTCTTAAGAACTCTTAGTTCAAGTGACCTGTAGCAGCCATAAAACTTCCCAAATGGTAGAACTATTTCTGTTAGCTCCCTTTTAAGCCACAAGTATTGCATTTCAGACTCCAGAATTTACACTTTCGTCGATGTTCATGTAGTGAGGCAAATAGATTATGCTTTGTGACCCTCGGTAATAAAAATCTTTTTTTCTAGTTTTAAATGGGTGTTTAATTGATGTCCAACTGGTTAAACAGTGACTCCTGGAGTCTTTTGTAAAGTGTTTGACCTCAAGCTTTTATTTAATTTGTGTATAAAAGGGCTCATAAACGGTTTATGTGCTACCTCCGCGATGACGTTTTCTTCCCTTAACTCCTGAGCAGAATCATTTTGTCTATCAGATGAGAGAGAACCGGCAAGAACAGACTGTAATACAAACACTTTTTCTGATCTCTCCATCAGAAAAGTTACTGGCAATGAATTCTAGGCAAAAAAAACAAGCAACAGCATAGCCCAGTAATTGCTGGCATTAAGTTAAACAAGACAGTAAGCTTTATCATTGAGCCCAGCAGAGAAATTGCTTCCATATTATATTTCTGTGTTCCTGTGTGCTGTTTTCCTCCCGTCCTGCTCTGTGATTTATCAAGCAGAATGTGCATCTTCTCCCTAGCAAATGCTGTACCCATTTATAACCCAGCAGACAAGTCCCTTCTATTTGTAGTTATTAATCAGAGTTGACTGTAGCGGGCACGGCCACTGGAGCTCAGACTGATAGACTCTCAGTCAGAGAGGAAAAGCCTGTCACATCCTGCTGACAAATACACAGATTTATGGAGCCCACATAGCCAGGCTACTCTCTATAAACAAATGCATTTTCCTGAAAAGAGCATCTTCGAAAATGGATCGTCGCAGCGAATGCACATTTTTTAACACATGGGGCTATAACAACAGGAGTTAAGGGGTGAGGCAGAGTTTGTGAGGATATTAAAGGCTTCGTATCTCTCTTACGTTTCAGATGACATGAATAATTAGCTGATCAAACGCAAGTTATGAATCCCCATCAGAGCTAGTTAAGTTAATCGGTTCATTACGGCCCGATCCAGAACAATAGATGACCACGTGTAGTAGCCTGACCTTGCAGTTAGGGAAGCAGCTTTGAACCAGCCCAGTTCTTTTTATATACTTATAATCAGGCCAAAAAACACTTTGATTTCTTGCATCCAGATGACCGGCTGTTTTTGTTGCGAGGGAGCATTTGGTGCAGCCACTAACCTCTTTCTGTCAGCACCAGCCCGAAGAGATTAGCTCTCTGAGTGTCTCTTGTTCCCCGGCGGAGCCAAGCCCCAGTCCATCACAGTCCCAGCTCTGGTCCAGGCCAAGAGGATGAAGGGATGGGAGAGGAGCGGTTTGGGAGACGAGTGAGGGTGGGAAGGCGGTTGAAGTCTTAGAAAAACTGTGGCCATGATTGCAGTAATCCTGTTATCTCTCCTACTAAAGCTGGCCACTCTAGTGACCTGGAGACACAAATGTTAAGCTGCCTCTGTCTCTCTTCTCTCCAGCTCCTACTCTTTTCACTCCTTCGTGCTCCATCTCGCTCTCTTTAGCCGGCCTCATTGAATGTCAGGGGGTGGTCTTAAATTCACAGTCTTCACACACACCACAGGCTATCTTGAATTCCGTCAGAACAAAAGGCTTTTTTTTTCTCATGCAGTACTTGAACTTCTCGCCCATCTCATGCATCTGAATGTTTCCACAGTTGTACAGGGTCAGGGTGTCCAAAGAGAAAGGACTACTTCTTATCTCCACTAACTGGAAAAACAATTTAGCTCAGTTGATGATTATTATGTGATTTGATAAACTAATTCAAAGCCTTGCATTGTTTTCCCCCAGAAAGAGTAAATAATATGGTCAAATTTAGCTTCTCATCTATTAGCTGGCTCACACTGTCATTTGTTAACAGGATAATGGGGCGTAAAGAGGGCCATTATTCTCTCAGTCCAGAACATATGCTGAAACCCTGCACAAAAACACATTCACACACACGCTGAGGCTCTTTGGCACGCATAAATAATATGCACGCGAGACAGTGTCATTTGAGAGGAGGACATGTCCACACTTTAAAGGAGGAAGCGTCATCCCGTGTTCTATTTTATTTCCCTCACTAGGCTCATTGTCCCTGTCGGGTAGCCGTAGTGCTGCACCCTGGACCTGGTTTGATTGTAATCCTTCTGTGTCAGCCTTGAACTTGACAAACTGCTGGGCAGGCGAGTTAGTATTCATTCTAGTCGCTATCTGTTGATAAGATAATTGGCATTCTGCCCACTTTCTCTTGTTAGCAGGCCCAGAGATCCGCTGCTTCGGGTCAAGACCCGATAGAAAGTCCACCAGCCCCAATTTCCAAAGCTAATCGGCCCCAACAAATAATTGTCCTTAAGAACTGTGTTAAATAAACCTCTCTTGAAGCCCTCATAATGTGGCTTTTGTCTGCTTGAGAGATATAATGGAACAGGGCTTTTAATTCTATGGAGAACTCTGCGCCCTCTGTTATTAACTCATTAGAGCTCAAAGCTTTGATTCAGAGACACAGTCTGACCTTCCCACTCTGAGTGTAGGCTCTGGCATTGCGGCACAGTTAAGAGAGATTATGGTCTTATCTATTATCTTTAAGGTGCCCGGGCATCTGGTTGGAAGGAGTAAACCTACATGCAGCCACAAAGATGTACAATCACAAGGGGGATAATATTTGTGGAAATTAGCGATGGGCTGAGCAAACATGGAAATTAAATACAGAAATGTGCTTATTCAGTGATGCGGAGAGAGCACATGAAAAAAAATAAAAACAGTTAGAGATTCCAAATGGGTAATTAACAGCTTCCTTTCCATCACAATTGGAATCAGATGCTCATTCCTGGGAAAGAAGGCAGCATTGTGCAGATTGTGGATTCTCCAACCTAATGAGGTGCCTTTGCTGAAATCAAACCATGGGCATCCATGCTGGCATGTAACGCTGGTGTTCATATGGCTGCTATCTACATCTATCTACAACCCTCTTGGAGTCCTTGTCTTTGAGATATGTCTCATGGAGTCCAAGGCACAATCCTGGCCGCCTGTTTTCCTTCGGCTGCCATCTTTTTTCCCTCCTCAGACCGATTAAAAGAACATATCTTGTTTCTCAGGTCTTTTCACACTTCTAATTTCAGAGGTCTGTTTTTCCTCTGTGGAAAATATGCTCCTCTGATCGGAGGTGGCACATGTGAACGCCATCCAAAGGATCAGTCTTAAAGACTTGTTCGGCACAAAAATGAATTGATAGATCAGAGGGAGATGCAGCGGACATTATCATCCCATTCCAGATGGTCATTTGGATGGCAACAAATGGTCGACTGAGCAAGTCCCACAGAGATTAAAATATTAAGCAAGCATTTACAAATCTCTCCTGGCACAAAAACAAAAATGAAATTAAGGCGATTCGCCATGCGAGAACAATGAGCAGTTGACTAATGGCTCGTTCACTGCCTTCATCACAGCCCAGGTAGCTCGTAGGCCAGGGTGGGCTGCGGTATTTGCATGCTAATGCAGTTGCTGGAAGCTGGGCGCGCACACTGAGGCAGGGAATCAACCTTGTGGTGACATTAAAGTGCTGTGGAGACGAGGAGCACCAGCCCGCTGTGGCTGCATGCGGGGACACTATCTTCCAGTCCTACGATGTACCGTCCCCCCGCTTTAAACCGGTGCTGCGTATGTCAGAGAGAGAGAGAGAGACTGCATGTGTTCCTACCATTGCCTATTCCTTGTGTGTGTGTGTGTGTGTGTGTACTACTACTTGTTTTGAGTGGTGTACCATTAAAAAAATATTCATAGATTGTTTTGCACATTCTCACTTACCTCTGTGACTGAAAGGTAAATGTGTTCCCCCCCCCCCCCCCCCCCCACCCCACCGACCCCTTTCATCAGGAGGTGATGCAGATGGAGCGGCAGCTCGGGGGTCGGCTGATTGACGAGCCTCACGTCCTGCTTTTTAAAGACAGCTACCACAACCTGCGCCTGTCCATCCACGACATGCCCCAGGCACACTGGAGGAGCAAGCTGCTAGCTGGCTACCAGGTGTGTTGGGGGGATTGAGAGGGGGGGGGGGCGGCATGGGCAGGGAGTCATTCCGGATCAGAGCCGGAGCACGGGGAGATGAAATGGAAAGTGCCTGGCTGAATCTGTCAAATTTGCCTTTCAGCTGTTGTAGTGCTTTCTAATGTGTTTGTTTGTGTACTCAATCGAAATCCGTGTTGTCTGGAGGTATTTAAAATTAGCCAGCCAGAGAAATTAAAGAAGGATGGAGTATGTGTCAGCGAAAGTTCTTCAGAAACAGCTTGCTAATGAGGGTCTCTCTAGACAGTTGTTTTGTTTTCAGTCGGTTCCGAGCTTTAATACGTTTTGCTTTGGCTTCAGTAGATCACTTTAAAGATTCTCACCAAGGAGTGTTTTTCAGCCCGTTACCACGGCGTTCCTCTGTCCAATGACCTTTCCCTTCTCGGCACTGTGTGCAACTTAAGTCATTTGTTGGCGTCGGGGGAACCTCTTGGATGCGCGTGCAAAGAGCATGCGTGTTCCTGCAGGGGGGGGGGGGGGTTAGGCGTAGCCGCGTGCATAATGGCGCTGGGCTGTGTGCACTAACCCGGAGCTGCAAGCTGATTGATTATCCTAGTAGTCGACTCATAGAAAAACATAGAGGAGCGCTCTATGTAAATATTTCAACTTCCCGACCGGACGCTCGGAACCCCTCTCCGCCGCCTCACCAGCCCGGCGGCAGCATGACACATGGGGGGGCTGTTCAAAGAAGTAGAAAGCGCTCCGGCTGTAACTATACAAGCACGGAGCACCAGGTCCCCGTAGAGAACACACGGCCGCGCCAAGCAAGCTGCGGCAGCCACAATGCACCCGGAACAGAGGCTTATTCCTCTGGACTGTGCCTGTTCATTTGGAAGTGCTATTCCCCTCTCAGCAGTGCGGTCAGAAAAAGGCCTTTATTCTCCCCCCGGGCCCCCGCAGTGACTTTTGTCCCTTCCAGCCAGCTGCCTCAGTCACTGGTCTGCCTGGGTAACAGTGCCCCCGTTTGGTTGGCAGCAGAGCCTGCCGCTCCGCTCCCAGAACGAGTTCTCCTCAGCTGTTGAAGTGAGGAGTTAGTGTGCCCTGTTTTTTTTTAGGGGAGGGGCGCGGGGGGGGGGGGTTCGCCGGGGGTTACCGCATGGCTTCTCCCGCGATATGCAAATGAGTGAGGAATATGGAGCAAGGGAGAGAATAGAGTAGATACTGTCAGACCTCAATATATTCTGGCAAACACTCCCAGGTAGACAGAAGCTGGTGCTGCTCAGTGATACGACTCAATGCTATTACGCATGCATATGCAGAGCTGTCACATGATTAGTAGAGATGTGATGCTTCAGCTTGGAAACAGAATCGTGTTTAACTGAATTACTGAAAAATAATGGATAGAAAATGTTTCTTATGCCAGGAATAAAAATATCTGTATTTGCTCTGAAATCAGGTCAGATAGATATTAACTCAATCCCTCCATAAGAGCCCCATATTCCGCTTTAAGTTTCCTGGCTATTGTCAGTCTGCTGCCTCAGCTTTATTTAGCCCCTTTCTAACGATGACAGCTTATGTCGGGGTAATTAATGATGATCTCAGTGTATTCTAAGCAGGCGGCCCTGTTTTTGCGTGTTTCAGGCTGGCAGTTCTAACGGTGCCGCTGCGTTGCCGTTTGTTTGTGCCGCGTGTTCTTTCTGCAGGAGATCCCCTTCTACCACATCTGGAACGGTTCCCAGCGGTACCTGCACTGCACGTTCACTCTGGAGCGGCTCAGCCTCAGCACCTGCGAGCTCACCTGCCAGCTGTGCGTGTGGCAGGTGGAAGGAGAGGGACAGAGCTTTAGCCTCGACTTTAACATCGCCAAGGTAACGCTCGCCATTAGAATTCCCCTTTTAGAACCAGGAATTGATTGCACGGCCGGGACTTTCCAGCACCCTCATTAGTCATGTAGGATTGGCTCTTATACCGTGTGTTGCGTATGTGGCTTCCGCCAGGACACCCGAGCCGTGGACTCTGAGTTTCTGTTGATGGACAGTACCGCTGCCGCTCTGGCAGGGCCCAGCGCCTTTCAGATCCCGTACCTCATCAGGCAGAAGATATGCAGCAGCCTGGACGCCCCCTGTCCCAACGGAGCCGACTGGAGAATGCTAGCGCAAAGACTCAAACTAGAGAGGTAAATGCCCAACAGGACGCAAGCGTAACGGCTCATCTGATCTGGCTCATCAATACAGTACATGAAGGCTCCTAAGAAACGCAGCAGAGCCTCGTTTATTTAAACCCCTGGAGAATCGAGGTGGCACAGCAGTAGATGTGTATCATCAACACACGACACACAGCTTGTTGAAAATGATGAACATAGTAACGCGTTACGATGGAACTCCACTGGAAACACACCAGTCAAATGTTTCCCCCTGAAGTTCACGTAAACAAAGTTCTGCCCTAGCAGGCTAATCCTCATTTGACACCGCTAACGTTATAGGATTAATGTAGACTTGATGGATACAGCTATCATTTCTGTGAGAAAACACGACCCTCTCCTTCTTTCCCCCCCCTCAGGAACAGGTAAGCAGCTTAAAGTCTGCAGCTAAACTTGCACCTGCTCCATTCTGCTTAACCGTTATAATTGGAAAGGTAGGGAGCAAGCTGCCCATCAGCGGCGAAAAAAAAAAAAAGATTGGATAGGTTTGGATCTGTGCCGACCGCAATTCGTTCCCGCAGTAACTGTAGTTCATCACAGGCGTACCTGTAACACCGGAGAGCCAGACATTGATCTCTTATCCTCCACCAATTTAATTTCTGCCCCGTACACTTAATTTGTCCGATCAACTTTATTTACCCCAATTATTCACAAATTGAATTGATGCACTACGGGTTTAATTAGCAATGTTTTACTCAACATAATCAATTCTCATTCTCAAGCCTCGGGAAGGAACAACCGCTCTGCTGTTTGATCTGCCCTTAACAACATGTTTTCCTGAAAAGGCGGCAGCCCCCGCTGGCATTCTATCACGCCGTATTTCTCTGTTTGTTTCTGTGTGCGTAAAGCGTTCAGACCGAGCGGAACGGGACAAATCAATAAAACTTAAAATGCCAAGAACCCTTTTATTTGATCTCTCTCTCTCTCTCTCTCCTAAGACGGAGCAAACGTCTGTGTCTGAGCCACACAAGATAAGCTTGTGTTTCACACGGCGAGGTGCCTAAGCGGGGCTGACACGTCGGACACTAAGCTCTGTCTTTTTTTTTTATCTGAATAATGACAGAGGTTTGTTCCCAGACACATTTTGTTTTTGACCAACTCTTTGTAGTGTTCTCCCGACGCAGAGGGGGGAAGGCTGCCCGCGCTATAAAATCCAATTGACTCAAAATAGCCGAGTGGCGCTTGTGTACAGCCAAAGCAGCCACATGTTTATGACCATCACAGAATGCTTCGCTGGGCAAACAGGCGACACGAGAAAGTAATGGACTCTGTCTGACCTTTCTCGAGGTAAAAAGGGTGTTTTTTGGGGGCTTCTGGTCTCACAACACAATCCCCCTTTGTGCCATTGGTTTACGCTCTTTTTTTCTAATGTCATGTGTGCTTTACATAACAGTTAAGGCCCCAGACATTTGGAGAACAGAAAAAGGCCATTAAATCCAACAAGAATCTTCGGGTACCGCAGGGATCAGGTCCCACTCAACATCAAATATACAGCTGGCCGGGGCCACTGCTTTGTTGTCATTGATTGGGTTTGATCGTAAAAGTTCTGCTCCTAAAATGGAAAAGGTCACTTCCGACTTAACTGTGAAAAGTCTATATAGGATTTATTATATGAGATTTAAGGTCGATTTGAACATCAAATAAAGAGGAATGAGGATTATGCTGCTAAGCCCCAAATGAAAATTGCCAGAGATTGTGTTTTGGCCGGCAGCTAGACTGTGTTCTATATCCTTTGTATCTGTTCTCTACTTAGTGCTCCAACGCAGGATGTAACAATAAAACAGTCAAAAGAAGTTGACGTCGAGGGAGTTACAAGAAGCAGAGGCGCTATAAAATACCATCCAGAAAGGTTTCCTAAATAACTCTGGTGGAGAAAATCAGTTTGCTTTGGTACGTGCACGTTGCTTGATTCTAAGATGTCTCATTGGTCCTCCGACGCTCTTTTTTTTTTGTGCTCTTCCCGCCGCAGACACATGAGTTTCTTTGCATCCAAAGCGAGCCCGACCTCTGTGATCCTGGACCTGTGGGAGGCACAGCATTTCCACAGCGGCAACATCAACCAGCTGGCCACGGTCATGGCTGACATTGGCAAACAAGAAGCCATGATATTCCTGGTCTCCGACGGCGAGTGCTAGCCCAGATCGGGGGAGAGTACAGAACACGCGGAGAGACGACACGTCCGCAGCAGCAGGAATCCAAGAGCAGAGCTGCTCCCTCTTGAGAAGATGTAAGGGTTTATGTAGGATTGAACGCCCGTGTCCCAGCAAACCGAGGGAAACTCCTTAGGTGACAGACCAAATGAGAGGTTGGGTGTGTGGGGAAATGTATTCATGAAACTGCTCTTTATTCTCCATCGAAGTTTGAAGTTAAATCAGTCCACGCCGTCGGTGTATCTCCATACACAACATTAAATTAACGTTTGTATAAGAAGCAACATCCAAACTCAATGCTATCACTGAAGGCCACTATCAGTGAAATCTCAATGAATAATTCTTGAACTTCAATATTTATATAAGTGGATGCGATCACTTCAGGTTAAAGAGAACAGGCGACGGTTGCGGTTGGAAGGTTCGTTGTGACGTTCTCTGAGACACTGAACACGTTCTCCTCAAGGTCATCAGGGTCTGTGAACGCACCGTCCCTGACCCTGTAGGACCGTATAGGTTCCCCTAACACACACACACACACACACACACACACACACAGACAGCTTGTAGCGCATCCTGGACTCGCAGGTTTCAAGTAGATTGTATGTCAGAGCCCCAAGTCTCCTCGGGTTTGTTTTCCAGTCCAGCCGGTATCACTACTGTGAATGTAGCATCTTGACATCTTGATTCTGCGAGACGCTTCACAGCTCCCCCGCTTCTAAATCAATATATGTGGGATTTGGGTTCTTTGAACTTTTTTTTGAGGGAAGAGTGAGTAATACATTGGCTGGTCATATCTCTGAAGCCGTTTCTATTTAAATCCTTTTATTTCTGATTTGTCCAGTTTATTTCTAGTCTTCTTTTAACCTAATTAATCATAGTGGTGGGTTTTTCTCTTTGAAACCACCTCCACTATCATTCCTGCTGCATTCATGAGGACGCTGAATGTCGTCCAAATGTATTCCTCATAAGGACATTTCCAACCCTGGTTACGGTATTTCTGTGGCAGAGGTTGTTGAGCATAGCGGGGCCAAATGATTATCCTACATGAATAATGCAGCTCCTTTTCCCCCGTAGAAGATCTGACAACAAATTCTTCAAATCTTCACCAGATTACTATGAAAGGGTAGTTGTGGGGCTTTTGTTTTTTTGTATCATTCATAGAGCTATGTTGGTGGGAATTCTACATTTGCTGTGTGGCAAACGCTATTTCCACATCAAAGAAAGGCCTTTCTCTCCGAGGAAGTGGAGAGTCCCTCATGGATGATTTCACGCCTCCGCTCACAAACGATGCTTTGAAAGGGTTTTATCTTCCTTCATCATTTCTAGCCAGGATGGCAAAATCTATCCAGCAGATTTATGCAACAAACCATAAACTGCAACTAATCATTTGATTATTATATTTAGCTCATTCACATTAAAGGGAAGCAATGCAACCCTTGATATGGATGTCCTATAAGTGCTGATGGTAAATGTAGTCCTCTGAAGAGAATCCCCCCCCAGCTGTGCTATGTTGACCGGCTGTGCCTACATGTAACAGGATTAATTACACGAGTGCAACTAGTTCTCTAGACAAAATACCAAAATGTCAACGGAGGACATTTTCTTACCACATAGAACAAAAATACAGCCGTACCCCTTGAGTCCATAAGTCAGTTAGTGTAGCCACTCTTCAAACTATCAGTGTGTCTGGTGTGTTTTGGTAGATATAAATCCATGATAACAAATATGACAACAGGCTCGTCGGTGGCACCAGGACATCACGGCCCCGCAGCTACAAAAGCTGGATTGGCACAGTTTTTCCCCGTCGCAGCCACCTCACCGTACGGAGGGAGAACGGATTTTGCGGCTGCTGCCCAGAGACAAAGTGGACCTTAGCCACAACGGTCACGCTGCCGCCAACTCCGATTGATAGACGAGTTTGAGCATCGGCACGTTTTCCCGTTAATTTACGGTTATCTTTGTGTTGTTTTTTTATAAATGGCTTGTTCAGGTCTGGTAACAACAATAAATACACAGATTATCATTTCAAGTCCACAGTTTCAGTAATTGTACCTTGAGAAGGTGTGAGCAATCCCAAATTAGCCATAGTTCTCTCTGCGTCTGCCTCAGGGTTGCATGTGAAGATGTCCGTTAAAGTTGTAAAGAGAGCCCTCCCCATGAAATCCCTCCTTATAGAAACAGCGCGCACCGCCCGTCCCACCAGCTCCTGTGGCTTCAACCTTTAACACTATCTGGAGCCTCTTTCATGATTGTCAGATATTTGGAATGTACATTTGTGTTTCCTTGTAGGGGGAGAAGAGGATGTTTAGAAGAGTTCCTTGTGTTTGTTTGGCGTTTCAGCATCCGTTGGTTCCCTTTCGTCCTATTCAATGCGCCGCCTTTTGATCGAAACATTTTTACAGGTCCCTGTGATTTGATGCGGAGACGCCATTAAATACCTTTTTTTATTAACTTAAAAAAAACAAAAACTGGGATTAAGCCCCTTTAGGACAAAATGGCGATTCCACCTTAAATCAATCTTTTCATGTTGAAATGGATCATCGTCACGTGTAAATACTTTTTCTATCCCAGCCTTGTGCTGTCACTTTGCATACTGTACATGAGCAGAATTGTTAACCAAAGTTTTCTGAATATAATTTTAGGCCACTTCATACTCATATTGTATCCATTGACTATTGTTTTCCTTGCGGGTAGTATAGAATAAGTCGGAGTTGAGTCTCTTCGAAACTGAGGACTTGGAAGTCCAAATCATTTCATCAGATTTCCTCGCTTTTGTCTTTGATGCAAGTTAACGCTGTTCGTTCAAGCAGTAAATATGTGTCCGTTTATCACTTTGTAAAGAAATGTAAATTATATTTTAATATGAAGCCAAAAAAAAAAAAAGACACTTAACTGGCGCAGCATTTGTCAAGTTTAAACCGTGACGTGTTTGCCTATATACTGTTCTTTGGCGATCTAGCAGTGAAGACTTTTTGCAGTGTTAAGGGTTTAGAGACTGTTTTACAGGAAGTTTCTATACATATTGTTTGTCCTTACTCTGCATACGTCTACCTGATTATAAGTGTAAGCAGCATTTAAATACAAGGTGGAAATAGTCACTAACGCTTAAGGAATCACTACCCTAGGGAGCTAATTGGGGGAAAGGCGGACCCGAACAGCACGTTTAGATGAGCCATGGCAGTTGTACAGTCAGACTGTGTGTGTGTGTGTGTGTGTGTGTGTGTGTGAAACTTGATCAGCCCCTTCATCCTCTTGGATGTGTGTTGTCGAAGCAGCTTTCAGTGATGTAATTCACCAGCCGCCGTGATGTTCAGCATCTATCTTCACATCTAACCAGTCCGACAAAATCAGTGTCTTTGATGAATACGGTTCCCTCGTGATGAAGCCTGGGACTGATCGTTGTGTCAGTAACACACACGCTTTGGTCAAGGGTTTAATGCAGAAGTTAAGGGGGAAATGGATTCATCTCACAACTGTACTTTTTGTGTCACTCATTACTGTTCAGTGTGGTGTGTGTGTGTGTGTGTCACTGAGTGAGCGCATACCTCCCTCTCACAAGAACAAATAGACTTCTGTACTTGTGAATGGTTTTCGTATTTAGTTCCTTGATTCAATGTTCCTTGCCTTTCTGCAAGTCAAAAATGCTGTATTTATTACATGCCACAGCGCTTATGCAATTGTATAATCCTTTTATTGTTTTACTGTTTTTTTTAACCTTTTGTGTTCCTTATCGTCAATGTAAACTGTTGTCAACTTTTGTGGCAAAGGAAATCTTCTGCTGAAGGAGATTTCTGTACTTTTTGGACAATGATATGGATTTGTGGGTAGAATTTTGGAAATTCGTTTCTAAGTGCTTTCAAGTATTTACTTGGCCTTATGTACATATATATATCTATGACATTTCAGAAAAGTATGTATAGTAATTCAACCTGAAATTGTTGTAAATAAATTATATATTGTTAATTCAAGGACTGGATATCTCACTTGACACATTAGTTTATATAACAAGTTATTTAAAGAGAAATACTTTAACATGTTGGAAAATGCTGTCAATCACTATTTGTTCAACATGGTTAACAGTTTAATTACTTGTTAAATGGTATTTGTAGAATGTTTTATTTATACATGGAGAACATTGTAGGGATTCAGTAAGGACTTTGTTACAACAGCTGTTTATGGAAAGTTGTTTTTTTTTGTCTTTTTTTATGAAATAACTTATTTCACTCCAACAAAAAGCATTGGGCCTTTGTCCTCTTGGGGAGCAGGTGTTGGTGAGAACAAAGGCGGCCGAAACATCAGTCAACAGAACGTCTTACAGATGTGTTCAGCCGGGTTTTCTGATCCAGCGCTCGGCATACATTTCAAACGGCTATAAAAAAAATAAAAATAAAAAAGCAATATAAATACAGATTCAACCATAATTTGAAAGTATGGAATAATCCCATTTTCTTTTTTCCTTATAACATGTCAAAAGACAATTCCAGAAAGACAGTGGGGGGAGTGAAACATGGTGAAGGATGAACGTCTTCTTCTTCCCCCACGTGTGTGATTGTTAAAATTGGAGCAGTGGAGGATTATTACATGACTCACAATTAGTTATTAACTACTCAAGCGAATCTGAGCCCATTCTCCAGTTAGTGCTTGCGTGGAGAGGTGCAGGCGTCCAGTCAAGCAGAAAAAGGACACCACTTTTGTGCTCAAACTGGACCCCCATTTCATTAATAGGTACTGCAGTAAGGGACTCAGCCTGGGTTCTGAATGGGGTCACCACTCCCCTACACTCAGCATGGGAGTGGAAGCAGATCATTACTGCAATGTGCAGCCACTCCTTCACCTTGATACGGACTTTGTCTCACTTCAGGTTGAACAAGGATGAGATTAGTACAGCGATGTTGGAATTCTTCTCTACAAACTACTAAATAAATCTGGATCAACTGCGGCTGCACTTTTTAATGTCTGATGTAAAAGAATACAAAGCATAGTCAACAGGTTGGTGATGACACGAAACGATTCCTCGACTACTTCCAGCTTTACAACAGTAGTGTGTCCTATCAGCACGGTAGAAAACAGCATGCGAAGCTAAAAGTAAGCCTCAAATATTGAAACAAAGTCTGTAGGATGGAAGAAAGGCATAGTGTGACTAGGTGTGTGGTTGGAAAGAAGAGAAGTAGAACATGTACGACTGTGCCGGAGGGCGGAGTGCGGTAAAGAGGAGGGAGAGCGAGTGAGAAGCGTTTCTTCCTCTGAAGACGAAGCTCTCTCTCTCCCTCTCACACTGGAGCGAAGGCATGGCCTTTGCACAGGGGCTTATCCTTCTTCGAGTAGAACGTCTTCCCCTCCAGGTTGATTTGACAGAGCTGCAGCGATGAAAGGAGACAGAGACAGATTGGGAGAGAAGGGCAGAGTTGATATCAGACATTAACATTACCAATGTAAATTTACACCATTTCTGACTGGCCATGAGCGGGCACATATTCTTTACTTTTTCGGCTTTCTTCTGAGTGGGAGATGGAGAGTGATAGACTGCAGGGGACAGGGCGAGAGAAAGAGTCTGGAGGAGGGGAAGGAATGGGGGGGGGGGGGGGGCTCGAGGTCCAGAGATGGACGCAGATTTTCAGGTGGCATTGTGCTGGGACAGCCAGAAGAGACGGGGGGCAAAGAGCCCCACGGGGAGCTGCATCAATCAAAATGACTCACAGCACAGACGAAGCACGTATCATGCCAGCTGTAGCCCAAGGCCTCCAGAAACCGATCCCCGGCATCAATCTTAAAGTCACAGCCATGGCATTTGGTGCCGAACATCTTCTCGTAGTCTGGAGTGAGAAAGGTAATAACAATAACACATTTTATTTATAACACACTCTTCATCAGCATATCTCAGAGTGCGAGGTAAGGGGAGGAGACAAGGTGATATGATAGACATCAATCAAAATAAAATCATAAAACGGGGCTTTTATCATCCTGGTAATTAGGTCAAGCATCCGGCATGACCTCCACAGTGACCTTATGTAAACACTTAACCTTTATAGGCTGTTCTGGAGCACTGAGTGTAAAATAGGTTTCCATCGCTCTCATCTTTTAACGATAACTGAAGGCTTTTCCTCTTGAAGGTGAGTAATATTTCACACACTGAATTGAATGACGGCAATAATGATAGATGCAGCAAAGTGTTGGATCCGCTCCTCGTTGGCCGTTTTGAGACTCCGCGTTGCGGTGTTGTCTTGTGCGCTGACTGTACGTTAGCGCCCTTCCACAGTTTAAGGGAGGGATTAGGATGAGGGGAAATTGCTCCAGATACTTAACTGGATTTGCCAGTCCCTTTCATCACAAGGTCTCTTGGGGAAGTGTCAGGTTATAACGCTGCTTGAGAGTGAGTGGGTGGGTGAGACCGCCACAGTCCCAGAAAGGTGCCGAGGCAGCAGAATGTTTATCAGAGCTAAAAGGCATTATTCAGAGTATGAGCGCTCAGGTTCTGGCGTCACCTCCGATAAACCAGCGGTCCACGTGTGAGAGGGAGGCACACTGCATAGCTAAATCACTTACACCATAATGGAAGAGCACACACCATTCATAAAGTTCAATAGAGAAAAGGTTTGAAGTAAACTGGAGCTAAATAGATTACAGTGGATGAAAACATCACACTTTATGATTGACTGCGCTTTGTGCAAAGACATTCATGAGGGAGGCTCATGGCAAAGCCCACAGCGATAATACAACAATGCAATGTTTTACAAATAGCTTGATTAAAAAAATGGATATATATTTGTATGAAAATAAGGAAATCTGTGGAGGGGAGGCAGTGAGCCATTTTCTATTCCACAGAAACAACTAGAATAGAAAATGCACATAGCGAGGCCACACCGTTTTTGTACCACAGCTTCTGTCACATAACCTGAAAGACACTGTTCTTGGTGACAGTATTCATATAAAGTAAAAGGATATGACATCCTTGATCAGATGATCTCGATCACAAACTTAATGCTGCATGGCGGGGTGTCAGTTCTCACTGTGTTCGCTCATGCGCTTAAGGCCCAGTGCAGATTTACGATGCATAAGAACGCCTTCATCCATGTGGTAACTTTCAGGGAGTCTTACATGGGTTGAGATGTTCTCAGCCAGCACTGAAACTAATCAAGCTGCACAGTAAGGACTTTCAGCATGCTTTTTATGCCAATGTTTCATATGTTCTTTTACAGCATTACCTTTTAAAATGTATTAAAAGGCACTTAGCTTTTGGAGACATTTTATGTAAAAACTGGGTGTTTCTGTGGGCGTCAATGTTTGCTCAACCATTGTGTTTACTGCTGCCGTCTTCTACCAAGGTCTTCCTTCCATTTTTCCTCTAGAAACCACATCAATAAGATGTTCCCTTTTGTTTCCCGCAGAGGATTTTTCACCATGGAGATTTGTTAACCTCTTTTATAAAGCCTCTAGAATGTTTGAAAGGGAATGTTGTAGTATAAAGTCTGAATGAGTTTGAATGTCCTTGGAGAAAGGACATTCAAACTTAACCATATACAGAAGTTATTGTTGACTGATATCTAATATAGATCTTTACGTTATCATAATTCCTTATTACTTTGGTTTTTTCATCGGATACATTGCTTTGGAAAGGACATTTTGCATTGACTGATCATAAACATCACATTCTTGACATTAAAGCAATGTTGGACACGCATACACATCCTATAGAGGTTTAATGTAACAGCACATTTTGTCCTGTGTTTCACCCCATAGCTGGTATCTCTGGTATCATTAATTAAAGCATGAAAGGAATTAAAGCATAAAGTAGTTTTTTGTCCCATAATTCCCTAAAAGAGCCAAATCCCCAAATTCTTTTAATTTCTTCCAACTGTCACGGGAAAGGCGCAGAAATGGCCAAGTCGGTGGATACGGTAACAGTTCAAATCCTTACCTTTCTCACAGTAGGGTTCTCCCTCCTCCATGTAAAAGGCTTGGTTCCTGATTGCAGTCTTGCAGGCTGCACACTTGAAACACTCAACATGGTAGGTCATCTTCAGGGCATGCATGATTTCCTGATGAAGGGGAAGAAAAAGGTTAAACATGTATTTTTATTTTGAGCTTACTTACTGTTGCTGGAGTACAAGAGAAACCAGGTCTATGGATTCGTGATTAAAAAAATTGCAGAGTACCAACTATGAAAAAGCAGCTCTTATTAAATGCTGTGTTTCCTTGTTTCTGGAGTATCACACTGGTGAAGTGCTTACCCCTGTGATCTTCTTTTTGCACTTGGCGCAGTTGGGAGCGTATCGGCTATCGTGGCACTTTGCACAATAGACGGACCCTTTCTCCTCAAAGAAGCCCCCCTCGTCCAGGACCACTTTACACTGTGAACATGTGAACTCCTCCGGGTGCCAAGAACGTCCCAGCGCCACCAGATACCGACCGCTGGAAAAGCCCATCAAAGGCATTATTGAAATCTGCAACATCACTTTCTACTTCGATAGCAATGTAGCGCAATGCCCAACAACACGTGGCTAAAGTCGTCCCTTTGTGAAAGGGAACAAAAACCGGAGACATCTTTATTTTCACTTGTTGAGAAACATTTCTTCTGTTTCCTTGCAATAGCGACCAGAATAATAATGACGGTTAATCCGTTATCTGCGAAAAGTGTGAAATGAGATTTAAATTATTTCAAAGTGAGCATAATGCTCGTCTCCAGTGATAAAAAGTGTCTCTGAACTGTGTTAATTATGCTGACTGACTAAATTTGCCGCAGATATTAACTGTGTTCAATGATGTGTCACTTATCTAAAACATACTCTTGAGTATTTGACCCAGTCGAAATGAATCAAAGCGTCACCATTGATGTGTTGGTGAAGTCTCACCGGATGATTTTGTTGCAGGCGCCACACAGCGGAGTACTCCCGCCGTCGTCGGGCGCATGCTGCGCGGCCTGCAAGATGGAGCTGCGGTTCTGCATCGGCGTCGGCTGGGCCGGCTGCTGGTGCTGAGTCACGACCGTGCTCGTCTTGTCGGGGCGAAAGCGGTTGGCAAAATTAGGATCAGTGACCCACGGCGGTCGTGAGGAAGGGCCTGAACTGGCAGCTGCAGTCTTGGAGCCTGGGCCAGAACAACACAACAGACGAGGTCATTTGCTTTTTGGAATTACAGCAGTTAGAGGAAAAATAAAATAAAACTAATTGCTGTGACTTTGGATTTTTACACAACTCGCTCCAGGTGCATGTTGTAGCAGGTTAGTGTGCCACATTGTCGCCACCGAATGCCGACACTTGATAAGAATCTATTAGCACAACCTCTGCTGGAAGCTGCTGGGGTTCTTTATACGCGTCAGCAGGAGCAGGAACTCACCAGCTGGTTTATCTGCTGCCTGGGCCTTGGCAGGTGAGCGAGTTGGCTCAAGGCTGCGAAGAAGAAATGACTAATTAGACAAAGCACACGCACACCTCAGTAACCATGGGTACCACAGTATCATGTTTGGATATTAGCAGCCATGGTCTCCCTTACATTGTGCCACAGATTGCCTGGTGTGTGAATGATTGTTGCATGATGCATCATCACGAATTATGTCAATCAGTATCTAAAGGATTAGCACGGGCTTCTCACCTGTTGTAGATTCATGTGAATGTTAAAGAAAACACACCAATAGAATTTGAAGTGATTTGCAGGCCATTTTTAAATTTCACTAAATCATTCACCGATTCAAATGATCAATGCTGCAACGCCAGATACTTGGGACCGCATTCGGTAAAGGCTTCGACAAATGTCTCACAAGTTCCTACTTTAATGGGAGCAATCAGAAACCGGATCTCGGAGTGAGTGACGTTTCTCACAGGCATAGTTGGTGAACGACTAACTCAGACACGCTCGGCTGTCAGGTTTGGATGCAGACGAGCCTGCGTGCGCAAAAGTGTTGAAATAAAGACTCGTCTCTACATTTCAAAGTTCCGTTACCCGCAGCAAGCGTCACTTTATTCAGAAAATCTTCAAACCATGACTGAAAAGGAAAAACAACTTCTGAGCCAACACACTGCGCTCTGGAGACGTCTCATCTTGGGAAAAAAATATAACGCCGCCGAGGGCATCCATCATGTTTACATCAGCGACTGTGCAATCTACAATACACTAATGAAAGATGATGAAATCATTTCTCATTTGCAAAGAAACAGAAGAAAATCTGAAATGAATTGCCATGCGACAGCCTTGTAGCAGGTTAAAGCTGCATATCAATTATACTTCTCATGCAGGCACTCAAATTAACATAAGAGGCAACAAAGAGAAGTTAGACTTGTAGCTGGGAGCTATCCTGTAAGAAGACGGACAAAAACAGAATGCTGTTTTTCAAAAGAATACTGGGAATAATAGAAGGACAATAAATCCCTTTGCAATAGCAAAGAACGGGCTTATAGAGCGGGTGACAGCGAGGAAGTAAAACATTTCTGAAAAGGACTGAGAGGAAATAAACTACGGCAAAAAAAAGTAAGAGAGGAGGTCGTTTGAGAAAAGCTATCTGGTAGTCGGATAAAAGAAAAACGGAACAAACCCCTTTCAGCCTTTTTAAGAGACGGACCCCGAGTCCGCTGCCATTCACCCCACTGGCCGGCACGCCTCGACCCCACCAAACAACCTACTGGTCAACCCAGCGCCTCTTACACCCCCCCTGCATCCTGCGTGACAACAGGCCAGTGGCAGGGACTTCTCATACCCCTCCGAGAGGTTTGTTTGGCTGCCTCTTCCTCTGCTGAAGGTTGCAGGTGCAAATTAGGGTACATCCACTACAGCTGCTTATTCCCGCCTGCAGCGACCTGGATCATGATTTTTTTTAATGCATCTTCCGTGTTTCAACATCCTCTACCTCCTCCTCCTCCTCCTCCTCCTCCTCCCTTCCTCCTCTGAGTTATGCAGGTGCACAATTCCCACATCACAGACAGAGTTTTCTTTGCCTTCGACACAGAGGAGCACACCAATATTCCTACGGAACGTTTCCTGTGGAATCTTTACACCTCTTATTTGAGAAACACCTGGGATATTTCTTTTGTTGGGTTGGGGTCCGGGGGGCTTCCGTGAGAGGCATCGACCTGAGCAATAAGGAAAAGTAGGAGGTTGTTTGCAGCATTCGACATCCGGCAGAGAAATGGAGCAGGTTTCGATTTTCGATGGCGCTAGAAGCCATTGACATGGGTCACCCTCCAAATAGGGTGGAGGTAAATGTGATGCAGCTTTGCAAACAAAAAATAAAAAAAATGTGATAACTAACAAAATGCGAAAGCTGTTGCAGAGCCTGAGAGGGCAGAGAGGCCATACTTTTCTACAGGCGGCTTTCAATGGATGTATCAAGCACAATTAGTCATCCCTTGATTCTTTTTATATACACGGCACATCATGAAAAGGACGCTACAGTTCTGCGATTAAGGGTTGTAGTTTGTGGCAACGTAATATTTTACACTTCCACTAGATCTTAGTTTTTGCCACTGCGTTGTTAGTTATCTGCTGAAATGTGCCCACACCGTTTTTATAGTCGCCTTTTACATCGTCTGTGTCTAATTTAACATCAGGTGTTTCAAATATGGTCTATGATAATAATTACACTAGTTTGGCCTAGTTTAGTCCCTTTATAGTCACTTGTTTAACTTGTGATGTTGTCAATAATACCAGACTAATCATAGTTCCTCCCCAATGACTATAGCTCAACCTTAATTTACATTTTCAGTAGCCTATGTGAAGAAAAGGTTGGGTTTTTTTAAATAGCAAACAACTATATAGCTCCCTGCCGCTATAAAATGCATTAATTCAATGATATGATAATAATGATAATCACTTCTCTTTTTCTATCACAAAACAGTGGACAGAGTCTTCTAAGCTGTTCCACATTCATCAACAACAAGGCTTTTTAAATGGTCTCCAGTAGTCTTTTCCTCTAAATCGTTTTTCAATTTGATTTTTTCCTGAGTCTGGCCCATCAAAACACGTGTCATTTAACATCAAATATATTTTCTTTCTGGTAAAAGCCACTGTTCGGTGGCTGAACACTAACTGATAATGTTGAGACTTTGATGAAAGTATCAAGTAAGTCCTTTGTGTACACCTCTACACTATTATCGGCCATGACTTGATGCATTTATGCCCATTCGTTGCGTTTATGCTCAATCGAACGACGATTAAAGTAGACCTTGAACTTCATTCACATTCTTTATTCAGAATGACACGAAAACTTAGGAAACGCATCTTCAACATACTTGCTTTTGTGGAGTACACTAGGTAGATGAAGGAATATTGCAACTCCGCATAAGAAATAGTCCATGAAGAGATTTATCCTTCAGCCTTCAATACTGAACCAACAAGAAAAAGCAGCAAAGAAGAAAGGACAGAGAAGCAAGAGATGCTTTTTTCCAGTTTTATATTTTTGATGACAGCAGAAAAAAACAAAAGTACAGATTTATCTTCCTTTTCTTTCTTAATGGTTGTAGAAGCCTACGAGATGACAGGATCACAAATGAAAACTCTAGAGGATGAAGAACTCAATAAATAGAAACAGTCAGAGAAAGAGCGAGAGAGATCAAAGGAGGGTCTGAACTTTACAATCAAAAGAAGAATAATGAACAGAAAGGTGCGTCTCACTGCTGAGGCCCCCCCTTCCCACCGCTAAACTTCCAGTAATGCAGTGTGGAATCTAAAATAGGGCCACAGACACAATGGTCCGCAGTGTTGTTAACAATCATCAAGTCAGAGATTCAGAGGGGAGCTCTTACACTTTGGCTCAGTATGCAAGGTTCCACTTTGGGCTTTGTCATCTAGGCTAAATTCCTTCAAATTCTCGGTTTTCTTTTTTTCTTCTTTTTCACCTCATCTGTATCTGAAAGGTGAATTTGTTAACTGCCATTGGACGGTGAGCTATCTTCGGCATCATTGTCACGTAGTGGTTGCGGTGTGGCTATTGCTAGCAGGCTCTGGCTGGCGTCTGCGTCTCTTCCCGTCTAGGATGTCGCGGAGGATTTGATATTGAGGGCGCGAGCAGACCTGTCGTGGTGCCAATCCCTCAGACGGGCATAGCGGGGACTCTGAATCTCAGTGAGGAACTTTTCCCTGAGCGAAAGCAGATATGAAACAGAGATAGGAAGGCGGGGAGGGAGAGAATAATAATGAATAGAGCATGACAGAGCAAAAAAGTGCACAGAAAAGTGAAAAAGTAGCAGAGAAATAAAACATGTGAAACAAGTTTCACATGTTCTAGTTCTGGAAGGGGAATATTGAAAGTGAAAGAATAGTTTTAGATTTTTGGAGATATGGCTGTTCACTTCCTTGCCAAGAGTTAAAAAGAGAAGATTGACTTTTCTGTTTGTTAAATTCGTACTAAAACGGCCAATGTGCTCAGCTGAGAAATATTATATTGATGGTGGTCAGATTTAGTTTACTTTTCAACTGACAGACTAGTTGTTTCCAGTCGTTATGCTAAGCTAATTGGCATATTAGCTGGGATGCAGTCAGGGGAATATCAAACATCCCAGCTCCTCCAAGGTAAGAAAACCAAGAAGCACAATTTCCCCAATGATCAAAGCCTTAAAATAAAATGATGCTATGATTCAATAATGATAATAATACAATGAACAAATCAAACCACACATGCCAGTATTTAAAAGCAGCAAAATTCCGATAAGGTCGGTCTGCTCATTTTAATTTCTAAAACAGCTGCCAAACTGCAGCTTGCACACACGGATGCACAAACACTGAAGACTAACAAAACTGTTTATTACCTGGACCTCTTCATGATCTCATCATCTGGGTCCTGCACTGAGAGATCCAGGAGAGACACACATTAGCACGCCCTACTGATAGCGAAACCCATTTTGAAAAGACAAACAGCTGATCGTGTGCAGTTCTCCCATAGCCTCTGTGGTAGCACACCCGACCCTCAGCTCCTCAGACCGCTTACAGTCATGAGAAAAATCGGTCTCACTAAAGACACCAGGCCCCTCTACACGGCAAAAAACCTTGATAGTCACTATGATCGGATCTCTTCAGTCACAAGCCTTCATTTACACGTCATCTGGACTACCAGAGACCCCCACCCCTGACCCATCCCTCCCTGCGAGCATGCCAGCTCTGGCGGCCAGCTTACTGAAGTCGGTGCCCGTGAGCTGGGCCAGGATGCGGAAGGAGCGGGACTGGGTGGTGCCGGTGCGGGGCTGCCAGTCCTCCGTGTCCTGGATCAGCCTCTTCTTGCTGCGGTCGTTGGGGATAAAACAGGGAAAGTTCTCCACCCTGAGGCCGTGCCTGCATACACACCCCGCAGCGCCACAAGGCAGGCAGCGGTTAACATAATCCCGACAAAAGGAATATCCACTCGCACCAATGCAGCTAAAATCAGGTGACCTTGAAAATAGAGGACATCCGGAACAGATCATGCAACACTTAACGCTCAGCTTCACGGTCACGCGATGAGCGAGCTAATGGATATCCATTACTTAGATTTCTCATGGGCCCACTGCAGACGCTCGTAAATGGACATTACCACATTAGAAATCGTATTTATAACAGTCATTAGAATCTATGGGAGAAAAATGGTCAGAGCTGGCCTAGTTATTGGAAACATTTTACTATGTTATTAAAAACCTTCTATTTTGATGGCCGACTCATGAAGCAGAAGAAAAAGATGCTTTCCACTGCCCACAGCGTTTCAGCAGGATTACATGACAACCGCGTCATAAAGCAAGCGGAGGGTGAAGATGAATGGTTACTAATACAAGTGGCTTTGTGCGTTACATCTCTATTCTGGAGAAGATGTCGGAGAATCTCCTCAGGCTGCTTCTAGCCAGGCCATACTACCCATTAAGCAGACGAACCACCTGCATGCAGCCGGCCCTTACTTGGAGTTTTGGCACACATCAGCATAGTAAGTCGCTTCACCCCTGTAGAATTGACCAAAGATGAAATAGATTGTATGAAGACATGAGAGGAGGGACACACGTTAGGAGACGTTAATAAATATAATATTTATCTCTATATTAATGTGTTTTTGACGAGTTAAGAGCTTCTTATGTTTAACTTAGGGCTGGGCGGTATACCGATTAAAGGACAGAAGTTACGTTAGATCAGAAAATGTATTTATTTATTTCAAACTGTCGACAGCAGCAACACCAGCAGCCACGACAAGCTAACTAGCTAACACGCTAACGAGCCAACACGCTGACAAGCTAACTGGCCAATAGCGAGCGAGTTGGCCAGCAAGCGGCGAACAGCTGTTCGGGTAGCAAGCTGTCCTTTTTGGGGTCAATGAATTGATGTGTTTACTTGAAACGGCAATAAGGTCACATGATAGCGGGATACAGACAGAATCTTTCTTTCTAAATACCCTGACATGGATTTTTGGCCATACCGCCCAGCCCTAGTTTAACTTAATAATAGTTGCGTGGATTGCGATGGTTTCCAGATGACAGGAAAAACAAGTATCAGTATGAAATAAGTTTGTTTTTTTATATATTCCTCATAGATGCTCATAATCAGTAAAGAGCTACAACCAATGAAGGGTTGCGACACAGAGTGTGAACTTTGAAGTGCAAAGAGGCAAACATTAACTTGTATGGGCTATAAATAAAAGGAATATACTAACTTGTCAAGAGCTTCCATCTGTTGCATTTAAAGAAAAGATAAAAACAGAAATGGAGATCAGAGTTCAGCTTTATCTAAAGAAAGTCGATAATGAATCACAAGATGAAATGCTGAGAGATGCAAAAAGCGTGCACGAGGTGCTACAAGACATGCAGTTATGTCGAGCTCTGAGAGAGAAAGATGCCATTGTTTGCCTATCAAATCATCTATTGTCCTGCTGACCCATAAGCACTGGCACCAAACCTTTCCCAAACACACATCACGCCCATGCGCACAAATGCCTTTTCCAAGATATGTAAGCGGCTGTAGGGAAAAGAACCCTGTTCGCCTGATTCAAGTGGCATAACAGTTTATCTACTTTCTCTTGTGCCTCTAAAACCCGACCACAACAATAGATGCCACAGCAGTGAAGCTCCATGATGTCAGGTCAGCTCTGCATGGACATCATCGCACAAAACCTGACAAACAGATGTATGATGTTGGCATCAAACTGTGTGGTGCAATGCAACAATGTCTTCATCAGAAGAGGGCTGACGGTTATAATTAAGCTCCAATCTTATCAAAAGATGCCAGAGGAACGGCTTTTGACCACGTACAAGGCAACTTTGTAGCCATGTGGGGCTTCAAGAGCAGGCATGTGTGGCTGCTTGAATAAATCGGAGGACCAGGGCAGTAAACGCTGCTGAGAGCTCAGCAGAATTCATGAGTAAGGCGAGATACAGCTGTCAGGCCACAGCTCACCGACGACGAGATTTTTTGGACATTTCTTTGGTTAAACAACACGGCTTCTAAATAGCTGAGAAATACTGCAATTGCAAATCCATTCTTCTGCTCACTTTCATCCAGCATACTGCGGACTGTTACGCTCATCTTGCCTCTACGGGCAGTCGATCAATAACCCGTCTGTTGAAATAGCAAATCAGTTTGAAAATGTGCATTGATTTTTAAGAAGGTATACTTTTCTATAAGTTTAAAAAGCCTTACTTTTTAGTATTTGTCTCCCTCACTCACAAATATAGTGCAGATGACTGGAGCAAAAAAGGAAAAGATGGAGGGGGAAAAAAAGGAAAAGTTCAAACTCCTACAACCAGAGAGGAAAATAACTGATTTTACAAGGCCATAAATCTGTGACTTATTATAATAAGACATCCTTCACTAATCTCTGTATAAATGGTTTTGTCAACCGATAAATTCCTTTCAGCTGAGGAAACCAGCTTACATTGCAGATGTCAGCTAAATATCCCCTACTATGCTAACGAAGCATTTGCTTTCAGCTGTACGATAAAGGCCAAGAGGAGCATTGCGGTCTGTTTTGACAAGAGCTGACAACCTCCTTCTTTTCCTCCCCCGAAATCTTTCTACGGCCTAAGTCCATCTATGATACAATCTAGAACGGCATCGTATTACTGCGGCCGTCTTAAGCAATCGCATACGTTTATACACAGGTCACCGGATGCTTCAAGTCTTGTTTGCGACATTATTGGCAGAAAGCAGAATAATTAAGTAGAGTCCAGCAGTGAATCAGCATACCGTTTTAAAATGTGACATAAAGTTGGCAATATACTCCAGTAAATTGTTAACATAATGCTGTTTGGCCATCCTAAAGGAGTTATCATCTCCTTTGTATAAAACCAGAATAGTGAGACATCACAATACCATTAAAACCACGTTAGTCCCATTGTGGTTCCAGAGGGAATACTGTTCATTTGTCCACCTACCCATTCCGTGGCTGCTGCATGCTGGCACAACCCTGTGAGCTCGTGGTGTTAAGTTTAGGGGAGTATGCCACAGGTTTGATAGCAGGTCCTGAGTTGGCACTACCACCACCTGCCGTAAACGGCCTCGCCATCTTGTTAATGGCCGAGCTCGGGGCAAAGGAGTACTTTGGCTGCACAGAAGCCGGCACGAGTGAGTCCTATGAGGGTGTGGGAGAGGGTGACAATGCAGCACGGCAAAACGACATGCGGTAAGACATTTCAGACACACTGCCAAAAGGGGGCTTCTGCTCTTGCACAATCCCACGCTTTAATTCAAATATTTGATTTTGTTTTTTTGATCGCAGATTATTATTTCGTACTGAACGATCGGCTCCGTCGAAGCTTGAAAGCTTCTAAAAGGTCTAAGAAGTGTGAACACAGACGTTTTATTTGTGTTGGCCGTCTGCCACGGACTGGCCCAAGTAATCTGCTCCTGCTGGTTAAAGGAAAACGCTCAAAGTGAGGAATATGACTGACATGTCTTACTAATGAGATTTCTCACTGAGCCCGACACACTAAAGCCCACTAAAATGGAACCCCAGTTTTGTGAGGAGTATTTTGCTGCTGCAGTTTTTACTAAAATATTGTGCAGCACATAACCTTCCATGACATCATTGTCCTACACACGGCATTATCGGTTGGGCAAGTAGCACTTAAGAGGTTAGATAGTGAAACTATTTGCACCAGTGCTACACTGGCTTCGGGGATTGTGCAACAGCAAAATTCACAACACTGCATCCAGCAAACTGCTAATTTAGCAACTGACTGAGGCTTCGATAATGCTGCGTGCGAGGACTCGACAGGTGACTCGAGTGAACCGGAAGAGTTTAAACATACAGTGACATAATTGCACTATTGAGGCCAATTGTGAGCAACGATTAAAAAGCAGTTTGCCATTCACTCAATCAGTGTCACTGCAGTCAGTCCAGTAGCAGACCAGGACGAAGCATGCAAGTGTTCACACAAAGGGGAGCTCAATGTTTCAGACAAATGGAGTCTTACCTTCCCGTCTCCTCCCGCTTTGAAAGCTCTGTGAAAAGAAGAGACATGTCACTGCATGCCTACTGAACTTCACACATTTACGGCATATGTTTACAATGTTTCAGTCAAGGGGAAGTTTAGGTTAAAGACGACGAATCCTTGAATTGGTGTGTTTATAGAACTGAAAAAAAACCTTATTACGACTTGTACTGCAATGTTTTTTTAAACAGAACTAGTATTACACAGTCTGCTGAAAAGATCTGGGCTATAATCAGGTATTCCGATTTCATAGACACTCATCTCCATCTCATATTGTACAAAGAATCATTTCTGCAATCTCACATGATATTTTAGTCAGCTTAAAGAGTTAAATTAGTTTTCCAAAATATATTATTGAAATGTTTTAACTGATAGACCATTGGTGTAGTTTCGTCCTTCCTTTACATTAGCTATGACAACATTCTAACAAAAAGCTTAATTGCTTTAATTAAGGAGCTGCATTGAGAACAGGATCACATGGGTCTAAGCAGCAGGACCAGTTTAACACACTGAACTAATTATCCAATGCATCATAAAACTACATAAAGACGCATGTACGAACGTACCGGCAAGTATCCCTACTGTTGGATTCAGAATGTTTAGTTTGGAATTAACTTCACTTATGCTTCCACATCTTAACCAGCAGATGAGATAGTTTCCTTATAACGCCTGTGTTTGTAAACCCCATGGACGGTCAACATTTAACCCAATCTGCAAAGATGCTACTAGAAATGATGGGAGAAAAGAGCAAGCTTATAATACGCTGCTGTCGTTTCTCTGTGGCGGCATGTAAACAAAACCTCACTAGATTTCACCGAGATCATCCAAACGAGTTAACAACGCCTCCCACCGTCCACAATAGACAGGGCTTCCTGTGACAATGAGTAATGAAGAACTGCTCATGCCACTGCCTGCTCAACGCTGAAAACGTTTAAGACAACAACGTATAGACTGAGGGTGAGGAGGCATTTTGACATGTTTGCGCGACAAATCAGTGTGACACTTACTGCTTGAGCTCCCCTTCACCCACAACTTTAAAGCGGGGATATAAGGACCATCTATGACGGCCGCCAAGTGCTGCAGTCGTTTTGGAAAACTAGCCTTATATGAACAAATGTGGAAGTGATTAAGTAAACGTTTCATGGAATACTTTTTTTGGCTTGGACCAAATTTGACCTGCACTGAAACTAAATATTCACACCATGAGATCATCTACTGCTCTTAGTTGATTCAAATCTCCCATGATACTGTAATCAACTTTGCACGCATAACCGACAAACTCCAAACAAAACTTTCTGAGCCAGTCCCTGAAATTAAAATATGGACCTCTTGTGGCCCTGTAGCTGCCACGTGATCTCCTTTCTCTGAAGCAGATCATCTCTTGGCCATATTTGTCTGATTCACTCCCTGTGAAAAGCCCCTAGATGAAACCTTCCCCATTAAAAAAAATATACAACTAACGGTCATTGGTGTCGAACAAAATGAGGCACTTAACCAAAGAATAGACCATATGTCATCACCTGCTGTCCACCCCTCTTCACATGCGGAAGATACAAATAAATAAAACAGACAATTGCTATTCTCTGAGAAGTGGGAAGACAATATTTGTCTTACAATAGATTCACAGGAGAATGTGGAGATGAAGCGAGCAGACCGGAGGGGGGGGGGGGGGTAGTGGAAGAATGTGAGATGTTTACAATGGCTGGCATGAAAAATGGAGGCAAACCCCCGAATCCAGCACAAGTAGGGGGAAGTAAACCCTGTGGCTTATTTACCACGAGCCACAGGGAAATAACTGCAGCAAACTTTCAGTGTAATGAAGTGTGCCGGGGTTACACACAAAAGATGATCATCCCCAAATGGTCCATGTTAAGTTTTTTTACATGATTCACATTAAAGTGGTCATAGCATTATATCAGATATTGGGGGTCATCATCTGACTCATGACAACCAATCAATCGCTCTGCAGAGAGCAGGCAGTCCCTTTTCTTAGTAACTCATCCACAAAAGTACAACTACAAGATCACTTGTCTAATTCTCCACAACTTTTAAACTGTGAGAAACCCCACCCATGTCTATAGTGCACACACACCACCTTTTAAGGCATTCAGTGATCTGTGTGACGTCTTACTGTAGGAAGTAAAATAAATAAATTCCACAATGCCTTTATTTGGCCGTATGTCCTCAAAGAGCTGCAATTCCAGTTTTCGCGCACAGCCTTTTATGACATCCCTTACAGTAACTTTTTTCCTTCTTTCTTCTTAATAACAGTGATCAGCAACAAAATGTATCAAACTACATATTACATACACTTCCCTTAAAAGGTTTGGCTCAACCTCGTCACACCACAAATGCTCCCCTAAAACACGGTGGTAAGAGGAGCCACCGAGTGGAAAGTGGATTATATTGTGAAGGACTGAATCTATTTAAATCCATCCAGTCTCTCTCATCTCCTGTAGCCGGATTGCAGGAGCAGTTCCTACACCAGTTGGGAACAAACCGTTTTAACAGTCAACGTACGGCGACCTCTTAACTGTGCATCCAATATACACCATGATCTCTACAGCTCAAACTAATAGTTGATGTGCTCGCTGTTTTCTTCTGCAGGATCATGTAAAATGACCTTGAGATATCCAGTTGCAATTTTCTAGCAAGCACTTAACCAAGTGTTGTATTCTAAAAAGAGAGTCTCTCTCATTTCGTTATAAACCCGAGGCCTAATGTAAGAGGCTACTTGTGGCTCCTACAAAATGAACCTTCCAACCAAACAAAAGGGTTGTTTCATCTGCCTAACAACATTTGGGATGCATTTCTTCTGCTAAGTGCATACTACTAACCTCTTGCTTCTTTTCAATTCAAATTATATATATATATATATATATATATATACACATATATATACACACACACACACACACACACACAACAAAAGATTGAACATTTTGATATGATACAAAGCAAGAAAGACTTGAGAGCATGCAGCTCCAATACCTCACAATCCTCTCGTTACTTTAATGAATTAGAATTTTGAATCATGCATTAAAGAATGATAATGCAGAATTTTGTATAAAATACCTAAATCCTGGGATTATTTGTCTAGTCCAAAGTGTGTGTTTGAGATAAATTGCAGCCTATTTAACCTTCTCATGGATGCGTTTGCAATTGTATAATGCATTTAGTGGTATAGGCAATTTGTTTTAACTAGGCCATTACGCGTGAGACAGTGAGATGGAACATCATTTGGAGTAGAGTACATGGAGTAATGAAAAGCTGTTGCACCACTTTACTCAAAAGATAAAGGTTGCACCAAGAATCCCAAAAAAATGAGATCTCTCAGTTCAGGAAAAATGAGCAACCGCTGCTTTTTAAAATCACTACAGGCTAATGCCATCCGTACCAAAACCAAGCTGGTTCTTTTAGATCATAGGGCAACCTTTCGTCAAAATCAAAAGGGTTAGGGTTATTGTCCACTACTTCTTTGACCGCATTTAATAGAGGCCAACGGGACTTTTACGAGTAAAACAAAGTCCAAGTCAAAACCTAATATTAAGCCTCGGGTAAAAATAAATAACAGTGTGTAACAACTTGAGGGCCAATGTGCGTCGCCACCAAAAGCAAACTCAAATGCCCCTGTGACTTTTCACTTCTCCAAAGAATAGAGACTACACACGGTGTAATGTTTTATGCTGAGGAGTTTGACTGAGATGAGCGGGTGCGATCAGAGAGTTCTTTGTTTCATAATGCGTCGTCACATGGCTTACTTGCTGAGGGTGAGGGTGAGCGAGTCTGTTGCTGCTCTGATCTTGTTCTGCGCTTCCACATGGGTCATGTCTTCTGCATTAGTGTCGCTGATGGACACCACCCAGTCTCCTACCCCGACACCAGCCTGAGCTGCCTTGCCGCCCGGGGACAGCTGGAAAAAAAAGAAAACGTCCTCACAAAAGTGCACCAGAGGAACAATCAAAAATCACATTAATGGGCCAAATACAAAACTCAACAATCGTGCCATATTTGTATCCATCTTACATCTTGTTGTTTTGAGGACGGCGTGGTTACGTTATCATATTTGGTAGCTCATCTCTCAACAAGAACATTTTCAAAGTGATTCACCATGGTCTGACTTCCCTACATACCATGACTTCATTTCACAGGAAAATTCTGGAAATCCAAACACGGCCTGTTGACTTTCCTGTAATGCTTGCTAACGACACTCAATAATCAGCTCAGGGAGCCCGTGTGTCTGGGCCCTGAAGAGCAAGCCGAGATACTTCACTCAACACTATCGGGAACAGGCATTATAGGTTATCATGAGGTCATCAGTCATCAGTGGATGGTTTGCTGCAGATGTGAAAGGAACTACCGAGAGCTGCAGACAGGGACCAGATGTTACGAGTAGTCACGTCACTTACGGGAACAGCACGTTCAGGCAGACAGGTAAGTCACTGAGAAAACAATGACGTCATCCTTCCCTCAGAGATATCGAGTCAGCGAAGAGGGCCGGAGTCTCGTTACAAACAGAAGGACTTCAAACATGGCCTGTATGGGTAGTAATCGGGTTTCTACACGCACCCCGTGGTTCTGTAGGACCTGGCAGACACAGACAAGCGATGCTAGAGCTTGTTTGGTAAGGGCTTAAGTCAGCTTGCTCACGCGGCTTAATGAAACTTGAGACTTGTGTCAAAGTCTCAGATAAATGGAGGACAAAGTGTGGGCATCAGATAAGTAAGCTAGTGTCGGGATTTCTGGCACAAAAACACTAGAAGGATTATGCTCTGATGTCATGGATCCCTGCAAATGTTAGCTCATCAAAAGCTCAGAGGTTCAATCAATAGTTTTCTGCCACGTTCAGCTAAGCCATCCCGCTCAGGCGCTTTGATTCCGAACATTAAACACAAACACAGGGAGGTAATATGCTTTGTAAAGTGACTCCAGGCTCAGGCTGAGGCGCAACTCGGCTCCCCACAAAGACAACTAAATTAAAGCCGGCCTTGCATCAAAAGATGCCAACGCAAAAACATTTTTTTTTTTTTAATATTCCAATTTGCCCTCCATTTCTATAGCCAGCTATTTATTCTACAGGAAAGTTTAATAATCTCTTTAATTGGCTTTGATTTGCACTCACAGGAAGCAATTAGAGGGGCTGAGAAAGAAATAATTTCTCTAGTTTAGGACGACTTGAAAGAGCTTGAACAGCGTTCATTCTGAAAAAGGACACAGCGAGATCCACTTATGAGAGCCGCAGACCCCTTTTTACTACGATACTGGATTTTAGAACTGGAGTCGGAAGATCTTAACAAAAGAATGCTTTTATAAGTGTTTAACAACAAAACACCCATGAGCCTTAGCCACAAAAGCACCTCGAGGGAGCTGCAATTGTTTATGGCAAACAGAACCTCTGTTAATTTAAAAGAAGCGTTAAAATGTTGCTAGCCGGTGCAGTAATAGATACCCCTGTAGAGTTGGAAATGAAAAGACCCTCGTTGTGTCATCTTCTCAGAAAGAACATCAAAAAAGGGTCCTAACAAAGATTTTATGAAGCAATTAAAGTAAATTCCAGCCAACCTTGAAAGCGTTTGGCAAATGTGGGTGAAGTTTATATGAATATAGTATGGGAAATACAGACAGGTGAAGCACTAAAAAGGAAAACTATGAATAAATGAGTAGTGCAAATGTTTTCATACAGCGCCCAAGGAGTCACAGAATGTTTTGATGAATATAAACACAATAGAGTGTTTGTTCTATTTGTCCTCCCTCTAAATGTTCTCTCAAACTCACATCATCGAAAATTTACAAAATCGAGGCGAGGTGTAAAAGTAAAAGGTGCGACAAAGAGGTAAAAAAAAGAAGAAGCCCCGTACCGACTGCAGATAGTATTTGTATGTGCATCAAGCCGTGTGAGTTACTGATGGACACAGACACCTGTGCTCCAGGCTCAGGTTCAGTGTGTGCAGCTGCTCCCCCCACTTGAGAAGGCAGCAGTTAAAGTTGCTGCCCTCAAACCGTCGGATGGAAACCCTACACCCCTCCAGCAGTTTGTCAATATGACGAAGGACAGTGGAAAAGCGGTTCCTGAAGGCAACGCGCTGCCATACAGCGACCAGGGATCGGACACGATGGATGATAATGTCATGGAACAGCGATGCCAGACATGACTTTTGATTGGCCCATTTCTCTGACAACAAGCAGCCAAAGATTATTTTTAGAGCAACTCTGATTGTAGCGCAGTTCAAGCTAATGACGTTTGTGCAACTGATGGATTCGCAAACATGGGTTTAGCCTAATGGTTGGCCGTAATATTTCAAAGGTTTTTGGCAGAGCACAGCAGCGGGGCGGTTTTGGTAGGCTATCCACTTTCAAAGCACAAGCCAACTATTCAAAGTACAACATATAGTATTCACCTTTGAAGCGCTCCCCTTAAACACAGTCAGTCAGAGCCTCACAGTGGCTCCAGGCTAGCTTCTCTTGTTTTGCTTCAACATCAATAAAAGTTGATCCAAAACTGAAGATATACAAGCCATGTAACTCTGCACCAGCCAACTTTTATTCTTTCCACAGCTATATGGGAGGGGGGGCGAGAGACAGTCTGTCCTTACATCACTCACACGGCACAGCTGATGCAAGGCCATAAATACCCCTCTGAGAAATGGAAAACCAAACCTGCAAGTATGTGTTCCCACTGAAAAGGGCTGCAGTGGAACACCTAGCACCAAGTCACCTTAACACACCGCCGCACGGATCACAACATAGGAATTTACATCCAACGAGAAATGCCCCCTGTGGGCAATCGGTAAGCACTGAATTATTAACACACACACACACACACACACACACACACACACCTCTAACAAGGCCTCTCCTCACAGAGTTTATACGCTTATGAGAAAGAGGGCGGGTGTTGAAAGAGTGTACAAGTAATAAAGCAACAGATGGCCTACCAGCCAGAGAAAAGGGAATACTAGACTGACACATCCAGCTTTGGTGGTGGAGAGATGACTTGACATTATCTACAATTCCCCCCTAGCGTTTGTTTCTAGCGTCGACCGAAACCAGATGGTGCACAGGCTCGGTTATGGCATCACAACGTTTTTGGAATCGCAATGGCACGAGATCTGGGACGGATATGTAGAGGAACTCCTCGGAGTGTTAGGGCTGCCTTAGATTAGGGGAGACAAATGAAACGTCGTGTCGATGGATTCTTGCCTCGTGAAGTTCAGCCCTCTCGGGACTTTCGAGACAGTATGTTGGAGCAGACATGTGGGGAGCATAATCATATTTCTTAAGTATACCTCACACTTCTCATGGTCTAGAGAATTTTGTTTCAACTGGAGGTCTGGAACAGTTGAAGCAGAAAGTGCCATTATGCCGCATTGTGGAAAAAGATGTCTCCAGTGTTATTGGATACTGACCCATATAATAGACTAAAGTCAAGATATCCCCTGTTGCATTTTTTAGCATTTCTAAAAATGCAGCTCCCACTTCAGAAAAACTAACAAATTGCTTGACTATCCCTTTAAATTCCAACATTGTATATCCACCTAATAGAAATTTTGAATAGTATTTAAGTATTTATCCCGGGCTGGGAAGAGAGTTTACTGCTACACACGCCGTCTCTCACCAGGTTGGATTAAAAGGGATGGAAGGACATTTCAGTAATTGTACCAACAGAAGTTTCTCATATTATGTTTTTCCCTCAACAGTTGCGAAAGGTCGAGAGAACTTTGTTCACATTTCACTTTTTAGAAGTTGTAATATATCAGCAGAAGAAAAAAAATGGCTTATTAATACCACGCGAGTCCAATAAAAGTGTAAATATTTTTTTGGTCGATAAATGGGTGTTTTAGGATTATTCGCGGGTCATTCAGGGTTTTCCTCTTTCACACAGAGTTTCAACAGCTTGTCTTGGCATCGTCTCTCACCCTCTGATCTCACTGGAAATGTATTCCAGTAAGTTTGGAAAAGTCCATCATATTCACGCGAAAAATGAGTGTGGAAAACACATCAGACACAGAAGGAGACAAAGCGGCAGTTGGCAGCCTGGAAACGACAAAAATCCCAGGAATGCTGAGAAGGCCTAGTTTACCAAGCTGGCAGACAGGGGAGGAAGGAAACAAGAAGTCATAGTGCACGGAAACCTACGATACCAACTCACTCACACGAGAGGTTTTCCCAATCAATACAGAGATGATCAGGATCTCCACTTACGATACAACAAAAACAGGCTGAATGATTAAACACTAAGTTATTGATGATGTGACAGTCTGACGCATTACGGTTCAAGTGTTTTCTGATCACTAGAAAACACTTGAATGCGTCGATCCGTCCAGATTATCTCCTTTCCTTAAAGTGCGTTGTAATAAGCCTTTTGTTCCGTCGCTAAACATCTTCGTCGTCTTTTAACAGACTGTCTGCTACGGACCCATAAAGAAAGACCAGCCATTACATTCCTCCCAGCCTGACCGTCCCTCCTGTTACTAAGGGATACTGTGTATCTTTGAGGTTTTTGTCCCCTGGCTGGGCAGTTTCATCTTCTGCGACTGTGTGATTCACGGTCCAGTCTTTTATGACCAAAGCAAAGGGAGCAAACAAACTCCAGATGCAAACAGAAAAAGACATGGAACATCTTCCTGCCCTGTACCCTGCAGAACTACTGGATCAGTCCACAAAGCTCCAATCTTCGCTGTACTGCTTTTTGTTTTTCCAGGAACGGGAGCCATTATAAATTTCACACCAGGCTGCTAAAACAAATCTTGGTCCGACAAATTTTATGGAGACTGACCGTGAAAAACGTTGAATGTAATTGATGCGTCAACCAAGATTGTTTTTATAAGTCAGCATGTGTAATGCACATGGATTGCAGAAAATCCGGCCTCCCGCACCAGCTGATTAGTAAAGAACATTCAACTTCAACTACGGACACACCCGCTGGCATTCACCCTTGAATGCGCCTCGCCAGTTCCCAAAAGCCACTCCTGTATCCCAATGGACAAAAATCTCGTTTTGTTTTTGGGCAGGTCGTCCAAAGTCTGTTTGGTCTTTTATGGGTAGAAGAAACACATTTCTTGTCATGGATCCAAGGGGAACATTGTGTTTCTGACTGCGGTGCCTGCCAGTAAGCAGATGCGAGACATGTACTGACAGGGCTGGTGATAACTCCTTCCCTCACCACAAGATTACGTCAACTCCACACACACACACACACACACACACACACACACACACCTCTCAGTGCAATGCAAGTTACGGCACAGACTCTTTAGGCCATATATCGAAGCAACAGAAAACAGTGCATCAATTGTTTTCATTTGAATGTTATGCTATGTTTGTGACTTTTTGGCAGCACTGAAGAACTGAAAATGTTTAAAAGGCTGTCCACCTTGTGTGGGCTGACCCATTTATAGTAGCCTAACAACGGCCAATTGCCACTGAAATACCCTGCAAATATTGAACATAATTGATGATCTTATGAATGTAATACAGTCCAGTGTTTTTTTATCATCCCAGCCTCCGAGTTAGCAATGCAACAGCGTCAGTGGGGGGGATGAATGTCATATCTGTGTGCGCAATAGCTGCCAGCAATGTCGGAATGATTATGTGTGCGCGCATGGGTGTGTGGCTGCAAGTGAGAGTCTGTGCGTTTGTCAGGCAAAGTAGCACTGCACTTATAAGGGCTGGAAAGTGGTTGCTGCTCTCGTCAATAGCAACAGAAGTTTATTGAGTATTTCAAATTGATGCAGTGAAGTAGCGGCGACCGAACATGGAGAGTGCAAAGCGCTGCGAAACAAACAACAGGATGTCCGCGGCTAATTAGTACCATCAATCCAAAAGATAATGCACGTTAAAACAGACTGGGTTATGGTTGCTACATGCACCATTAAAGTGTGACTGATGTGAACACCACAGTCTGCAGACAACCCCCTCTGCAATGAGAGCCTTTCATGACATGCAAATGCTCAGGTGGGGTTCATTCGGGGAGGGACCTGTGAACAGGCTTTCATGGAGAAGCTAGAAGGGACGTCAACGACTCTACGGGATGATCCTCCCGTGCAGATCTTCCAGAGGAGTGCAAAAGTCATCATTGTGCCCAGATGCGAACCAAGGGGACTCAAATAACAAACAGTTCCTTACCCTCGATACGGTGAGCGGCATGCTGAAGTCCTTGCCGCCCTGCAGCCTGAAGCCCCAAGGCGCCGGGCCGCTGAGGGTTACAGAGTACACGCTCATAGCCTGGGAGCAGAAAGAGGAGGAAACGTTTGTTTTAATCAGTCTGAAGGCCTGGAGAAAGCCTTTGTCTGCTTCGTCGGAACAGATATTCCATCCGCAAACATATATTGAAGTAGTTTTCTTTTGAGGGTGTAATATTAAAATTTCAGTGAAGTTGCTTTAAAGTTATTTCCCAAAATAAGGATGTTACAAAACCTACTTAAACATGCCTTTAATTCAACTTCAGCATATCTTACAAGGACGATAAAACACTGGGAAACTGTTTCTCATCAATATACAGACTAAATTGGAAGCATTCATAGAGGAGTCCAACTTAAAGTATACAATAATGCAAATGAGAACCACAGACAACATCAAACGTGTACCGGACAATTAAAAGCGCGGCGGCATTGAACCGCTTTCTTTTTAGAATAGAGCCAGTTCACTGTATTAAATTAACAATTCAACTATATCAAAGTGAACTAAATTAAAAATACAAACCCAACCAGACTTTTTGAATGGTTTACATACTTTGACAAACCATGAAAATGAGATCAACCAGCTTCATCCCAGAAATAAAACAGCAAGTCACTAACTAACGCGGTCATTTCAGAACCCAGAGGCAACTTGGGCTGTGTCACGGTGACCTTTGGACCTGCACCCCCAACAGTCCTCCTCCTCCCCCTCCTCCCAAACCAGGTGTGATACAGATGTGACCATAGAAACCCACCTTGTCCTTAAGGGCTGGCCGAAAACCCAAATCTGGGAGAAAGCTTAGAAGTCAGTAAGCTGGAGCAAGCAGATTCTGTCTGTGTTGGCAAACCCTACCCCCGCCGCCGTCTGACACGGCGAGCGCTAGCCTTCCCTCACTCCTCAGAGGCTATATAAGGAATGTAAAACTACACCAAACTATTTCAGCCCAACACCCACATGAGTCACAGAGAGGGTGGGGGGGGGGGGGAGGAGGCAACATCAACTAACCCCTAAATATCATATATGCTGGCTAAAGCCTCAGCATCAAAGTCAATGGATGGTTGTTTTTTTACGCGTAGTTGAGAAGGAGCAGAAGGCAAAAAGCTTGCAGAATTCAGCATTCCTTTTGGATGGCATGAAGCCTACAGCCAGACCAGCGATTATATTTTAACATCTTAAAGTTCTTAAAGCAACAGTGACGCTCACTTGTAAAAACTGACACAGGGCTCAGAGAACAGAATTGTTTTTTTTTAATCTCACCATGGTCATCTATATATATATATATATATATATATATATATGCAACCATCCACAAAACTTGCAAATTAAATACATACACGTTTAAGAGTTTGAAATTGATATTTATCAACTTTAAAATTATTGATTATTAAGAGTGTCATTTCATTTTCGTAAAGTAATCCAAGTTTTAGTTAAGACAGTTTCCTCATGTTTTGCCTCCAACGGAAGACAAGAAACTCCATCATAAAAGAGACAGCTTGCAAAATAAATTGAAATAGCAGCAACAGGTGATGGAAGTTACATTTAACTTTGATAAACGCACACCAAGAGTTTATTACAAAGTTGTTTCAAGCAGATATTATAACGAGGCAGTAAGTGAGACTGGGTGAAGTGAAAGTGGGTCATTAAATATATTAAACCAGTGGAGGATCCACCAACCCAATACCATAAACATACTGGTAATGCCTGTGTACGCTGTCCCTGCTTTGGGTATTGCTATTTATAATCGATGCTGTCACTGTAACATTTCTATAGAAGCGTGTGATCTTAATGTGTGTTGTATCAGGGAACACCCTAAAAAACACACGCAATTAGACGCCTATTTCTCAGAAGGAGACGCGGTTGTGAGCTGAAATGACTTACTTTGAATCGGATGCAGTGCTTCGGAGCTAATGATTCGCATCGGTTAATTACAGACTTTAGAAAGGTGCCGACGTTTGAGAAAAAAAAAGACTCACAACAGGAGATGAGTAACTTCACACGCACGAAGAAACACATCCGGGCGGGGTTTTTGGACTCGTTTTGCTTGCTTACCTCTGGTCGCTCGCTGTCTTCGCCCAACATCTCGAGTCCGTCTGCCGGTTAAAGAAAGCCTGTCGGTGAGTGAGCTAACTTTTTCCTTTTTTTTTTTTTTGTTGGACTTCCTCCAAGCGGACGTCGGGAAGCCACCGCGGATCCCCTCGGTGAGCAGCAGGATCGCTGCCTCGCATTCTTTTTACAGCGACTCGCCTGAAACGTCAGAGGTCACGTGGGCCGCTGCTCGGGTCTCGCGCCGCTGGCCGGCGTCAGTCGCGGTCACTTTTGATGCCACTTTAAAAGACGGAAAAGGCAACTAAACGTCGCTGTGCACGACGAGCGAACAACGCGTTCAATTGTTCAACAGCAACTTTTTTTAAATAGATTTAAAAAAAATAGAAAATAGCCACAGGTGTTACTTGTTAACTACTGATCAGGTTGATGTTGTAAATGTTCAGCCCTCAGGTTAAACAACACAACATGTGATTCCCCCATCCTGTTTTAATCTACTTCTATTTAACAGCTGGAGTTGCTGTTGCTTATTTTACATACAGGACACCATAATGTGTTTCACATATAGTATAATAAGCTTAAGAAACAGAATGCATAAATATTACAAAATGCCTCGTAGCACAAATGCTTGGTACCACTTTTTGAAAAGGGAAATTTTAAAAATCGTGTTATTCTATAGCCTGGCGATCTGTTCGGGTCAGGGGTCGATCCCAGCTGACATTGGGTCACCCTTATTGGATGGGGAATATTATTCTAATAATGATTAAAACATGTTGACCAAGCAGATGCAATTGATATGAACAGCTTCGTGGTTGCAAAGTAATGAGAAATAGGAGTCAATATACAAGAAAGGTCACATCAGCAAATGTGAGTTTTATGTTTGATTCTCTTGTAAATTCAGCATTGTGTGCATTTGAGAGGTCAAACGTGTTAATGTTTGTTTTTCAGTTTCACACTATGTTATTACTACTTATTCAAGAAATGCATATTGTGTTAATGCTCAATACCGTTTCTAGGTTTCATGTGTGCTATTTTAACTTTAACTACCCGACCTTTCTTTTAAATATATTTGTTAAAATGGTCTGCTGAGCTGCATTTTGTGTATGGATGTTCCCAATAATGCCTAGTTGTATTACCTGTATAAGTAACAGCGACATTTAGGACTAAGTTTAGATGATACTGTGTAGAAGCTTTTGATTAACTGAATCCCAGGCTGACTAGAAACATGCAGCAGATGACCAGTAGATGGAGACAAAGAGCCACAAAGGGGAAATGGTACCTTCGGGTTGCTGCCCGGCTCCATCGTCACTGTGGCTGAACGAGTGAAGAAATCATGAATCATCAGTGAGGGCCTGAAGTCGAAGCTGTGGTTGTTTTAAACAAGCGATTTTAAGTGTTTCCCCCCCTGCTGCTCGCAGTGGCCTGACGCTACTTCAAATAGCTGACATTAAAGTCAAATATTTACTTTGTATTGCGGTTGAAAAACGGTTGGCCTGATTGTGCGGGCTTTGACGTTAGCTAACGTTAGCTTAAGCTACCGACCGCGGTTAGCGAACTGTTAAACTTGTTTAACGTTAAGTTGACACTTTTGTTTAAAAAATAAAAGAAAAAAAAGATGGCTGACAACGGAGCACACCCGACTGAAGTGGACCCAGCCGCGGCTTTCCTGGCTCAACAGGAGAGCGAGATAGCGGGGATAGAGAACGACGCGGGGGGATTCGGGGCGCTGGAAGGAGCGGACGGCGAGCAGACGTCTCCGCCAGAGCCGACGCCGTCCAACTATGGCAAGTTTGCGGCGGAGCTAACGTCGGCTTCTGCTAGCATGCTAGCAAGCACCAAGGGGCGTAGAAGCTAGCAAAGAGCTCCTTGGTCTGGTATGACGGCGTTAGTTAAATTGTTTAGGTGACGTTAGCAATGAAGATAGCAATGGCTTACTAGCCGATACCGTCAGCTAACTTTGAATGTTAGCCGGTTACAAAGCTATTTAACTGTTGACACCCGGAAAAACCGGTCCTGTTAGATGACAAAGCTGCGGACTAAACGTTAGTGCCCGAACAGGTGCGGCTGCATTTCTGCGGTTCAACGTGAGCTGCAACGCTTACGGACAAAAATACACTTCCACAGTGCACCGAGACGTGATGAGAAGGGTAGTTGGCTGATTGGAAAACTCCCAGAAGTCCATACTAACAATACACTTTTGTCTTTCAAACATGTTAGACGGTTTCGAGGACGAGCTTGCCGCTGTCAATGGGGAAATGTATCAGGTAACTAAGCTTAACACTTCAACTTCTGATCCTGTCATATTTCTTGCGACGTTAATATCTTTTTTCCTGTGTGTGTGTGTGTTTTTTGAATTTGTTGTGAACACACTTAATTTTATCCGACGTTACTTTACCTCATTTCTTTATCCTGGCAATCCTATACGTTTTTATTAGAATGGAGTAAATGTTTTAATGTCCTCCAAAAGGAGTCCAATGGCCCGACAGACAACTACGCCGCCATCGCCCAGGTGGACACTCTGCGGCAGGAGCCGGAGAGTCTCCGGAAGTGGAGGGAGGAGCAGAAGACACGCCTTGAAGCGTTAGGTGAGCAGACAGGGGCGATTACTGGCACCAACGTTGTGGCTTCAATGAGTCACTGGGATGTTGCCGTCCTTTGTTGCTTATTGACCTGTAAAAAGGAGGATGTCTCAGTTAGACTTAATTATATGTATGCCCCCCCTGCACGATTTGAGGGCTCTCTGACTTTGTTGCCGTTGCTCCTTAATAAGACTTAGCATCCAAGGCAGCGGAGGCAGAGTGGAGAGACAAGGCCAAAAAGGAGCTGGAGGACTGGCACGTACATCAAAGTGAGCAGATGGAGAAGAACAAGGTCAACAACAGGTCAGTGTCTGACCGGGGCCCCTGTTTATGTGCAGGGAGGAACAGTTTATCGGTGAGATGATGCTGTGATCTCTACACTGAACCCATTCTTTTCAGATGAACAGCTGTGTTGTCAGAATTAAAATTTCTCCCAATAAAAACCTTTCAAATTTGGGATTTTCTTCTGCAACACTATATTAACAAAACTATATTAGACTAGTAAACATTTTGTTATCACCAAATAATTATTGTTTTTTAAACGACATAGGTTATTGAAGCACGTGTTTAAATTGTGCATTTTGTACAACCTTTATATTATTAGAAGTATGTACAGCTTTGCAAATTGAATTGTAAAATTGAGAGAGTTTTTCTTCTATTTAATACATCCTATTTTAGTCTGTTGGCAGTCGGCGTTGTACGTTTATGGTTACAAAGCACAGTATTCTTTCCTTGACCAAGCTAACTCTATTCTTTTCTCACGCTTTCCAACAGACTCTGTCCAAGTCTGCTACGGTATTATTCTGCAGCTGTGGCTTTAGCTTTGGCCAGTTTCTTTCGCTTTGTCTGTGTTTGCACTAAGAAACAACTCTCGGGCGAAACATCAGTTCAGTGGTCCCAGTTAGACCGCCTGGGAAACTAAACAGGAAGCTGGCTAGCTAGAAGGAATGCAAACAGAGAGCACTAATGTCACAGTTGTCATCCCCACTGTAATCCAGTACCAAAGCGGTCTGTATTGACCTGAAATCACCCGCCATTCCTTGCTTGCATGTACTACAATATTGTGAAAAATCTTCTATTTTAAACTTATCTCCATCTCATTAGAACATTTTCTCACATGATCCTTGTTAATGCAGGCCCTAACTGTTCTGCTTGTTGTCTTGACGCTGAAACTGTTCTCCTTCTTTTTCCTGCTTTCTTGGCCATGCCTGCGCACTAGGATCGCTGACAAGGCTTTCTACAAACAGCCTAATTCTGATGTTATAGGCTTTGTGTAGGTTTAGCATTATTATGCTTTTTGATGTTGTATGTCCCACCCCAGGAATTATAACTAGTTGATTTTCACCTGATGCATGCCCACCCACTATAACTATCTGCTTGTTTAAATGACGCCTCGTTTTGTATTACCTTTATGTGCATTGCAATGTTACATAGGCTACAGGTTGATACTTTTTAAACATTGTTTCCCTCAAAGGGAAATGATTGGCATGAAGTTTTTCAGCGTGGTGCTGTTCATGTGGCAGAGCACCATATTTGGCTCTGAGGGTTTTTCAGTTCTGAAAACTGTTTTGAAGTCCCTTTAATATTGCAGCTCATTCATATCTCTCCCTGGTCTCCTTCCCACCTGTAGGGCTTCAGAGGAGGATTTTGTTGCAGAGAGCAACGGCGAAAGTCCCGGAACTGAATGGGAGAGAGTAGCCCGTCTGTGTGACTTTAATCCAAAAACCAACAAACAGGCAAAGGATGTTTCTCGAATGCGTTCTGTCCTCATTTCTCTCAAACAAACACCTCTGGTCCGCTAGAGGGGGGCGCAAGGACAATGTTGTTCTAGAAACATTGCCTTTTGGGCTTTAACCTCACAATGCATCAGAAGAGTTTGTATGACCTTTTCCATAAATTCCCTGGTGTTTTTTATATTCTCAAAACTTCCCGCCTTCCTCGATGCCTAATATATCGAAATAATAAACTTAATCCCACTCTTGTGAGAAGATGAAGGACCGCTCTATTGTTAAGACATCCTTAGGCTGGTCAGTTTTATCACTGCTATATTTAAGAAAATATTGTTACTGTAAGTTAAACAATTCACTTCCCTTTATCTTATAAATTGTCATTAGGTCAGTTTTTTTCTTGCATCTGCCTATGTTTTTGATGCATTTTAGTTTTATGAATTAGCATTTTGGTCAATGTCAAACACTTATGCACTATTGCTTATTAGATTGTAACCACTCATGCCTCTCAATGTAACGTTATCAAGTCTTTCACATGTGTTGTATTATACCCCCAATTACCATAGTGAGCATATTTTTCTCTTGTAATTGCATAATTTGCGGCCTTTTTGATATGGCTCTTCAGCTCCATTATTGAGCAACATGGATTTCTTCTTCAATTAGACAAGATCTCAAAAAAAAAAAAAAAAACCAAAGACCTAAATTTTCAGAGTTAACAAGATTCATATTTGTGCGATTTCTTTACATAGGTTTTATGTTAAAGAATAAGCAAGTAGACATTTAGATTCTACAGTAATCTAGGTGATAATTTGAACACTTACTCTGCACACTGTTTCACATGTTGCCTATTTGGACATTGAGAATACAGAAACAAGTGAATGTTAAAGGAAAGTGGAAAATAAAAACAGTGGAGTCTGATCACTTCCATTCATTTGTCCTTACACGTTTCCATTGAACTGCTCTTGAGATTTCCTTGAATCACGGTGTGAGGAGCTTAAGTATCGTGTGGCCCGGTACAAACATCTATCTTCAAGTACTCGCTAACTCACATTGCTGGAGGCCATAATACTGAGCCATTTAACCTTAATTTTAAGCAAAAAAGTTTAGTGGAATTGAAAAACCTTTCCTGTCGGGCGTCTGAAAGCATTCCATTGAAATACAAACTATTCAGAATGAATTTCCATAATTTTACGAGTAGAAGTCGCCTGAATACAGGTTGCAAATGTGATGCTTTATCTCAAACACTCACAGGACATCAACATCAGATTAAATTTTTTTTAATCAGCTAGGTGACATGTAGATCACTTCAGTAATGAGGCCTGGGAACACGTAAAACTAAAACTTCCAGATGAGCAAGAAGCATATAATTTATATTTATCAGCATTTTACGTCAATACGGTTGTCTCACGATCAAAGTAAAATTCTATTTGTTGTTCCATAGTTCTGCCCTGAAGCTAAATATTGCATCACCATGTTTAAACCACTATACATATGGTCGGCATTAGCATCTGGAACATTATTCAGATGGTAAAATCAGTCCAATCCCGAGGTGCATCTGGTGCGATTCTGACTTGAATGAGAGGCCGGAGAGCTGCGGGATCGGTCCGTCTTCACTGCTTGGGTTTCAAAGCTGTGGTAAAGACACCAACAATAATGGCAAATACAGTGAAGCCTTGGGCAAAGATCCGGCCCCTCATCAACAGCTGCGAGTGTCGTGTTTTTCCTTGATGGAAGGCACGGAGACCGTAAATCAGCATTCCTGCTGTTCCCAAACAACCTGGAGAAGCAAAAAAGAGGCAACTTACAGGAAACAGAACAACGCCTAGCAACTGGATCCACGAGAACAGGGGCAAAGTGAGGACCAGATAATGAGGCTGGATTAGAATAACTACCACCTAACGTCTATTCCTAAACACTTTCTTGACCTCTGGAAAATGTTATGGGGTCAAGGAGCGATGGTTAGGGGAATAATGAGTTAGGAAAAGGCAACCGCGGTGTTTAGAGAATCCGACCCCGCTTTCGCTTACATTGTTATGAAACGACGGGAGACGCACATTAGTGACGTCAGTCACCAGCGGTGAAACAACAATGTCTCCGAAGATGGACTACAAAGAGGGGCATTGAAGATGCCTCCGTCTCCTTTCCTTTCGTAAAGGATGGTCTAGTGGTTCCTTTCCTAAAAGGAGCCACGTATGGAAGCTTCTGTCCTTAGCTTTAGAGGATCCCAACAGCTCTCATCATAGCGGCCACTTACACTCAGTTAGGAAAAAAAGCATTTTTAAAATCCTTGTCCACCATAAGCGGGGGTGACGAATAGTTTCGGTAGTGAACAACAAACTAACATGTAACGACAGGGCGAGCTAACGTGTTTCCGTGATTAGCTTAAGCCATTAGCTAAACACGGTACACTGAGTGTTGAGTCGAGTGCGAACATGCAACTAGACACTTTATTTTTACATTAAAGGACCGCCTGTGCCGTCTCTGTTGGTACTTGTGTAACTTATCTCCACAGCCATAACGTTGTGTAACTCACCTATTGGGACGAACGGGTTCTCCTTGGTTTTTCTAATAAATTTCTCTTTGAAGGTGTCATCTTTCGCTTTCGGCGAAGGGTTGAAGCCATCGATGAGCGGCGGCTGCGAAAAGTCAAAGGGCACAAACGCTGGTGTCGATGCCTTGGCTGTTTGCTCGGGAACCGCTGGTGTGCCCGCCATGTCAACCTGGCGCTGTAAAACCGATCGAGTTAATGGTTGAACTGGGAAATTAGACTTCCGGTTACGCTTTCACTTTAGACTTCATAATAAAAGTCCTGACATTTTCAAGGTGAGGAATGACATTAAAGAATTGTGTGTGAATTTGCACACAACAAAAACGAAGTTCTCTGCACATAACCATTAATATCCAATACCTACGGAAGAGCATAGGGATATAGGGGTTAATGGGCGATACGGCTGTACGTCAGGTTATTAATACATTAAAGACGGTACTCCGGTTCTGACCCCCAAGGTGGCAGCGACTTTCAGTCTCCTCCTTCACAACAAAAGCACATACACCCCAACACTTGAAATTATAACTGTAAAAACGTACAGCAAAAGACAGGATACCCTTTAAGCAACTGTTTCGGACCAGTTAGTCGATATAAGTAACCTATTGAATTGGGACTGCAGACTCGGATATGCAGTCTGCAACTGTACAATTTATGTCACGAGAAATTAAACAATCTAATGAATTGTAACCTATGATATCCTCTGATCACTTAGTTGCTAAATAATTGAAAATATTTTAAACAAGACAATATTGTAGTTTTAAAAATATGTAGTATGTTATTCTGGGTTTATTATATTTCTGTTTGTGTGGCTGTATCAATTATATTGTTTCTTTAATATTAGGGCTGTCAATTGATAAAAATAGCTCATTAATCTCACATTTTGAAATTCATTAATCGTTAAAAACAATCTCATAAATGAACGTGTAATCCCTTTAGAAAGTGTGTACTTTATAAACCATTTGTCTAAAATAGAAGTTATTTCAATAGTATTTTTTAAAACACAAAACTACTAAAACTAGGTGTGATCACCTTGGAGGCAGAATTCCACCGGGTGCAACATGTTGAACTAGCGACTCTTCCCGCTGTCCTCGTGCAGTTTGCTGTGCTCTCAACTCGCCATCTATTGACAGCTGTGTTTGAAGTGTCACCAATCTCCCCACGTTTAGCCAGGACGTTTTACCAAACCACTGTCTTTTAGGGACACAGTGGTCCTCTGCAGACTGTGTGCCGTGCAGGGTAGATGTTGAGATGGAAGCAGTGGAGCACTACGGACCATCAGTCCAAAAGTGGCCCGTTTGCCATCATCCCCCTTCTGTTTGACACGTAGAGAAATTCGTCTGCAGTTCTCCGCTGTATGTTGCGCCTTTGTTAGTATTTTACTTGCAATGCAAACAGCTCACTATGTTTAACAACTGTCTCAGTCTCTTCGGTCTAACTGACTGCAGCAGACGGTGGTTTGTCAAGTCAACGCACACCGGAAGTAAACAAAGCGTTAAAATATTGTATCGCGTTGACAATAATCTCATGGATTAACAATTTAACTTTGACTACCTTATTTAATACACAAGTAGTGATATGTACATTTACTGTTCCTGTGTAATGCCAGGATACTATACTGTTGTATTTCATAATTTAGGATTGTTTTACAGTACCCAGTTTGCTAATCTCAACAAAGCCAACATTTACAGAATCTCAGTAGTCGGTTAAATCTAGTGTTTTCAAACCTCAACTAGTCTAAATAAGAAAAAGTTTTGTATTTTGAAGAATGAATACATTTAGAGTACTCCCCAATGGCTGTTTACTTGAGCCAATATCAGATTCCAACCAATGTATCCTGTTGCTATATCATCTGGCGCGACAGTGAATACTTTCCAGCGAGCTCAATTCTCAGCTAAAAACAAATAAGCACCTCGAAGAAAAAAAAAGAAAAGAAATTGCCAAATAGAAATCTGTTCTTTAAAGGCAATTTGCAACCACAAAGGCGAGTCTCAAGAGGGCACATCGACACCTGCTGAGAAGAACTAAACAGATGCGGCCAAAAAACATCTACAAAACGATGAAGTCAGAACATGGAAGAATACAGTCGGGAAGAACGTTTAATAAAAAACGCACAAATACTTTTCAATCTTTTTATTGAATATTAAGGTAAATATTTCACATTAATACAGGCTACATAAAGTAGAGCCACTATACGACATGAAATTTACTCTCATTTTAACCCTTTTTAGTATGTAAACAATTATACATGTATTTACCACTCTAAAAGGTTCTGATTTCTCTTTCTCTTTAGGTAATCATCATCTAGTTCTGGACCAAGTTTAAATAGCTACTTCATGTTGAGCCCCCTGCAGCCCAAGAACGGTGTATGTGGGTTTAAGTCAAAATCGCTAAACTACGCAGAGAATGGATCCTGTTTAACAGGTGATCGCGCTTGTTTGTTTGCTTCATCAGGACACTGCTAACAGCTCTCGAACTATTTCGCTTTCTTTGTTTGAGATAGGCACATCAAAGAATGGTGTCAAGAGAACTTCCGATTCTTCAACTTCTGCTCTGCACTCTCAGGTCTCTACTAAGGTTAACACGTTGCACGTTTTCTTTTTTCTTGTCTTATTCGGTCATATTCGTCAGTTGGTAATTAATGTTTGCGCTCTAGGTCATGCTGTGTGCGTTTGATTGCTGTGGACGCCGTCTAGTTGACGTGGTTCAGGTGCACATTTCCCACATGAGGTGCCCAGGTACCAGGCCACACCTGAGGGGAGAGAGGACCAATAAAGGGGTTTATGTTAGAACGAGCGTTGTCAAAGATTGCATTTGACTAGTGGGAGAAACACTAGACCGTTCAACTCTTAAGCATATGATTAGACACTAAGGGTATAATTTAAAAAAAAAAGGACATTACCTGCTGCTGCGGATCAGAGTTATCTGCGTTGTTTGGGACCACTTTGATGATGGGGCTCCATGCAGGGTCACTAGCGTGCAAACCATTGTACATTGGTGCACCCGGCCCCTCTGCCATGGGAGGATGAGGGGGCAGCATGCCTCCATACATCGACATAGGCATTCCCTGAACAAACAATAGCACATCATTGGTTAAAGGCGTGGGCCTATGAGAAACGGGGGAAGAATCATCTGCAGATCTCCGACACCTTTGGGAAGTCCATGTAACTGTTGGGCAAATGCTGAGGCTGGTGGTAGTTGTTAGCGGGGTTCGCAATGCCTGTGTCGTCCTGCTCCATGGGCTGGTGCTGGGAAAACGCTGACTGCTCCGTGTGCAGCTGAGGGTGCATCATGTGGCTGCTCATCAGGGGTTGGGACCAACCGGACATGGCTTCTGCATCAAGACAGAAGGAGTCGACATTATTAGTGCATATCAGCTAAACGCTGCACAATATCTGAGATTGGACAATGGGATTGGGTTTGAAATTCATTTGAAAGTTTTCCCCTTTTCTTTTAATTGTAACAAAGAAAACAGAAAAACTAAATACCTGAGGAAAATGTGCGTTTGCTCTTACCCGAAGCACTGCCAACCCCGAATGACCAAATGCCTCCCTGTCCAACAGACGCCGTGTAGCTGGTGGTGAGGAGAGGTGGGTTGACAGAACCGGTCTGCCTGATTCTGGCCAGCCGCTCAGTGCCGATGGGTGGGGGAACCTTGCGGTCCTGCTGTGAGGAGCTGCCTTGCTTAGGCTGGGGAGGAGGTGGAGCAGAGGTGGAAAGGGCGGAGGATGACACTGTTGATGGAGGAGGGACAGGAGATTCACCTGGTGCAGAAGAGACAGTATAGGAAGGGATAGTTACGGTCAGATCAAATTCACACATTTAGAAGTATTGCTAAAAATAATTTAAAAAAGGGTCATTTGTAAATGATAAAAAAAGGCTAAAAGGAAAAGACAAACCTCCCCCCAAAAAGAAGTACCTGATGTTGATGCACTCCATGGGTGAGGGGAAAAGTGCTGTCTGCTGAATGAAGGTGTGCCGACTGGTGTAGGACCGTGCAGATACACAGGGCTGCCAGAGATACTGGTGGCGTAGCTCGTCAATGCTGTAGGCGCAGACCATTAAAGAGACAGCTCATTATTTAGCACATGAGGAAAACTGTCCCTCAAAGCATCCCCTTCTGGGCTTTTCTTTAAACGCAATTACCATGTTACGTTTTGTCACTATATTTAGTTGCAGTTACCCCACCCCTATGTTGATAAAGTTACATTCCTCTGTACGCCTGGTCATGAATCTCAAAAGGGATTTAGTTACTGTATTTAAAACCAGTGAAACAGACGTCTACGCAATGATCTCGTATGAAGTCAAATAAATAGTCTTACCAATGGGGCTGTTGACCATCCTCTGTGAGGCAGAGCGGTACCCTGGGGCTTTGGAGCCGTCCGGGGGAGGCGGGGCCATCATATTCTCTATTTGGCCCATGCTCATGTAGGCTGGTGGAACTGAGTATGACTGCTCTGGAGGCGATCGAGCTGGCAGATGGCAAGCACCCCACACCTGATTGTTTCCAACCTGCAAAGCGGGCGCAATTACTCAAAGTTATGATTATAAAAGAAGCCGTGATATTTGTACTGTTTAGGTTGTTCAGCTTTGCAAATTCCATTTGCGTCGTAAAGTCCCTACAGCTAAAAGTAAAACAAGACGCCAGGCTAATGTTGATAGTACATTTATACTCAAACTCACCTGGCTGTTGTTATCAAAGATACTGCTGAAGTTGAAGAGGCCAGCATGACCAAAGTTGGGAGGCATCTGCTGAGGCTTTCCCGCCACATGCTGCATCTGGGAACCGTTCATCATCCCCATGTTTGTAGACACCTGAAGGGAGCCTTGACCGTGGTTCTGGGCTTGTGGAGGCAAATTTGCCTGCTGGGACATCTGGTTTGGGGTCTGCTTCAGGCTATCTTGCTGAGCATTGAAGGGTACGAACACAGATTGCTGTTGCGTCTGCTGCTGCTCAGGGAGGGAATAGTAAGGCCCTTGTGGCTGCATACGATGGGAGACTCTGGGTGCAGGGGCTGAGAAGTGGGGCACAGTGTTGTTTGGGTGCGCAACATTGTGTGACAGGGCAGGAGGAGGCGCTGAGGGGTGGTGGGAGCTGGGCTGTGGATTGAGGAGGGGTGGTGGAGCCTCGGTGGATGATGCGGAGGAGGGGGGAGGAGGCAACTGCTGTCGAGTCTCTGGCTTGGGAGGTAAAGCCATGGCGGGGGCACTGAAACCCACAGAGTTGATGCTCTCACTGACAGAGACGGCCTGGTTCTCCACGGAGAGAGAGGGCTTGTCTTTTCCGGGAGGGGCAACGGCACTGGGCTCTGTTTTAGTAAGCTGGATGTGGGGCTGCGAGTTTGCTCCAACAAGATGTTGAGGGCCGTCGGCGGCAGTTGTAGTGGAGCTGTGATGTGCAGGAGAACCTGTGCCTCGTACTGCGCTGCTGCCACTTGTTGTGGTGGCAGCGACACACACAGCCGGCTTATGGTCAGGGGCAAACAGCTGTTTTCTGACGGAGGAAGGAGTGGGAACGCTTGGCTGGGGATTGTACGGAGTAGGATTAGGGGTATGAGGCGAGGCTGCAGCTGAGGCAGCATTAGGAGCACTGGCGCCGGTGGTGTTGGTGGTAGTGACCCCGGCTCCTGAGCTGGCCGCGTTGCTGTGCTCACCGTGGGTCGAGTTGGGTCTGGCCTGGCCTCCAGTGCTGTTGGTTCCTCCATTGTGTTTGGGGGAGCTGTTGGCACTGCCAGGACTCACAGGACGCACGGGGAAGGGCCCCCAGGTGCTGGCGGCGGGAGAGAAGGTGCCCCCGAACTGAGCCATGGGGAGACGAGGGTGTCTGATCTGGTGCATGGTCTGAGCAGCCAGTAGAGCCAGCTGAGGGTGAGCATACGCCAAGGGCAGAGACACAGGGAAGGGCTGTCTGACATTTGACGACAGCCCCTTCCCAAGCTTTCCCCCGGCCTGAGAGGAGGGCGAAGACGAGGACGAAGAGGACTGGAACGAGACGCCTGCGGAGGTGACCAGCGAGCTCAGAGCCTTCGGCCCAGTGGCTGAGCCGCTGCCGGCCCCAGCACTACTGGGGAAGGAGGGGGTTTTGGGGACTCTGATGTGATTCCTTGGGATGAGATCCTCAAGCTCTTTGGCGGGGTCTTGGATAAGAGCGTTGATCAGCTGGACCGCATACCTCGTAGACTCCGTCCCGCCTCTGTAACGAAGAACAACTCTTTCAGATTATTCGGTTTGTGCTAAAAAGATAAATTAAGAGTGATGCGGTCATGTTGTACGGTAAAGGAAAAACACCCAGAACTATTTTTTACTATTGTCATCCAGTTCCATCCATGCAAAGCTATTCTGATGTCTTTGGAAATAATATGGCAATGTTTTGACATCACATTTAATGCCAAAAAGGTTAAATAGGATGATGTATAGATGTATATAATATATATGTGAAGAGGATAGAACATTAAACTTTTCTAAATTCTACAAATCCTGTGTTGGACGGTTACACCGTTAGACTCGCCAAAAAGGGAATGAATGACATCATCCAGGAGGGGCTTATATTTTTAATGCAGCTTACCAACTGTTCTACTAGAGCTGCAGCGGCATTTACAGTCCAGCAGGGGGCATGACTTTTACCTTATGGTGATCATCCTCTCCCCGTTCTTGTCCTTCTGTTTGTCTACATCTATGTGTGCTCCCGTCACGTCCTGGATTGCTGTGATGTTGCAACCTCCTCGGCCCATGATGCGAGACACGACGGAGGCCGGCACAGACAGCTTCTTTGATCTTCAAAAGAAGCAGGGAAATGTCATTGTGTGTGTGTCTCTCTCTACAGTGTTTGCCCTAGGATTTACAAACGTGTGTGAAAAAAGATGTAAAAAATGGTAGAGAAAGCCCTGGTTTATACTAGCAGTCACAAATGCCCTCAAACCAATCCTTTTCCTTAAGATCTGTTAAGTGTGGTCAATCAAAATCATGGAAACAGATGAAAATCCTAATCAAAGGCTGACCTTCTGACGACTTCTTTCCAACCCTCTTCTCTCTTCAGGCCTCTCTTGGGGCTTGTGAGGCTGAGCTTACTGTTGGGCGAGGTGATGGGAAGAGACATAGTCTTGAATGGGGAAGGCAATGAGTTGCAGGTGGAGTCGCTCGTATCTTGAGCTCTGCGTCAAAATAACAGAAGAGATAATCGGTCATTTGTCACGTTGGGCGATTGGTTGACATTGGAATATATTGAAGTAAGACTTACTGAATATAGCACACACATATATAGCATTTTCTAAGCCTTGTTTTTCCCCTGGATAAGCATCTCGAAACACCTCTGGGACTCACTTTTGCGTTGATTTTGAGATGGAGACCGTGACCTTGTTGTCCACCTTGCAGTCGGTTTGCGGCTGTGGACAGTGTCTCTTCTCTAGGCCGCGCAGGTGGCCCTGGGTTGCTCCTGAGGAGGGAACTGAGGAAGAGGAGGACGAGGAAGAGGAGGACGAGGAGGCGGATGAGGTGAGGTCAGGGAGGTAGTTTAGCTCCTGACTCTTGCCCCCACTGCTGCTGCTCTCGCTGGCACAGTCAGTGCTATCCAAGGGGTCAGAATCGCTGTTTCCACCCGCCAGTCCCCCTCCCCCGCCCCGCGGCTCGCCGTGAATCTTGTTCTTGTCCGCCTTGTGCTGTGCTAGTGCAACCTAGAGGGAAGACACAGGCGTCAGTATACTGTGTAAAGGAACTTTTAGTCTGGATAATCAGATGAATACAGCAAATGGTAGATCAGAAAAGACAAAGGGTACCATTGATAATCATTAGTGCTCACCTGCGAATCCTGTAATATGATGGTTTCGTTGGGCGAGTCCTTGGTCTTGTTCTTTTTGTTCTTGCGATTGGCGCTCGGGGTGGTGGCCACACTCGCTCGCTTCTTACCAAACGCTGTAGGGAAAGTGGTGGAGGTGGCGGATATACCAATGGTGGTGGTGGTGGTTGCACTAGGGGGCTCAATTGGAACCTCTTCTTCTGATGGCGGAGAATAAGTTCAAATTCAACGGTTACCAACGTTTTTATTCATTATGACTGAAGTCTCTCAACACTCAAAAACAATTATGCAGACTCTTAATGGCAAAAGTCATAACAGGTTACCGTCATCTGAATTCTCCTTCTGCTCCAGCATCTCACAGAAGTCATCCGTGGTTTTCTGCCCGCCCTCTTCCTCCTGCTTCCTCTTCTGCTCCTCCTTCTTCTTCTTGCGTTTCTCCTTGCGCTTCTCACGCTTAGCAGCCAGGGCCTGCTTCTTGATCTCCTCTCGGGACTGTCAAACACAACACAGAGTTGTTTAAAAACAATAACATGTTTGTCCTCATCCACTGTATACGCAGCCATGGTGTCTGACATTACCCTCTCCAAGTCTAGCTCCTTGAGGAGAATGCTAGCGTTGTTATTGGCCTCGGCCGCTTGCTGGTCTTTGGCTTTGACAATGGTCTCCATGCACTGGTGGCACTTCTTCAACAGCTCCTGCAAACAGGAAACCAACCGCTGGCGTTAGCGCTTTGTCATTTCCATGGGACGAGGCAGACTGATGAACGAAAAGTAAACCAAAATACCTTGTCAGCGAGAGTGGCGATATATCTCATGCACTCAATATCTGATGGGAATTGGTTGACCTCCTTTACAAGATATTGCACCACCTTCACATGACCCTGAGATGGGAAGTAACAGTTAATGACCAGAGCCTCGGCAACGTGTAGCACCAACAATCAGGGTTTTCGTAAACTCTGCACCTTGCGAAAAGCCGACATGAGTGGGGTAATCTTGCGGTTATCGGCTGCATCCACATCAGCACTGGCATGTACCAAGAGCTGGACCACGTCAAAGTGACCTCCATTTGCCGCCAGCCAGAGAGGGGTGTTCCCTTTCTTGTTCCGTACGTCGATATGGGCACCCCTGCGAAGAAAGGAAAAAAAATTGTGTTAAAGAGTCACATGAAGACATTGCAGCTAAAGGGCTGGGAGATAAGAAGCTATGGGCCACAGCTGATTTAAATCCCCACGGTAAGTATACCTATATACCAGGGGTGCCCAGTAGGTCCGTGCCAGTAGATCGCCCGCCATTGGTCACCACGGATGCACGGTCGACAACTAAACTTTGTAGTGCTAATTAGAGACCCTTGCTTACAAACCAACATGTAATTTCCTCCGAGTAAGGGAATGACCAAGAATGTGTGGAATGGTTGCGATGGTTCAATCACTTCTGACGGATGGCTTATTGTCAATTCGTGACAGTAGGCAGCTTTGTTCCATTACTACTCGTTATTAAGGCCGGAGCCGACGGAAAGTCTTCCAAAAGATTTAGCATTTTTCTTTCTCCACTTCGATTGCACTTTTGAGGCCTTTATCATATTCAAAAACTTCAAAGAAATTTGGCGCATCAGAGGTGCAAAAATGGATATTTTTAGGGTCACGCATTTGGGTAAAAAAAAAAAAAAAGTCTATAGTGCCTCCTAGAGATGTCTTCCTCTGGTGCGATGTTTGCCCACTATCAGCAATTGACATGACATTTTGGAAACCTGTGGATATTCTCTACAAAATCATGGTATTCAAATGCACCTACGGCAAAGTTGTCAGTACCAATAACCTAGTGGTTAGGGATGGGGGTTAACAAGCCACTGACTGGGATTGAAATCCTATCCGCTACCACTCATTATTTATGTTCCTTTTTTGTGGTTTCACAGAGTATCTTTGTCAGCCTTGGTGGCAGGGAGGCAACTGCTTTGAGAAAGCTCTTCAGGCACAGTCTGTTCCTTGTTTTGATAAGTCATTGCAGAGAAGGAGCCCTTATATAAATGTGGCGAAACAAAGGGCAGTAACTTAGTAAGTTTAATGTCTGCGGTCAGGTCACTTCACCCAAAACAGTGTGGATGTTGCAAAACTTCAGGGAGGAGAGAAATTAGTCTCTCACCCAAACTTCTACTAAATCAGTAAGACCCGTCCATTGCATAGCTTTAATTAGTATCATTATTTATTTAGCAGTAGCGAAGGGAGGTGGGTGGGGGGGGTGGATCGGGGTAGATCCCCACAACTTGGGTCGATTGAAAAGTAGCTTGCGAGCCGAAAAGGTGTGGGCACCCCTGCTTTGTACCGTTGCCTCTGATGTTACACATGATGAAATGCATTGAAACCATGGGGATTATTTTATGAAAGGAAAACTTGTAACATGGTTCTGCACACAAACACATAAGGGCACTCACCTGTTGATGAGCAGCTCACAAAACTTGTAGTGGCCCTTGTCAGCAGCAATGGTAAGGGCTGTGTCTCGGGACGAGGGAACAGGGGGAGCGTTGACATCGGCGCCTTTGTCCAGAAGCACTCGGCCCACCTCCGCATAACCTCCCGAGGCTGCCTCCATCAGGGGAGTGAGGCCAGTCTGAATGAAGCGAGAGGTTACTCAGCGAGATAGCCAGCTACACCGCGGGCTCAGCTAGAGCAGGCCACACACATTTACAGATCAACTCCATGGCGAATGAAAACCAGACTACTCACCTTTGCACGATGCTCTACGTTGGCCTTGCGATCCAGCAGCAGACTGACAACCTCTGCCCGACCTTGGAAGCAGGCTAGGGTCAGAGCCGTGTTTCTGTTGGTCTCAATTTGAGCATTGATGTCCGAGCCCATGTCAAGCAATAGCTTCACTGCCGGCACGTGGCCGTTCATGGCGGCCAACATCAGAGGAGAGATTCCTAGCTTGCTACCAGTCCTGGTACAAGAGCAAATTAACAAAATGTTACAGAAGTACAAACCTTTTTTTAACTGTTGAATGTGGTCTGAGGAGCATAACATAAGTCAATGAATATTTGCTTTTGATTTCATTGCAATTTAATATAAATGTATTTTTAACTTTTTGAAGACAAGCATTTATCGAGGTAGCAGCGCTGCAATAACGTTTTGGTGTTTAAGTTACAATACAATTTTCTCCCACGTCATTCATAACTTATTTGCTAAGCTATCAGTTTTGGGTGCAACTAAAATACAAAGCCATTTTACAGAAAGATTATATGTTTGGCGCCGTTTCGCTAAAAAGGCACATCATTCATACCAACATATTAAACAACGGTTCACATTTGGATCCAACAAAAGGATTCTCAATGTCCTGTTGCTCACCTGGAGTTGATCTCAGCTCCAGCATTGAGGAGAATCTTGATGATATTGACGTAACCCCCAGAAGCAGCCAGGCTTAGAGGCGTGTAGTCGGACACATTGCGGTGTTCTTTATTCGCTCCCCGAAGCAGTAGCAACTCAACCACCTGACGAACACACATGACAGTTGCACAGTCAAAGCCAGGAAACAATTTACCACCCATGTCTCTATTGAGAATTTAAACTCAAAGAAAATGCGTCTACCTCCTGGCGTCCCCCGGAGCAGGCCAGCGAGAGGGGGGTGTCTTTGGTTCTCTCTGACTGAGCCTCAATGTCCCCCCCTTTATCCAGGAGCACCTCCACCACTCCAACGTGGCCGGCGGTGGCAGCCAGGATCAGAGGAGTAAAACCTGTGGTGAGCAGCGATAATGAGAACGGTGAGCTAATATTAAATTCATACCTCCCTGTTGTTCACCACACCATACTGGTTTTCTCATGCCCCGGTTATCATCACGCTTTCATACCTTTTTTGTCCCGGTGCTCAATGTTTGCTCCCCGTGCAATGAGGACGGAAACAAGCTCCTCGTGTCCTCCTGCACACGCCAGCGTCAGCGCTGTGTCATGGTTGCTCTCCGTCTGTAGGAGGGTGGTAAAAACATCTCTTATCAACTTCGATGTCTCGTTGCACCCAAGTGCACTTACATCTCCATTGTGTCAAAATGTTCTGTTCCTTACATGCGCATCGATGTCAACAGAAGGGTAGAGGGGCAGGACAGAAGGGGGCGAGGCGATGTTTCCAGGCATCTGTGTGGGCGGCTGGGACATGGGCGTGGGTGAGGTTGTAGGGTTCAGCATGGGCACACGGCTACCCACAGCTGTAGTGGATAAAAAAATTAGATGATTAGGGATCTATCATTTAAGAAATCTCAAATTACGTAAAAAAAAAAAAAGAAATTCTCTTACCTGCCATGATGTCATCCAGCGTGTCTGTGAGTGTCTGTGCAGGTCTAGCTACCATGAGCCCATCTGGTGCTTGCTGAGCGATCATTCCTGGGCCTAACTGTTGACCCTGAACCTGCTGCTGATGAGGATGTTGTGGTTGTTGGCCCAGCATCTGCTGCCCTACCAGTACCCTCTGCAGCTCTGGGCTGGTGCTTCCCGGGTAGTCCGCGGGGTTGTAGTCGGGCAGTGGTTGGATGGGGACGAAGGCAGTCTGAAGAGGCAGTGGAGGAGGCTGGGGCTGGGCCTGCGGCGAAGGGGGCAGAGGTGGCTGGTGCGGCGGCTGCAGCCCATCCCTGTAGAGGATGGTGCCCACCTGAGGAAGTTTGGGGTAATCGCCCTCTTCTGCATCAGCCTCTTCCTCCGAACCCTCCTCTTCGTCGTCGTCATCATCATCATCATCGTCATCGTCATCCTCCTCCTCCTCCGCTTCCTGAAAAATGCAGAAAACATTATCAAGTCAAACAATATTATGCAACCAACAACACACCCTAAATGTGATGTAAAAGGTTCACCTCTTCCCCTTCCTCTCCTGGCTGCTCCTCATCTTTAATGGCCTCCTCATCAGTGTCCGAGCTGCTGTGTAATTGGGCACCTTCTATGGTGGGAAGAGCTGTACTTCCGGGACCTGGGCCTGGGCCCTGTCCGGCCTCCTGCTCCTCTTTTAAACCCTTTGCCTCCATGTACTCTTTGGTGAACTGTTGCTGTGTTTTCAGCTGCAGCTGGCGCTCCACCTTCTGCAGCTCCTTCAGGATTTTCTTCTTCTTCTGCACCTATGTGGGGAACAGCCACATCCATGTTTGACTAACTTCGAATACAGTGCCATGCAGAAAACATTTGATTTAAGAAAAAAGCACAAAAAATGTGTATTTTAAGAGGGTGATGAATTATACCTGCTCCTCTCTGCTCTTCTTCAGCTCTTCAATCTTGTCTTTGGTGAGCGGCTCCCCCTGAATCAGCTCTAACGACTGAAGCTGGGCCTTCTCAATGGCGCTGATTCTCTGGCCTAGCTCGTTCAGCTTCCCCTCAGTCTCCTCCACGATGCACTCTAGAGGCTGGCACAAGTGGAAGGGCGGCAGTGGCTCTGGTTCAGGCCCCCGGCCGACTGAGCTGGGGACACCGCCCTGAAGGGCCGCTTGTCTCTGTTTTGAAACACCTGGATTTGAAAGGAAGAGATCCGAGAAATTGAGGATTATCATGTGTTAACAAGGAAATGCCTTAAAACTGGGAAGATAATGGCTAAGTGAAGTCTTCAACTTCATTTTGCAAATTCCTTCCCTGGCGGACGGGACTTGCAGCGCTGATTACCTTTGATGGAGACCGGCGAGGGTGTGACAATGCTCGATGGGGCTCGGTCGGGCTCCTGAGGGGGCACTACCATGGCGAGAGCTTGGAACGGGACACGTGGAACCTGTTACGGCAGAGGTCATGTTAGTTTTAGACTCTTAAAGACTTACTCCTTTCTAAAAAACGATACGTTCCCAATCGAACATTAGTAATAAGTGTAAGTTGTTGCTGTATTTACCTGAGAGACATCTTGCGCAGGGGGCGTGAGCTGGGAAAGGTCAGGAGCTGGGACAGACAGGATGTTGTTGGGGTAGTCCAACAGGTACGACACGACATTGGTGTGTCCACCCTTAGCAGCTTCTATTAACATGGTTGAACCATCCTACAGAGAAAACATACACGTTAACAATGATGTGCTGGTATTACACACAATATTCCAAATAGTCAAATGAATGTCCAAGGTGCATTACTTTGAGTCTGTGTGTAGGATCTGCCCCGTGTGCCAGCAGCAGCTCCACCACAGCCAAATGTCCTCCAGCACAGGCCAGAGACACCACTGTGTGGTCATTGTTGGCAGTGGTTCTGTTCACATTAGCACCTGTACACAAGAAGACACACATTAACTCACTGTGTTAATGTGTCACTCTAAAAAGCAAACTCCTTAGGCGTCCGACCCAAATCCATCAGGGAAAAAAAATCACATATATATATATATATATATATATATATATATATATATTCCTGCATTAGGATGGGTGAGCCTACATAAAATATATTTGGTAAATTAAACAATACTGTAAAAGTTAGTTATCCATGAGTGTTATCACCTACACAAACGTAAGTGCATCAGTACACAAAACAATGAAGAAAATAATTGTCCTTCAATGTATATCCTAACAGAAAGAAGCATCTTTCAGTCAATCAATCAATACAACCTCATTTTACAAGACTCTTTGTAAATGTTTATATTATAAAACTATTAGAAAAAGGTCTTGGCCATTTAAAACAGCCAATTATTATTAGTAGTTTATTCAGGGAATGTAGATATACACATGTATTGATCTATTCTACACCGTGACTTTAAGGAAGAGAAAACATTTTGTGGAATTAGGCAAAAAAAACAAAAAAACATTAACTTAAGTACATTTGACTTGCTTCTCTGATCAGCTAATCAATAACCCACCTTTGCTGATAAGGAACTGTACTGTACAGAGATGTCCTGCCCTTGCTGCTTTCATTAAAGGCGTCCGCCCTCCTTCAGATTCATGTTCCTGGAAGACGATGTGAAAATGTGTTTGTTTAGTTGAAATTAGTCCAAAAGACCAACAAAAGCTGCAAAGCCCTCCAAGCCTTCACACAATAGACAGTGTTCAATACGGTCAATTCAGATGTGCAGAGAAAAACACTTTATTGCACTTCAGCTGGTTTTATTTAAACCTGTTAACCTAAAGTAAGGAATCTGCCCATTGTTTGAAAACTGTTTGACACTTTGCTGGGGAACCGAGGGAGGAGTGCTTTCGTGGAATTTGGAAACACGTTTTTAACTAGTAACCCCCAACTAATTTCACACTTTCAGTAGAATTGGCTGAAGTAGGTTTACCCTGAGTTACTAATATCGATAAAAAAAAAAAAACTAAAAAAACTAAAAGGCGCACTTAAAAGCCTTTAATTTTCTCAAAAAACGACAGTGCGCCTTACAATCCGGAGCGCCTTATATATGGATCAATTGATTAATCCATACTGGTTGTACACGGCGCTCAAGGCGCTCTGCCAAATATGCCAAAGATCGGTCTGCGACGGCGAGATGCTGAGCGGGCGCTCAAGCGCGTGAGATATGGAGCTTATTTCAGGGCGCGTCAGAGAAACAAAGCTGTCGTTCTTGCCGAGCACTTCATGAGATTAAAGAGCGAGAGGCGCATGCTTCTGCATCTGAATCGTTGCATCGACGCACTTGTTTCAATTCATGGTTCCAAAAGTCTTGCGTGTGTTGCACAGCAATTCGCGCCGGAACAATAGGTGGAGTAACGCGTTTTTGTCGAAGACGACCTAGAGAGTCACGTCTTTGTGTGTGGTCGTTGGTTTATTTATTTATCATAGACTTTATTGCCCCGTGCATCGCCACTGCTGCTTTTCATCGCGGACACATTTGTCCCGTAATTTCCTCCACAACTTTGTGCACCTCTCGACCGGCAAACCGCCATTTGCGGAGATCTCCCTCCATGAATCAGAGGCTATCCGCGCGTCCTTATAGTCCGCCAATGACGGGTTGTAGAAGCGGTCATATTTACGCATTTCTTCCGACAAAAGTTCTTCAATTTGATCCGTTCTCTCGTAAACATTCTTCGCGGTATTGTACTATGAACCTCGCAGCATCAATCGGACCCTGAAAGCACAGGCTCCACCTCCCCCATCCATCTGCTCAAACGTCAAACGTTTGACTGCAGTATCTTATGCGCCTTATAATCCGGTGCCCCCTATATATGAAAAATGTTCTAAAATAGGTAATTCATTGAAGGTGCGCCTTATAATCCAGTGCGCTTTATAATCCAGTGCGCCGTATAATGCGGAAAATACGGTACATTTAAATCCTACTTGAAGTAAAGCATTAAAGAAAGTGTACGACCATAAATAAATAAATGTACTAAACATCTGTTTCAAGGTAGAGCTTTTGATATGAATGTGATTTTCCGTTCCGGATAAATAAAAACAAATCTTATTTTGATAGTTATTGCTTGTGAAACAAGTATAAATTTCCAACGTAAAGCGTAACACTTTCCTGTCAGTTAAATGTAGTACACCAATGTTTTCCTCTGACGTAAAAGTACACAGTAAGTGGAATACAGGTTGAGTGGCATGCTTCTAGGCGTTTTGTTTTTTTAAGTGTTTAAGTGTGAGTAAGGGCCAATCATAAGTGACGAGGAGGATTAAAGAGGATGGCATACCAAATTGGCTCCAGCCTGCAGCAGCACATCCGCCACATCAGTGTGTCCGTTCTCACACGCATACGTCAGCGCTGTGTCACCCGTTGCCGTTGTGGCATGAACGTTTGCCCCTGAGTGACAAAAACAAGAGATTAGGTTTGCAAACATGGCAATATAACTGAATTTTTACAACGCAGCCAAGCTACTGGTGCTAAATCTGCAGGTGCTTGGCTTCTTTACTCTTAACTTACCTGCAGCCAGTAGGTATTTGACCAACTCTAGATGGCCTTCCTGTGCAGCCTCCATTAGAGGTGTGGAGCAGCCTAGCTCAATGTCGGCGCCAGCCTTGATGAGGAAGTCTGCCACTTCCAAGAAGCCTCCGCAGCATGCCAGAGTCAAAGCCGTCTCCTGGGTCTCCTCTGTCTGGGCATTGATGTTAGCACCTGGTCAACAGAACAAGAATAGTAAGCGATTCGTTACGAAGTTACTTTCAGTGCAAAACATGCATCCATCTCTTTAATGGGTTGAATAATAAAAAGCTATTTACAGATTACTCTAATTTCTTCATAACATATATACTCTTAAATACAAAGAGGGCAACACAAATCCAAACAAGTGTGTACTGTTCACTGATGTGTCGGAGATGCAGATCTCGCTTACCTTGGGCCAGCAGCAGTGCCACCATCTCCTCGTGGCCTTCTCTTGCTGCCTCCATGAGAGGCGTGTAGCCTTCATCATTAACCTGGATGAAAAATTAGAAGCATCCGCGGATAAGAAAACATGGGGCTAGTATGAGTCACTGCAGATTAGTGTGCAGTATTTTGTTGGGGGGAAATCCTTGGCCAACATAGTTCATAGTGACACTACTCCTTCCTGTAGTTTATGGTCTCGTGTTGGTATTTAAGTGTCAGTCCTGTCACCCACCTCTTCCAAGTTGGCTCCTCTCTCTATGAGCAAGGCTGCCAGCTCCACGTGTCCTCCACAGGCCGCGAGGGTGAGGGGCGACTCGAAGGAATCGGCTGGCATGTTGACCTGCGCGCCGCTGTCCAACAGCAGCCGTGCCACCTCCACATGGCCGTCCTGGGACAGCGAGACACACAGAGAATGTAGAGATAAGCACCTGAATAAATATATGGGATCACTTTTCAATAAAGCCGGTATACCATCACATTGCACCAGTCCAAGAACCTCTATTCTTCACAATTAACGTTGAAATATACAAAAAGGATATGTATAACTCAATTTAGAAAGTCTCTCTGTGCGGTAATTAATGGGTCAAAATCTTTTTTCCATACTTACGGTTTATTGGATAAGCAAAATTGTGAATTGTTGCATGCACAGTAGTGTCATTAACATCCATCCAACAAACATAGAAAGTGATGGAATCTAAAACATCCTTTGTTCCATTCTAAAAACAAAGAGCTCTCTTGCCCAACTATTTAAGAAAACTACACAAATTAAGTAATAAGTGCTGGGTGAGATGGTTTAAATACTGAATAAGTCTGACCAGTCCCTTAAGAGCTTTGTCAAAGTGCTTCGAGAATAGACACAGAAGGTCTGCAGAAGTTCCGCTGCCTACATTGGGCAAAATATTTAGGTAACGGTTTGGGTCAGATGCTCACCATGCACGCCTCCATCAGAGCTGTATGCATTTCATCCGTTTTATGTTCCTGGTCTGCTCCGGCCTCCAATAGAAAACGCACCATATCCAGGTGACCTGCAGACAACAACTCCAAGCTAATTATCTAGACCGTGTATCGCAACCCAGTAGTAAAGACCATGTTAAAAGGAACCAAAATAAGACAACAGGTATTGATTATTGATACATTTTTGAGCTCAGACCTTTGTAGCAGGCAAGTGTGAGAGCGCTCTCCTTGAACTCGTTGGAGTGTGTGTTGATGCCAGCGCCATACTCTAAGAGTACCCTGGCCACTTCTACGTGACCGGCACTGGCCGCCTCCATTAGAGGTGTGTGTCCGTTCTCGTTGTGGTCCTCGATGTTAGCGCCCTCTTTCAGCAGCACCTTCACCACATCCACGAAGCCCCCGGCACACGCATACGTCAACGCTGTGTTGCCTGGAAAACAACAGGAAAAATGTATATGAGCATAAAGCACAAAAGAAAATAATCATAAGGATAGAGAAATAAAGAGGGCTTTCACCTGTGGAGGATTGTGCATTAACATCTGCCCCGTGGACTAGAAGCAGTTTGACGATGTCGACATAACCGCCACTGGCCGCAGCCATGAGGGGCGTTATGTCCCCCTTGATGCCCCGGTCCTCCACGTTCGCATGCATGGCCAACAAAACCTAAGGGGGAAAGACCAAGTGATATTAATAAATTAAAAAAAAGAAAATCAACTAGCGCTAGCATGATCACTTTATCTTTGGAGAAATGTCTCTTCAGTGCAAACACACTACAAATAAAAGTAAATCATATTGCAGAATCAGAACCCATCAGCCCACTCCCCCCAGAACTGCCGTTCACATACCTGTGCAAGTTCATAATAGCCTGCCGAGCAGGCGAGGCACAGCAGGCTCTCTCCTTCCTCAGTGTGTTCGTTGACGCTCCTTCCTTCATCGAGTAGTTTGCGCACAGCGTTGACGTCCCCATCTGAGCAGGCCTCCGCTAAACTACGGCTGAAAATAACCAGACTGCTACAATTACTGCCCCTGTGACAGGTGAGCACACATGCGCCTCACATTCACACAACCACTCATGCATACTGTACGAGCATCTCGGCGTTGACAGAAAAGACAGTGACTATGCTCAGTCGTAATGACTTTGAATGAGCGACTGAATCTATGAAACTGTGTACGAGACAAACTGGCCCGTGCCAGCGTCAGTAAGGCAGAGATACATACTTGTCGGCTTGGCCGGCGTTTAGTGTGTTTTCGGCTCTCATACGGGTCAAGGCCGCCGCAGCTTCGTCCAAGGCACAACTCACGGATGAGGTCAGTCGCCGTAGCACTTCAGGGTCTGCAAAAGCTTTACCATCGGCAGTTGACAGTTTACCGATGCCTGGCGAACACCAAAGGGGCAGAGGTGCATAGGGCAAGGCAAACCACAGGGGAGCACAACCACACCAGACGAGGAAGCAAGTCCAGTCCAGCCAATCCAATCCAGGGTTAGTAGCGCCATACAAAAAAGAAAAAAGAATTCACACACAGAAAAAACACACACACAAGCATTTGTTAATATGGCTTACAATCTTTTCTCACTACCTTCAATATACCATGTATGAGGTTTAATATTGGCAATGACTGGGTCAATGGTCCAGTACAAACAAGGTCTACTGGGCTGCTAAAGGAGCGTCTGGGTAAAAACAGATCAGGACTTAAAGTAAATACAGTGAGGGAGGTTGTGTTAGATCTACAAGCCAGTAGAAATAGGTTCAGGCTGGTATGGGAACAGCAAAAATGTCTGAATTATAGATGGGTAAAAGGCAGTGAATGTGAGAAACTGGAGACAGTGGTCAGGGAGAGAGAAACACTGGAAGAACGACAAAATACCATCTGTTAAGAAAACGTGTTTGTGTATGATTGCGTCATGATAGAGAAGAAAACCCAACTATGTCAACGAAAGGAACGAGCAAGCGGAAGGGCAAAAGAAACTGCATTTTCTAATGGCCGACATTGAAAGAGAGACCAAAGAACAGTTTCACAACTGGTGAAACCGCTCCGGTGTTTGAGTTGTGTGTGGCAGGGAACGTTTTAAAAAGGCATGTGTAAAAATGGAAAAAAAGGAAGCCAGAAGAGCCCAAAGAGAAGACAGAAAGTGATTGCTTTGAACTGGTTGCCCTTAGCGAGCGCTAGTCCTTGTGGTCCCTCTGTGTTTTCACTAGTAGGCCTGGGACTTCATCTAAACTTAGCAGGGCTGTCGGACAAGCATTTCGCAATCGTCCCAAAGGTAGAGGGAAACAACGGCTCATGGAAGTAGATCATTAATGTTATGTTGAATTATGCTTTTCTCAAGAGAATACAGGTGGTGCATTGAACCAAAACCGACCGAGCTAACCCGACGTCAGGGTTCGACACATTGGAAACTCTTCAGACAACAAAATACGTTTTCTAACCTTGTTTTTTTTTTTTTTTTTTTTTTTAGACAGTTTACTTGTACAGTTGTAAACAGTGTAACTGTAAAATGTGTCATGCTAGCCACGGAGCAGACTACAGCCACTGTACCATCAACACACAAAGCCATCGGAAGGACCAGTTTTAAACAAGTTGAACATTATAGCAAACGAAAAAGAAGCAAGCGAGTCATGTTTCCTCACTGCATTTGTGAAGAAAAGCAGTTGTCACCTATTATTTTTAACATGAATTAAATCACTAGACACCAACTTTAACGATGTAGCCGACCGCCAACAAAGGATGTAATAAAGATCCTTCTTTTTATTATTTCCCTCAACATACAGGCTCTGGGCTTTGATCCTGGCTGGTTGCAACTTTTTTCAAATGACCGATAAAGTGGCCTGAGCTCCTGGGGGAGACCTGCCTTGGACTACAGCAGCACAGCAAATCCAAATCCAGGATGTATTTTACAGTTCTTTAACTGCCCAAAACCTGTTTCCACAACCAACATGATCTCCTAGCTAAGTAAACATAAAATATAAGGGGATGTGTATATACCACATGCTGGTTCAAATCATAAAACTGGCACTCAACACTAAAGCAGCTCAGGTCTTTAAATTGTGTTGTGATTAATCCAATATCTGACACAAAAGGTTCCAATACATTTATTTACCTTACAACTTTTAAATTCAAGCCATCTCTAACCGGTTAGTACCGGTTAGTACTTTGACTACAATGGTTTCCTTTCCGATGCTGTTTCCAACGAGTTACTTTAAAAGATGAAGCGTCAAATGTAGGATCCAAGTTGTCATCACAGGGAGAGCTGCGGAATAATTGCGGTGTCTAGTGTGTATTATAGTCCGTAGGAGTTCCCTGCAACACGGATGTAAATGTGACTACAAACACACAGAGACAGAGAGACAGACAGAGAGAGAGAGAGACAGAGACAGAGAGGTTTGACATGCAACAAAGGTCCCACGGACGGAATCGAACCGGGCACACTGTGCTCGCACGGCATGTGAACACAAAACGTCCATCTATAGACTTAAAGGTTGAGAATGAGAGATCTTAAAAGAACTTGCCAGCCTTTATGAAATGCTTATTTTAGTTACTATTTTTGCCCACTTGCCTTTACCTCATTAATTAGGTTAATTTGGTTCACTTATAGCTGGACCATAACTGAAGTGAACCTCGTTTTGATTGTTTTGTACTGTGTGCGCGCTTCAGTGTTTTCATTCCGTAAAATGTATACTGCTGTATTATTCAGGAATAACATTTGCCAAAGAGGTCTCTGACCTCCATCAAAATAGTTCAGATAAAACAGGGAAAATACAATAAGAACTTATTTTTAAAATTGTTGTATTGTATGCATTTTATTTCCCTACTTACATATTTGTTTAAAAGTTTTTTTTAAGCATTGGTATTAATACACACCATATTTTAAAGTGAGTTTGCAAGGTCTTATTCAAATAAACAGGCCCAGTAGTTGAGAATAGCGTAGCGCTTTTTAACACCTTTTGTGGTGGCCCAGTTTATTAGTGTGCAAAATGATGGTTTAACGGAGAAGACCCAAGACCCGGGGGAGAGATTGGATTCCCCAGTCAGAGCTGGTAGATGCGGCCCGGGAAAGGGAAGGTCCCCTGCTGGAGCGGTCGCCCCGCGATAAGTGGTTGGAGGTGAGAGATGAAATTATAGTGACACGACCAAAGGTACTTAATCTTTGCAGGGTATCCAACAAATGTCAATTTGGGGTGTCAATGAAAAGTTTTTATCCAGATCAGAACCTGATTCCTTTAATAATGATCAACTGCTGACAACGATTCTGATCTTTTACGGTGTATTTTTCCTACTTACAAAATACAACTGCAGTTTGCCAGGACTGAAAAAATGCCAAATCAGTTTAAAAAAATACACCCTTTTTAGTGATGATACTGTAAAACAAAGCCTCAATGATTGGTAGAATATCTATACATTATGATAATGTAGCAAAGACTCATTTCCTTTAATGGTTTCCCTTTAAAGGAAATGAGTGTCAGTACACCTCTGTGGTAGCAGATTTGGGGCAGCCTCATCATTCCTCAAAAGAACCAAAATGCTCAAGTTCAACAGCCACTAGCGAGCATTGGGACAATCTTCAAATGTTTTACTAGCCCGGGTCTGTAACCCAGCGCAATGGATTGGAAGAGAGACAATTACACAATAGCTAGCGAGGGTAAAGTGCAACAATTAAGCTTCAGTTTTGAAGGTGATTACAGTGGCATTACCTGTCGATTTGAACTTTTTAATACAGTCTACCAATTTAACGGGTTACAACAACCAAAACAAAAAGACATTTCACCTAATTGGATGCAAATATCTTGCTTTTAGACTATGTCCCATGAGCATCTTCCCTCCTAACAGGCTTGGGATTTGACTACTTTGTTGAAGAAGAGGTTGCCCAAATCTTACTCGCAGACACTATTATCTCTAAGAACAGCAGACCTCTCAAATGAATACAACATTTGAAAAGGTACGAGTAGCGTTTTTAAGCAAGCCGTAACAGATCTTAAGCAAAAGACAACGAAAATCGTAAGTCTTGAGAACAATTCCGACCAGTCAGGGAGAAAGGGGAATAGAATGAGATTAGCCATTAGCCGTTCAACACTGGCTCTACGCATGCTGCGGAGGCTCAAGTGCGTTCCAGGGTTAATCTGCCCGGTAATGTTTGTAAGCCCAAACGAGGCCAGGACACCCAGCCCCAATGGATTAATCTACATAGACCTTCTCCCACTAGATTACAAGTCCTAATCAAACTAAATTACCCCACTCGCTTTCAAACTATGTGTCGTTTTGACACTAAAAGAACCAGCAGGTTCTCTTCGTATCCCATTTGAGCCTACGTATCCCATTTGAGCCTACGGCCCATGCTACTATTGTTGGGATTTGAATGGGATAGTGGGGGAGGCTTAAGCAGAAAGGTGTGGTCTTGCTTACTCAAAAGTTACTGCATGTTAAAGCACACATTAAGACTAGTTGGAGCGAAAAAGGTGTGACCAAATAATGAGGTACTGGTCAACTAGAAATTAGCATTTGACAAGATTAAGGCTGAATGAAGTTGAGACAAAGCAGTCATACCTGCAGCTTCCAGTAGTGCTTCAAGTCGAGCCTGGGTCTCTGGATCAACAGTCCTCAAATCTACTCCGTCTGTGGCGCTGGACAAAAGCAACTCCGACGCAGTCTTCATGATGGGGTTATCCAGGTCCTCCTGGTCCAAAATGAACGACTCCACCTGGAACAGGTAGACAGACGAGGGTAAAAGGAGAACAATTAGCGCTTTGTCAGCAGTTTATGTTTCTGATGTAATGTAAATGAAGTTTAGATCTTGACCAAGGTTTGTATAATATAAAAACTCACGAGAAAAGGTATTTGGTTACTTACACCAGCCCCGTAGAAATAAGTCCCAAATCAGGCAATTAGTTAGCATTTTCTCACGCCCATGCGATCGCGTCGTTTCATTTTTTTTTCTTTTTTTCTGCCAATTGTATTTACACTTAATTTGTGAAGAACATCTTGATGGACAAAATGTTTAAGTATCATAAATGATTCTAAAAGGAAGACGCTACGTTCTGGGTAGCCTACTATAATAAGTCAAGCCTGCAGCTCTCTACACATCACTTACAGCTCCATTATCATGTATAGATGTTGCCCCACACACACCATCTATAAAAAGACCAGGCATAGTGCCCTTGTTTATTTACAGTTTCTTCCAAACGAGAGAAATCCAAAAGGGCAGGGAAGCCCAAGTACACCACATAACTAAGATTTGGCCATCATCTATCACAGTACGTGTTAAACAGTTCATGCTTCGAAAAAAGTAGTGAGTTGATTTTTTTGATATTACAACTCAAAATGAGTTTTATTTAAATGCAATGTTCTAATAAATAGTAAAAGTGAATATTTTACAAATACTGAAGAATTGTTTATAGTCTATTTCAAAGTAACTGCTTGTTCAATCCCCCAGTGTCACAGTTTAAAAGGGATGATTCTAATGACTCATGATATATTTGTTTACAGGTGGAAATAATCAAAGTCCCATCTAACTACTAATATCTCCATAAAAGTATGCAGTAAAACACTGCAATACATCAACCATAGAAATATAAAGAAGCCAATATTGAGATGACACATTTGACAGAACTAACTTTGCCTAATCAAAAATAGGGGATTTTAAAAAACAACAATAGGAGTAATACGTTTCAAACATTCACAGAATGCAACAGTTTGCAAAACAGCCTCTGACAACTGGAAACTGTCCGAATCCACGTCCGTGTCCATCCAAAAACTAGACGGCTTTTGGGGCCCGGCCCAGAGAGCCAATGTTGAGAGAGTCAGCATTCAGCAATGTGCAGGAATTCAGCTATATGATTGGAACACAGAGCCAAACAACCTGTGGGGGTTGTAGTTCTACCATGGCCTTTAGAAATCAACAATGGACATCAGTCCCCACTATTAATGAACTACAGTTCCCACAGTGTTGGTTCCCAGAGAGCTGCAAAGGCCTAGAATGGCATCTGCTTAATCCTGGGGCTCAGATTTTAGCTACTGCCCAGAGCAGCGAGTTCTCCACTGGAGTAAAACACCACAACAAACACTCCCTCCAAAGACCTAAAAACAGAGCTGGCCGAGTACACTGCCCGAGATGTGATCGTCAAACTGAATATTTCCTTCTGCTGCTGCTGCTATACAGCCGATGCTCAGGGAAAAATGTCAATATAGCCACACTGTATTGACACTGGCATCAGCTGACGGTCTTACTGTGGCGGGTGAGAGGAACAGCCCGTTGGTCAGATATTATTAAGATACAACAGACGCAGCTCTACAGGTCATGTGCATAGCTCAGCAGGGTCAATTCTCTCTGCACACCCAGAACTCCTTGATTATTGTGTTTGACAGTAGATGCTGCACCCCCTTTAAGATGACAAAATGATTACGCTACAATGAAAATGCAAATACAAAAAAAGAGACCGTTGATGCATACGTGTAAATCGATTATTTGCTATGTAACGTTAGCAGTTTGGCATGTGCCCTTCCTGAGGCTACTGCATTTGCACAATTTGTGTGCAAGCACGATTAATTACATCTTATATGACAATAACGAGGCTAAGTGGTCTAAATATTGTAAAACTGGCCTTGACATTAGACACGACTTACCCAAACCATTAAAAAAAACGTAAGACGAAGAAGCCTTTTGATTGCATAAAAAAATAAATCCCTCAATAGATGGTTCTCTCGTCTTGTCTTTTAAATGTGTGCTTTTTAGTGCGATGTGGTTCAGTGTAAAGCATGTCGGAAGCATGTTTAGCGCAGGAGATGCCATCACACCTGTCCCCGTGTGTGACTGCCAGCACATGGGAAGTTGGAGCAGTCTCAGCACGAACCCTGCCGGCTCTCAATTGTGACATCCCATATCGAGTTGATACAGTAGTGTTAGCTATCTGACCAAAAGAGGCGAAAAATGGAGAAAAACACCGACTCTCTAAAATTACAGGAGTTCCGCGGGAGGAAAGTGATATCAAAAACTTAGCGGAGGGACGATCGGAGTTCATTTACATGATTTGGAAAAGTGACGTAATTGCACCACAACTACGAAATGGCAGATAGTTAGCTGGCCGTGAACGCCTCTGGGTTCACGGGCATCTTCCATTAACGGTGGCTGGAAAGCTGTTTGGAAGAGCCGCGAACTTGTGATGGGTGTTGCGAGACGCCAGCACCGAACGAGGCCGTCGCCGCTTCCACCCGAACTAGGCCGTGGTCACAGCCTGCCCTGCGTAAATAAAACATTTCACCCGCTCAGCGTGAACAACTGCCGTTGTCCCATCAAACATTACCAATAGCAAACACCGCCTAAGCGACTGAACTGCCAAGAGGTGTCGTTCGATTGAAGTGCTGTCTTATTTTACGTAATTTCAGCGGCCTGGGAGGGGGTGGTTGCCAACTGCGAGCTAATTCGCTAGCTAGCATCCAGCTCGCGCTAAGAGAGGAATGTTACCCAGCTATACGGTTAGGCTTAGCTAACTAGCTTAGCTAACTAGCCCAGCTTCGCGTAGCTACCTCTGAAACCTCGTCTTCGTCGCTGCCGGATCCTGGACCCGAGGAGAGGACGGCCGCGGCCGCCAGTTTGAAATCCAGTCTTTCGGTTGCAGGCCCACCTTGTTCGCCGTACAAACGTACTTTCTTCCCACCTACACCAATCCCAATGCCCCCTAGTCCGACTCCTCCTGGTGTCGCTCCTACCCCCATCCCTGCCACTGGGGAGCGAGGAGTCACCGAGTCAATCTCGTCCTCGAAGCCGTCCGTCAGCATTGCCGTCCCGGTTACTGCATCCTGCATACTTAGGTTCACGATACTTGTGTTCACGAGCTAGTTGTTGACTTAAACGTCCGTCCAGGCTCTTTCTTATAGGATATTTACGTGATTTTACTTCAGGGAATCCAGAAACTCTCCCGAAGCGAGGGTTGAGGAGGATCTCTTTCCCCCAGCCATTAACTTTCTAACAACCTAACGCGATACGCACTGTTTCTGAGAACGAACGCCTCTGGAAGAAATCCTGATAACCCTATTGGTTGAGCGGGAAAAAACTCCGTTTTCCATTGGTCGGACATAAAGCTTGTCAAACATGAGACCGCAACGTCATGTTAGGTTTACCAATATCACGAGGCTGTAGAACGAACGTCAAGATATGGCATGGTAGGCGAACTTAACTGGTAGCAAGCGTTACTAGTTTACGTAAACTCTTTTTGGAAAATCAGTTATATGAGGGGCTGATGTAAATGTGTGTATGATAATGTATGGCACCTGTTGTACATAAGTGTCCATTTTATCTTACTTTAAATGTCAATGAATACCATTAATTGAACCTTACATATAATATATGATGTAATTTGTGGCTTTAATTTGTTGATGAGCATAAATACGATTGGAATAATAAGCAATACAGGTGGACATTTTAAGGTGGACATTGATATGAGACAGAACATACACAAACACACAAAAAAAACAAATAATAAAAGGTCACCCTGATACTTTGATCACATTTGTAATCTGAAATTAATTTCTGTTATGGATGTTTTACTGAAAATATGAAACACAAAATCCCATGATATTTCTTAACCTACTGTTTATACCGAGATGATTTGAGCATGTAGTAGAGACAAAAGAACACAAAGTTTCCAGGTGTGACTTCAGCCACGAAAATCACTGGATATAGTAGTCACTGGAGTTCAATTATATTGATGGAGTACTTTTTAAAATTGAACTCCAGTCTCATCAGAAGAATTGGTTCCTGGTTATATTTATCTGGTTCCCTCCAAATGCATTTGCAAACAATGAATGTTATTGAATTCAATCAGACTAAAAACACAAAATAGCAATTCAGATATTGTGCAGTACCGTATGTAGTAAACTGTTCCAAAGATTAAAAGTGTATTACCTAAAATAGACTGCAGAATCTAAAAAGAAATGCACAATAGAATATCACATAATTGATCAATTGATAATATCAATAATAAAATGTTAATAATGTTAATAAGGGCACATATGATGTCAATGTCCAGGTTCATAGTTGTTTTTTGTATTTCTGAGAAGAAAGGCTTTCTCTAACCTCTAAAAACACATGGATTAAATGTTATAGTGTATTGCAAAGTGGCCAGTACGAGTATAGTACGAGTAAGTGTCATATTTCTCTATTAAATAAAGCACTTATTTGGAGAATAATCAAAAAACAGAAAGAGAAACTCAAGTCAATTATCACAATTTCCAAACAATTTCACTTCAATTACTTCACTTTAGTAAATCTTTTTTAAATTACTGAACTTTTCAGTGATAGGCACTACACAATACTAATAGATGATGGCACAACACTAAATAATTCCTGGAGGTAACCATTATTATAGTGTCTGCACCAGCCAATAATAAGTTTCTCTAAAGTGGGAAGAGGAAACAGCCCTTGCTAAAGGGCACTGTTGAAATTGGTGTGGCTGCTACCACACCGCTGCTACCACAGTAACAGCAACACCAACATCTTCTACAAGCTAATTGTTAAGAATATGAGAGATTCACGTTTATAACTAGAGTAAAGTGAAAAGGGAAAAGTGATGAAGGACACATACTCCACCTTAAAATAATTTGAGAGGTAAAACAAGTTTGACCACTGTGATCAGAATAATTTATAGTTATATAAATTATAGGTTATAAGTGATATTATAGTATAGGCCTTGCTAGGAGAGGTACCCGACCAGCTATGGCCTTTGGGCAATAACGTCATCATTTTTGGGCGTGGACGCACGCAATTCGGAGGTGATTGGTTATTCATTCGGTTGCCAGATATGTACTAAATCCTACATTTCCCGTTCCACACAATGCCAGGAGATTAGGCAAATTTGTAATCATTGTAATTTTATATACATTCCCTAACACAGAAATACACTAATATTGATAACTGTACTATTTGAAATGTTTGTTAATGTTGAATAACGGGATTGCGTTGCATTTTAGAAGAGAGGCGACGATTACTTAAGAGAGTTTTTTTCTGGTCTCTCAAAGGGGGTCGGTTCCAGAGGTGTGGCAACCTCGCGCTAGGTTTCAGCTGCATCACGCAAGTCTGGTCATACATACTCCAGCGTGTGGTATCGACGTTTGTATCAGGTAATTTATTCATTTGAATCTTTTTTAAATTCCCCGTGTCTAAATGCAACACTAGCTTTGTAAAATCTAATGGGCTAACGTAGCAGCCGGTTTTCACATTATGTTTGATTAACATACCGTTAGTTAGCTAATGCTACCGCGAGGGCTAGAAGAATGCTAACGCTAGTAACATGGCGCCGGCCGAGAGGGCCGCTTTTGTTCTTCTGTCTGGGTGCGGTGGTGAGCGTGGTGGGGGCCACGCAGCCACTCTTAAATGAATGAAGTGTGAATAACAGAGCCATAATTGGGATTCTGAGAACTGTTACAAATGTATCAAAACATTTTAATACCAAAATTGTTGGCGGAAAAAAGTAGCTTGGCTTTCACGTTGTGTCGCTAAAGTTAACGTTAGCCCGTAACCTCCACAACTCTGCCTTCGCGCTTTTTTAGTGGTTCCCCCTTTTTTGTGGATTAGTGTTGGAGAGTAAAGCAACTTTAACTTTAAATGATTCACTACCATTCACAATTGTATTGTAACAACGTGTTTGTTAAGTGGTAGAGCCCCGGGATCGACTTCTGTAAAATGTTAGCTAACGTTACTTGTTAGCACTATCGAACCGCCCGTAGGGGGCGCTGCAAAATAGTGCTAATTGCGAGGTTAACGATACCTCTGTCCACGCATCTCTTAAAAGGTAACAATACCATTGATATCGTCTATTAAAACAATGGTAATAAGTAAGGGGATAGTAGTAACAGTTACTCTAAGCATGTGTCGTTGGTGCCTCGGTCGTATATGCAAATGTTTAAAACCCATTGTCTAGATCGCAGTATGTTCTAATCTCTCTCCCTTTATATATATTTTTCTTTCAGGGATTGTGAAGCCATGTCTGATGAGGGATATGTGATACGCATCAGGGGTCTCCCTTGGTCCTGCTCAGTGGATGAAGTACAGAGGTTTTTCTCTGGTAGGTGATAATTAATCTAAGTATTTCTGTAATTAAAGCATTTGTAAATCATCTAACAAAATACATTTCTTATGCAGATTGCAAAATTATCCCAAACGGGGGAGGTATCCACTTCACCTACACCAGAGAGGGACGCCCCAGTGGAGAGGCATTTGTCGAAATGGAAACCGAGGAAGATCTGAAGATTGCAGTAAAGAAGGACAGAGAAACAATGGGTCACAGATATGTCGAGGGTGTGTAAAACGCTTTCAGATATTTATATCATTTATTAACTTAATGTTATGATGGCTAACTTATCTGTCCTATGATAGTTTTTAAATCCAACAATGTGGAGATGGACTGGGTCATGAAGCACACTGGTCCAAACTGTCCAGAAACGGCAGGGGACGGACTTGTCCGGCTTCGTGGCCTCCCTTTTGGCTGCAGCAAGGAGGAGATAGTACAGTTTTTCTCAGGTACAAGAAGCTGAGCTCTGTGGTTAATTTGAAATCTTCCTTAATGTAAAGTTGGTTTCCTTTTTTTCCCCTTCTCCATCTTCCTTTTCTTGTTTCCTTCTTGCTATAGACACTTTTTTTTATTATTATTTTTTTTATAACTAAGACCGGTTTTTAAATTTGATCAGGGAGGTAATGATGCCAGTTAGGATTTACATTGAGGAATTATTTAAAGATTATGTTAAGCTACGGGGAAGAAATCTGTTGCAAACACCCTTTCCCATCGCTGCCATCATATCCACCTAAGCCCATTTGAATCCGTCTTTCTCTCTCATTCGGTCTGACGTTGTAAGGTGGTGTAGTTAAGTGGATGGGTCTCACTCTTACCCCAGTATCACCCCCGCCTCCCTCCATTTACTCACCCATTTCTTTTTGAATGCATCATTCCTAGGGCAAGTTTTACATTAGTTCCTCTGAGCTATTAGTAATATGAACTCTTATCACCCACCCACTAGGATCCTTCTCTCTCTCACTTGTCCGATGTCCCACACAGTGCCCCTTTCCATATTCTTCCTCTATCCTCTCATTTGTAATCATTCCCAAACTACAGTAAATTCATTTGCCAGTCACTGGTTTAAAAACTAAACTGGTATGTGTGATAATGTATAGAGTTTTTCCATAAGTTTTTCTATCTCTTTAGAGAAAGTTCTCTCTGTGATTGGGCATGTGATTTAATGTGTCCCCTGCTGGGGTTATCTGTCCTTGGGTTGAAGGGTTGGAAATCGTGCCAAATGGGATAACATTGCCGGTGGACATCCAGGGGAGGAGTACGGGGGAGGCCTTCGTGCAGTTTGCTTCACAGGATATAGCTGAAAAGGCTCTAAAGAAACACAAGGAAAGAATAGGGCACAGGTGGGGATGGTTGGTTGGTTGGCTGGATACGTTGCTTTTCTTATGGTGTGCACTCAACATCTGAACCAAATGCAAATTGGACACAACATTAATCTTAGTTAATTAAAGATTATTTGTTTTAATTACCAGTAACGCATACAAACATTGCCATGTCAGATTGAAATAATGCACACAGTCACAATGTTCAATGGGAAGGTTAGTGCTTGGGCACCATCCACAAGAACGACACGAGTCGCTAACTAGAGTACATGCTTAAATGGTGTCGCAACACTTAACAGTCCAGGTTGATAAATGGTAAGGAGTCTTCCCTGGTGGTAAAATCAGAGGGCCACTGTATACATGGATCTGGAGCCCACTTCACAGGTAACGCTTAAAGTGAGTCGCAGACGGGCTGGAGCCCTCTCTGTCCCTCTAAAACCAGGCGAATGGCTGTCGTGGCAAGGACACAGGATGCTTTATTATCCGTTTTATAAATTAACTTATGGCAACTATAAATGTATGTCAATAATGCCCTAATCAATTTAGAAAGCTTAATTTTTGCTACTCATAGTAAGTCTTTTTTAATTGTTTTCATAACCAGTCAAATATTATTACCTATGGACTACATTATGACAGCATCTGCATAGCCCCGTTGCATCAGTATGAGCAAATGCAGCCTTGCTTGTGCTGGTTCATTCCCCATGCGCTCATTGTGTGATCTCTATGCTCTTAGGTACATTGAGATCTTCAAGAGTAGCCGTGCTGAGGTGCGGACTCACTATGAACCCCAGCGGAAGCCCATGGGCATGCAGAGGCCCAGCCCCTATGACCGGCCCTCGGGTAGTCGCAGCTACAGCATGATGGGCCGAGGTGGATCCTACGAAAGAATGCGTCGTGGCGGCTATGGAGGAGGTGGCCGTCAAACCGACTGTACGTGAACTTAAGTCTTATCCACTGCCAGTTTGCAATTGTTTTACATGCTTACTCTAGCTTTGTCCCGTCATCTGAGCTCTGCAATACATTTCATCAGATAAGTGTCAAGATAACTCTACATTTTAAACGTGTTTAGGTCTATCCGATGGTCGATATGGCGACAGCGGAGGAGGCGGCGGAGGGGGCAGTGGTGGCGGCGGCGGCTCTTCCTTCCAGAGCACAACGGGCCACTGTGTCCACATGAGGGGCCTTCCCTACAGAGCCTCAGAGACAGACATCTACAACGTGAGTCAGAGGAATAATGTCAAAACATCTGCACAGCCACTGTTACTGGAAAAAGTACCCTCTGTGTGCACATTTATGTTTAGGTTAATGTCTCCTTGTTTTGCACGCCTTAGTTCTTCTCGCCACTGAATCCGGTGCGGGTCCACATTGAGATCGGCCCCGATGGTCGGGTAACCGGGGAGGCAGATGTAGAGTTTGCGACACACGAAGATGCTGTGGCAGCCATGTCCAAAGACAAAGCCAACATGCGTGAGTTTGAAATCGGTGGTTTAAAACTCCTTCAACGCTGTGTATGAGCTTCCACAATGACGCTCCTGGTTTTTCTCAGAGCACCGCTACGTGGAGCTGTTCTTGAACTCGACGGCAGGTGGTAGTAACGGAGCCTACAGCAGCCAGATGATGGGCGGCATGGGTGAGTTTCCCGGGAGAGCATCCCTGTAATGTCAGGACTCTTTAACCCACGCTGAACCAGGTTTGATCTGTTCTCTGCAGGGAACCAGTCGTCTTACAGCAGCAGCCAGCTGAGCTCAGGGTACTCTGGTGGATACAGCAGCCAGGGCAGTATGGGTGGCTACGGTGACTATAGTGAGTGTCAGCTGTGTTATAATGTTATAGTTATTTTTTCCACCAGCCACACTAAAGTTGCTTGCTGGCGCTTAGTAACCTCGATAATAAAACGTAGTTCCTGCTTGATGGGAAAGAAGTGCGTTGTTTGAGGAACTCCTCGGTCCTATCGTTTGTATTCTCTCTCTTGTTAGGTAACCAGGGCGGGATGGGAAGCAGTTACTACGGCGGCGGTGGAGGCGGCGGAAGCAGAGGCTCAATGAATGGACTGGGCGGGGGATGGGGAATGTAGTTTCTTTTCGTCAATGTTTTCTTTTTAACAGCAATTTTGCTGGAAAGACTGGAAATTCAAGTCTCACCTGGTAAACGCAGGGTGAGGACATGAAAACATTGAGGGGTTTGTATTTTTTTTAAGTGGATCTTTAGAGAAATGAGATAATCTGGTGTCAGAGAGAAGTGTTGTTTGTCTTCCCCTTTCCTCAGATTTAAATGTTCATTACAAGGTAGTGTCTTTTTGTTATTGTATTTCATAAACCTTGCTGTTCCCAGAGGTTCACTCCATTCACATTAGTTTCAATGTCTTGAGTGCATGAACAAAAAGATAGGTCTTTTATCTAATGTTAAGACCTTGTTTCCCCTTCTACATAGTTTAGCTTACTTTCACCATTTCCAGTTAGAATGTTACATGGTCAGAGCATGTTCTGTTTTCTTAAAAGTTGTAATAATTTGTTTGAGGGCAAGTGAATTTCAAATCCGCTGACAAGAGTTTCTACTGCTTCAAATGCTATTTGTATTTCCTGTGCACAAAGTGAATAAACTAGTCTGGAAAATATCTGTTGGGAAAAGGGACTTTATTGATTTATCAAACAGTCTGATTAAAAAAACTTGCATCCACAAATAAAACTGCTTTAGCTGTCAACTCACAACTTTTTAGTAACGCATTCTAAAATAGATTTGTTAATTCTAGTCATTTATACAATTTCACATGGAGCATAACTGTAGAAAGTGAATAGATGCAGTACGAGTAGTAAAGTAATCCTCAATGTAAACTGAAAAACGAATCCTAAATCATTTCAAGCGAACTTGGGATGCATCAACATTGCATCCTACCACTTATGGTGCCTCTTCCCTCATTTATACAGATGAAGTAGTGCTCCTGAACTTCAGGCATCAGTGGAAACAGAACAATCGTATTTGACATTCTTTAAACATAAGCACTTTGTATATCCAGTGTCAGCAACCGGTAGAGGAGCTTCTCTGCAGCAGGAGGGCGTGGCACGCATCACACACCCGCACAGGGCGGGGGTAGGAGGGTAAGGCCAGCTCGTTACTGGAACAGCTGTTGCAGTAGATGTCGCCACAGTTCCTACAATGGTGCTGCAACACAAACCGACACCTCATTTGCCTCCACTGTCCAGATAGAAAAGAGCCATACGGCTGAAACAGTTGGAGGGGAAGGTGGTTGAGCAGCTACCTTTCTGCGCGCGATGGAGAATTCCTTCTCGCATTGCTTGCATTGAGTGGCCTCGTCGTCTTTGAGCCAGGCGTGGCCCTGACCAACGGACGCACAAGACGGGACCAGTCAGGAGCTTTTTATTTTTATGTCACAGCATCAATGTTACAAGCGCAGCGCTCTTCACATTTGTACCTTCAGAGCTTTGTTGACCTCCTTGAAGTCCTCCATCTTAAGTTTAGACCTTTTGACAAAAAAACAAAACAGGTGAAATTACAATGGTACATGTTTAAGTCAGACAAAAGATTCTAAGATGAGAAGTACTGACTGGCTGAGGTGCAGCCCCATCTCCTGCAGAGCCTGCTCCTGCTGCCCACATGTCTGCTGCAGCTGCCTCTTCTCATGCTTCAAATCCTGCACCTCCTGCACCATCAGTTCACAGGAAACCGGGATGGAACAACATTGCGCAGGATTAGGACTTATTTGGTAAAACACTTTAGAAACCTAAATAGGATGAACTATGTTCAGTTTGTTGGATACATCTTTGATACTGAACTGCAACATCTTATGTAAATAATCCTGGAACAGGTCTGAGATGAAGCTTTCATTAAGAAGTACTTGTCACATGGGTGGAAGTTATACCACCCATGACATTGTTCCGCACACATGTATGTTCACTTCTGCATAGTTAGACTAAATGCAAAGTAGAAACTGGTTTCTTATTCAAAATAAATCCCCCTCCAGAGCCAGGTGACCCTAACCCTGGTCGGTGGGTGTGACACTGACCGCTTGAAGGCCCTGCAGTTGCTGCAGCTGTGTGCGGAGTTCGGTGCTGTTGTCCTGTTCCTGCTGGAGAGCCTTCTGCAGACTTTGTCGGTGTTCCCTCTCAGTGCGCAGCTCGGTCTCCAAACCCAGCCTGAGAACAAGGAGAGGGCCCGCAAGGCCAATTGAGCCCTCGGCCTTCCGACATGTTCTACACAGAAGGGCAACTAAAATCACAGGAAAATGGCCACTCGTTTCTTCCCAAGAAATTGCTTATGTTTTTTGTGGATTCGGGACAGTTTTTGTAAAACAAAAAAATCGCCCCCCACCGTCTCCCTTCACAGCAACTGATATGGTGCTACATTGTGTGGTACTTTAAACCAGGGGTGTCAAACAGATGGCCCGCCAGGGGGTCCTAATTTGCATTTCTATAAAAGTAGCTGCTATTCCTAAAAAGTCCACTGGGTGTCGCACTCGCTAGTGAGCGCATGCATTAGACCAGGAGGACCAGGTCGTTCACCAACGCAGTGCGGGTCGATCCCCCCCATAGGAAAGAGAAATCACGTCAGGGAGGGGTAGATGGCCATGATTTGAAAAGTAGCGTGCACCCCTGGGTTCGACCTTTCCTTCACAGCGTTCCTCCAGGCAGCAGCGCCCGCTTGAAAATTACATTCTCTCTCCTTTTTTCCCCCCGGTTGGCTGGACCATCCGTGCGCCCCGTTTACCGTCTGCGCGCAATAAATGACTATTTTTGCTGGATCCCCGTTAATTCTAAATGTTGCTCGTTAGTGTAAATACTTTTAATCGTGCGGCTCAAGATATCAAGGAGCCCAAGTATGTCTATTGCAAGACCAACCTAGTATAGAAGCCGATTTTGAGCTCAGACCTGGTCATTACTGAACATCTCCTCGGTCCTGGATTAACTGCAATGTTGTAACTCTCTTGAGCATAATGTTTATATAGACTGGCAGTTTTCCGTTTTTATTTTGTTTTTGATCCCATGTGCAGCTCATCTGTCCTGTTAAAAAAACGCTTTAACCTTTGAGTGTCCAGGTCAGTCAGTTGTTTCTGCAAAGCCTCCACTTTTCCCTCCAGCTCCTCCCTCATATCTTCGTCCGACTGGTCACTATGTTTGCGCTGTTGCTCGGAGTGCTGTAGTCTGTGGGGCATAAACCACCAGAATAATATTACTTTAAAATACTTCTTTAAAAACCACCAACACGCACAACACACACACACACACACACCTCTGCTCTAGATCCATCATGGCTCTCTCCATTTCATCCATCTTCCCCTCAAGCTGCGCCGCCTCGGTCTGCTTTCTTTCTGCCACTCGGTCTGAAGCCTTAAGAGACACAAACTTGCATTAATGTGCATTCTGGCTAAAAGGGGCTGAAAAAAGGGTGTATTCATGCACGCGTCTACCTGAGCTTTGTGGAACATTTGCAGGTTAAGAGTCTTGACTTGGTCGAGCTGGAGCCGCAAGGCCTCCAGAGTGTCTTGCTTCTCGTGCGTGTCCTTCTCCAGCAGCCTCATGGCCGTCTCAATCTCCTGCTTCAGTCCCACTTGGAGCTCCAACTCGTGCTCCAGCTCCTGTCGGCGTGCGTTGCACGCGTACAAAAGGGCATGAGTCTAATTGGTACAATTAGGGACGGCAGTTCCGCTTCGGGTTCCGGCTAACAGGAGGCAGCATGACTCATCACTCACACTGCTGGCTTCTGTGTGAAGACTGATACGCATTGACCACACGTAAGGGCCTATTCTGGTGCTCTATGCGGCCGGGTGATGGCTGACCTGGCGAATGCGCTTCTCCTCTTTGTACTGCTTCCAAACGACATTGTACATCTCATCCAGGCCCTGTCGAGTCTGTTTGTACGTCTCCAGCTCCACCTGGCTGTCTTGGAGGGCTGCCTGGATGAACAAAAACACGTCACACAGTTTGGGTATTTTTCTAGATTAGGAGGGATTTAGCAGCCGTCACTTGCAGCGGAGTTTGGACCTCTTCCTTTTTCTGAGTGCACTGCAAGATTGTCTCGTTCGCCTTCCTCAGCTGTTCCTGCTCCTCCCGCAGAGAGTTGATTCTGTCCGTCGCTGCTGTCAGCTGAGAAAAGTAAAACAAGCGCCCATCAGTCAGGTGACACTCTGCTCGCATACAAAGATGCTGTGTTGATGTGTGATGGGAACGGCTTCTTTGAAGATGATCGAAGCAATCTTAAAAATATGTCACACCCACCAATCGAGGGTACAATAACATAATAGCGCACACACACACACACACACGGACAGAGTCTGACCTCCTCTACAAGTTTGCTGTTGGTCTTCTCTATAGAGTCCATCTTAGCCTGAAGGTCAGTGACGGTGCCACTTAGGTGACGATTCAACTCCTCTATGTAGTGCTTCTGGTCTAATATGGCCGTCATCTTTGTATCACTAAAAAAGAAGGAATAGAACAATCGACGGGCTCAGCGTGCGTCCATTCCGTCACAATGAAAACAAGACAAGCAGCTGTGAAGGTGAGATGCTCGGTTTGTCGGAAAAGCTGGCACTCACTCTTTTGGCGTCTCGCTTTTGGCGGGGTCTTTCAGATACAGGGAGAAGTCAATGACGCCCACCTAAAGGGGGGGAGGGGTGATCACTGTGTGTGCCGGATGATCCGCCGCTCAAGGGAGAAAATGAGATGCAACAGCTTTGAGGCGAAGCCCCACGAAGTCCGTCGGCACTCACCTGAGTGTCAAGATCCTCCCCTTTTATACAAAGGTTAGCGTCAATGACGTTGAGGCCCACCAGCAGTCCCCCCATCACCGCTCCCTCCTCCTCCACCATCAACGCTCCGGAGTCATAAAACTCACTAAAGAGGAGTCAGACACAAAGGGAATTGGAAAAATAACTTATTTAAAAACTGTGGAGGAATTTGCTGTTAGCAGAGAAATGAGCATAAGAAGCCGCATTAAGCCCGCGTGACTCCTCATGGTTACGAACCTCAGGAGATCTTTGCGGTCCAGCAAAGCTTTCATGTAGTCAGCTACAGTCTTCTGCATGAGCGCTAAATGCAGCCAAGCCCTTCCTCTGCCCAAGCCGGTCCTGAAAAAGAAAGGAATCCATCGATTGGCGACAGAAGTCTACTTCACATTGGCGGCATACTGGAAAATGGCTTGCAATGGCGTACTTAATGCCGGGCAGGTCTCTGGCACTTGTGGCAATGTTAACAGACTCTGGACACAACTTCTCCACCAGCTCCAGAGGGCCCCATATGGACTTGTTCTGCCCAATGAAGGATTTTTTGGCTGAAAACAAAATTAAAATGTAAAAGTAATTTCCCGCTGGGGGACGTGAATTCGTTCAGAGAGGTCAGCCTCGTGGACGGCCTCACCTTTGAGCCCGTGCTTGAGGCAATGCTCCAGGACGATGAAGAACTGCTGCAGAGGAGGGTACTCGGAGTCCAGCGTCCTGCCCAGACTCATGGAGGACTGAATCAACACTTTGATGCTCAGCTTCATCATGCTGAGGAGGTTGGATCTCTCTATTGCCATGGGGTCTTTGGGGGGCACAACTGTCGAAGGATGCAAAGGAGGAGGGAAAGCGCTGGATGAGAGAACTGTCACACATATGCGGGCTCGGTTGGGTCCACGAAGTGCAGAATAAACACCGCGCACGTTAGTGGCGAACAGCGAGATCTTTGTAGTCGCGAAACAACTTTGCTCTTGAAAGTCACGTGTCCCGATCGGCCGAATTAAAAAAAAATAGTTTGCCAGAGGAAGTGGAGACGTGAACTTTCTGGCTTCAGCTGAAGCAAAACCAGCAGCGTCAAGAGTGTCAACGAAAGGCGAACAATAACCACCCACCTGGAAGCGTCTTGGAAGTGTCGCCGAGGTCATTTTGCGACTCCCAATCCCCCGGAGCGCTCGCAGCGGATCCGGTCGAGAGGCTCCTCTGGGCGGCCGCGTAGCTCACCCCGCTGCTGATGGTCTCCGTGGCCTTCCGAGCCAGCGACCGCAGAGGAGCCGACCAGCCGCTCTCCGCCGGCCTCTCCGCCCCCTCCGGGCCGTCGCGGTCGACGTCGAGCGCTGCCTCCGCGACTTGTGGCTCATCGAGCTGCTGCTGTGCTTCGCTCTGCTCCACAGCCGTGTTTACCTCCTTCGCCTCGTCGGCCATGTTTGCCGCCCCCTCCCTCCCAGGGGGCTTTTCTTTCTTCTTCTCTTCAGTTGATGACAGGTAGGAGGTGCGGTTATATACGCGCCATCGCCACCTGCTGGACCGGGGAGGTGCGCGCACAGTGAATACGTACAGGTATCACTGTTCTTATCTGGCTCCCAACGCTTACAGATATCACACTGTGGCTGTAGAAGAAAGTCCTCATACGCATGTTACGAAAACAACCTTTGCCTGAAGACCACGTAAATTATTATTAGGTTACTGACAGGATGATGTGCGCGATGAGAAACCCAAACAGGGACTTCTCCTCTTTTACAATCTCCAAACAAGTCTCATTGAGCACCTTCTGTAGTGCTCTCCAGCTGTGAAGCGGTTCCTAGTTTAACCACGTGGTGGCGCAGACAAGCTGTGCGTCATTCTGTGCTTTTTAATTTATTCATCTGCCTAAAGAAACAAAACACTTTTAAACGTGAGTAAATAAAAGTAGTATTTGTTTTATTGCTTACGCTTTTTCATTATTAGTATTATTACTGCATTGTAAACACATCTATCTATATATCTCTCAATCACTCAACAGACACTGTGTTTTTTTTAAGAAATGGCACTTTTTCTTCTGAATAATGGGGCCAGCACATTGATGTTTAATAACGTCCGTTTATAGAGGATGTACAGTAGGCTCAATCCCGGCCATCCCGGCTGTGCGTGGGGCGCTGAGCAGCTTCTGTAGGCGTGGTGCAGCGAGCAGCGGCGGCCATAAATACCGCGGCGGCTGCGTCCGTGCGCTCCTTCACTGCGCTCCTCCGACGCGCCGACATCCACGACTCCAACACGCGGAACTAACTCACACAAGCGCACAGAGAAAGCGAGAGAGAGAGAAAGAAAGAAAAGAAACAAGGGGAAGGAATACAACTTCATCGTATTTTTTTTTATTTTCCCCGCACAAAGGAGAAATCCCTGGACGTTTGGTCATGATGAGGATTTTCGGTGTCGTGCTCCTGCTCGTCCACGCCTCGGGTGAGTTGCACTTTGAGTGGCCTTATATTGTTTGACAGCGTGGCTGTTTACATGTGTTGTAAATTTCAGAAGCTTTAAGGACTTTTCATGATGACAGGCTACCCGGCAGCCAAGCGGGTCATCCCTCTATTTTAGAGCATGCTTTATGCAACTGGATACATTTATTTTTAACTCATAGTCTTGCCTGACATTAGCTAACGGTCTGTCCATGTATTTCGTGTGTGTGTGTGTGTGTGTGTGTGTGTGTGTGTGTGTGTGTGTGTGTGTGTGTGTGTGTGTGTGACACACAGGGACTATATGCCAACTTCTATTTGCCCTCCACTCCCCCTCGCTCCCCCTGCGTCCCCCCTCCATGTAAACTGCCCTTTGCCCAAGGGCCTGAACCTCTAGTTCCAACTCCACTTTTGGCCCGGCTTCCACTCTGCCAAAGTGCTCTTGAGCAAAGGGAGGTAAAGAGCTGCCAACCCCTCCGAGGAACACGCTCTGATCTGAGCTTGTTCCTAACAGGGATCAGTATGATTCCACTGAAAGCCACAAATCCTGAACCGTAGCATCTTAGTGCAAGACATGTTCCAACATGCCCTCACAGGTCCTCCCACCTTGGCTCACCAACCCGTTTGCTCTGTTCTGCGTGTGTGTGTGTGTGTGTGTGTGTGTGTGTGTGTGTGTGTGTGAGGCATACGCCGATGCAATTTTCACATTTTGAACCCTCTTTTTCTTTTTCTTTCCTCCAGTGGTGTCCCGACAGGCCAGCGGTGCCGCAGTTGACAGATATGAAAGCGACAGGCAGCGGCACACAGCTGTGATCAACTTGGACACCACCAAAAACAGGAGGGTGGAGGAGGAGAGTATGGCCGCGACAACAGCGCAGTATGGTCATGAGGGCGTGGAGGAGGATTATTATGAAGACGAGTATGAAGATGCCCTGTCTGGAGACTACGCCGACTTTCCACGAAGTAAGGGGGCTTGCCACTTCTCAGGTTCCTCGTCGTTTTCTTTTCATATGCAAATGTAATAACACCATTTTTTGTTGTGTGTATAGTTGCCATGGTGAGCAAACCCAAAGACATGTCTACCATCCTGGTGACAGAAAGCCCGGAAGTTCAGAGGACGAGAAGAATGGGAAGGAAGAGGGGGAAGGGAAAGGGACGGAAGAGGAATCCTTGCCTGAAGAAGTATAAAGATTTCTGCATTCACGGCACCTGCCAATACAAGCGGCACATCCGTAGCGCGGTCTGTGTGTAAGTATCTCTAAATCCATCTGCGCACCGTCCCCGGGCCGCGGATCCACCAAAGTATTAACCGACTATCATTCTCCGTCCCGTCCCCAGGTGCCACACAGGCTATTCTGGAGGAAGATGTGAGTTCATCATGTTGCCCGTGGAGAAGCGCCCGGAGGGCTACAACCGGACCACGGCCCTGGCCGTGGTCGCCGTGGTGCTTTCGTCCATCTGCCTCACCATCATAGTCCTTTTGTTGTTGCTCAGGTAGGTGAAACACACACGGGACGCACTCACGAAAAACGCACTAACAAGCCGCACACACATAGGGGGCCTTCCTCGGTAACCCGGCATATACTTCTGAACATAAATCTGAACCAGCTCCTTTTCCTTTTGTTGATCACAGGTTTCACAAGCGGGGAGCGTATGATGTGGAGAGCGAAGAGAAGGTGAAACTGGGGCTCGCGTCCAACCACTGAGGAGACCGAGAGAGGTGAGCGGTGAGGAGCAAGGCTACGAAAACATTGTCATTTACCTTTCTTTCTTTCTTTGTCGCAAAACAAAATACCATTTTACTCATTGCCTCCCCTCCTTTTTTTTTTTCATGTCAGGCAAAAATGTGGAAATTCTACCTCAAAATAGAAAAAGAGAAGTGAACTGTTATGGGAAGGTCCTGGAGGTGAAACAAAAAAAAAGGATCGCACGGGAAGGAGGGAACCAGACTTGCTGTCTGCCTCAACCCCCTTTGCTAGACTTAGTTCAGTTGAAAAGGTTGAACATATTCCTGAAGGCCTCAGAAGAAGTCGGGCCACCTGAAACTGGAATACTACCGGCCCAGAGGGCGGACTTGAGATGTGATGAGCCGTAGATTTTGAGCACGAAAAAACTAGAAGAAGGAGAAGAAGAGAAAATGACATGACTGCGTGCTGCTTCCTGACTGAGGGAAAAGAGGTCGTTTTGGACTGAACTGAACTAGATTTTTAACCGAAGCATTTTGTATTTTCCTGCACAAGTCCATCTTTGTTCTTTTTTTTGTACAGTAAACAATATATTTATAATTTTAATTTATTTATTTATGCTAACTGTATTTATAGAGATTTTAACCACCTTCGATCGTTTTTAAAATATTGATGTTACAGTTGTTTTTATATTTCTTATTAGGCGATATTTATTTATGGAGCAGAAAAGAAAAGAATGCTGAAGTTCATTGAGATATTCAGTATTTCATAAAGAGGGATTTGATTCATACACTATATGATTTCTGGCTTTAAATGTGGCACTCAATAGAGGATCAATAGCACTGTGATTAATAGATTGATTGTTGAATAGACATGATCGTTTTTTTTTAAATGATTCAGGCTAGTTTCACTGAGGGCAACGCCTTGCTCACACTCACACCTGGAAGCTGCCCAGTGCAACCAGTTGTGTCGGTTAGCCACTAGGCAGGTTAGGGCCTTGCTCAAAGGCACTTTGACGTTCGTAATGGGGTAGAAGCTGCTCTCACACCCAATGTTGTCCTGCCAGTTTGGGGTCTTCTGCCGCAGTATTTTAAGATCAGGTCGACGCCTGTCATTACGATACACTGCACCTGCTGTGTGTTGATCAAACGCAAAATAAAAACTGCCCACGGCGACTCTATTCTTAAAAAGCGTTCAAAAGCGAGTCGAAATATCAAATGCACTGTAGCCAGAATTTGGTATGAATATGGCGTCATGTTGTCTTAGTGGAGTAAATCCTTCATATCTGTGTTAAGCAAAAAATAAAACAAAATGTGAATTACAGTGTTCCACCCCTTTCAAATCTTGTCCTGCAGTTTTGAAGTGATTTTTATTCATGCGATTTTTTTTTTTTTCAGAGCAAAATAAAAAAGTCAAAACCGACTTAGTCTCATGTAATCTCTACTTCATTTCATCACACCTTTGTGCTCGTAGTATTGTTACACATTTACTATGTTGAACTGGCAGACCAGTTACACTAGGTCAGGTTTATTTTTGTCTTTTGGTTCACATCCTGTTCACACATTATGTGATGATGTGATATTTTAGGGTGGCCCGTCCGGAAAACGAAAACTTGTGTTCTTTTGTCCGTTTAGTGGCTTTAGTTAAAGTAAATATAATATTTGTATATCCCTCGTCAATGACGCGTACGTCACCGCTTTTAACCAAAGCACCTGTATCCTGTCCATTAGTCTGAAAAGGCAAACATGTTCAGTCATTGCTGTGTAGATATAGTGAGAAAGTCCTCCTAAAGTGTTTAAATCTTCCTATCTGGGTAGGACATGAAATGTTCACTGTTTATTTTCCAATTGCACTGTAAAACAAATGATTGTTCGTTTAAATGAACAAAGGCCTTTTTCTTCGGACAAAATATAAAAAACGACATTATCAGTTTCATGTGTTGTCTACAGCATCAACTGACGGATCAATCTCAATGAGTGCGGTCGGGAATCACTCAATCTGTAAGTACTGAGCCGCGGGGAACAGATGTGCGGCCTGATGTTCGGCCACAACGCGTCGTGCCACGTCGCCACACACTATCGCTAACACGGCCAACAGATGTCTTGTTGAAAAGACGCACCGCCGAGTCCAACATCTGAGACCTGTACCGGCCCAGAATGTTCAGAGAGACCGCATACGGAAAATTCTAGCAGGATGCAACAATGCTGTCATGCACGCTGCACGCAGGTTCGATGCGGGTGAGGAAAGTCAGAAGGCCCAGCTGGACTCAAAGGCAGACTGAGACCCAGCCATTTGTTAGTCACCCCTTGAAGTCACCTCCTACACGGATGTTGTTACACAGACACTATGCGTGTGTGAGTGTGTGCTGGTATGTGATGGAGTAATACCTCGGCGGTGGGTCAGTGTGTTACAAGGGTTAACCGAACACTACAGAAAGTACACAGCCAAACAGGTTGTTTACATGTTTGCCAGGGGACAGTTTCAAAAAACCTTTTTGTGGCTTTGATTCCAATACTGAATAAACAAAGTACTGTGGGACTCAAACGTTCACACTGGGCGCTGGTATAGTTGAAGACAGATGTTCAGCTGAACCATAAGGGTGTGGTGCCTCATTCAGGACTCAGCCCTCATATTGTGCAACTTAAAAGACAACAGTTCAGCATTTTACTTCCTCAGTAAAAAAAGCCACCCATGCACAAGTGTCAAGCTTGTGAAGTAGATGAACTCCATGCATGTCAGATATACTAAGTTGAATCCTAATACTTTATTTGTCTTTTAATTGGACCCAGAAAATATACAAAGAAAAGATACTTGATTCTTTCACATGAATGAAGACAATGTAAAGATACAAAATCGGATGGTGTACGCCGATGTATCATGAAAGACCTTTTCGGTGTTTCCTAAGCATTTGGGCATCTTGAGGGCCTTCCAAGCCACAAAGTGTGAGACGAGACAACCAAGTTAGTTTTTAGGGGCAGAATTTGCACGGCTGTAGTTCCCCTTAAGACCTGTAAAGAGACTGTGATTCAGACCCGTTGGATAATCTGCACAGTGCAGTCACGAAGCTGAAACAGAACTATTTGTATTGACTCATGAAAAGGTAATATTTTGAATATGCTGACGATCATGGTCTCCGAGTTACAAAAGAACGCAGCTAAATTTGCCACAGGATTTCACATGCAATACGCGCGCGCGCGTGTGTGTGTGTGTGTGTGTGTGTGTGTGTGTGTGTGTGTGTGTTTGTGTGTGTGACAGGGGCCGGTCGTTTACCGTAGTGGAGCCACCTAATCCCGGCCTCTCAATGTCAAGTAGCAGAGCTCACAGAAATAGTGCCATGCAGTCATGCTCACATAGCTGCTATTCCCGGGGCTAGTGGCCACCAAAGAGCCAGAATGCAGAGAGAGAAGGCCTGTTTCTCAGCGGCGCGGTGGGCCAAAGCCAGGAAATAATGTCCGGCATGGTGGCCCATCACCGGGCATCAGCGTTGCATCAGTCCTGAATTTTTCCATGTACGGTCACAGTAAGATCTGCGCTGTCTCTTGTCCTCTCCTCCTGAGTGTTCTCAAATGTTCCTAGAGAGACTCATAGAGGACATTGTACACAGATCAGGAGGCATTTCCTTACCGGGTGGCCAAAATTTGTTGGATGTGGAGGATTTCATTGTGTGCCACACTCCATGGGAGTTGCCTGCGTACCAAGAACGCAGTTGTGTTTGATGCTTTAACTCTAACAACCTAATATTTCTCTCTAAAGCCTTTGTGAAAATATATAAATCCATCAGCAAAGTCAACCGTTTTGATACATTGCCAAATGGACTTGAGATCATCAGAAGCCGTTGCGGTAATTTGGAACAAACCTGTGTGAGGACAGAGAGTTTGTTGTGAAAGGTGTTTCCTGCCCCACTGAGTGGGAATACAATGGGTGGTTTCCACTCATATGGAAGTGCGCACGCCAACAGTTGGAAACACAATTATTGTCTGACTGGATATCATCAACAGGAACACATTATTACCTGGAATCAGTGAGTGTGGCTCAGAGTTCAATCGAAAATAAGATGTGTTTTTTCACGTGTGTGTTTGCTCCTTTCAAGTGGAAAAGTGGAAGTGCCAGCGCGGCCTCGGTGTGCCGCACAGGCCTGATTGAGAAGGTCACAACGGGGACATATTTATTGTCGCATCACAAAAATAAGGGTGCGCTGGATCAGTGCATTGTACAGCCAGTTGTCCCCTCTACACGCTGAGGATGGGCTGGTCAGTGGGTTTTGACAGGATTGACAGCAACCAAGAGAAGGAGCGAGAAGAAAAGCCGACGTGGTAACACGAGAAGAGAGGAACGAGAATGGGTGAAGGTGAGAACTTCTACTTAAGAGGGTGCAGACTTGTCTGGATAAAAAAGATTAAGGAGTTAGAGGAGCGCCGTCACTGCCCAATTTAGCTCTCACTCTTCCTTCTCTGGATCTTTACTTTGATTCATCCTTCAGTTCCTGTGGACTGACTTCATTCCTGTCCGCCTTACATCCCACCTCCGTTTCCTCATCCTTTTCCTGTCTCCTTTTTCTTCCTTCACCCTTCAAACTGACTCAGAGGCCATCTCACCAAGAGGGAGAGAGAAGCCACACATAGTTCCCCGCAGCCTGCAAAAGGAAAGGGAAAATATAAAGTAATGGAAGATAATTATTTATTTATTTAGAAGATGTTTACTTACTGACCAACCCTACAAAATTGTCAGATTGAAAACGGGTTATTCTTGATGCCCACTCCCTCCATAAGCTGAGCTCCTTGAACTGAACTAGAACTTCTGTCCAGGAGACTGCGGGTTTTGCCCCGTGCGAAACCGAAATAAAGTTAATTTATTATCACTTCTGTCATTGGTTACGTGACTGGTTGTTGTTTGCCGGTTAACTCAATGTCAACCACGCTCTTTTCCTTAACGTAACTAAGAAGGTTTTGTATCTCGCCGGGTGTCTAGAGCTTCATAGCGAGATGCTTAAGGCCAATGGTGAAACGTTTTTTAGCTTCTGGGTTAACTGTTGGGGATTTAAGCAACTCGAATGCTGTGCAGCGGAAAACTGCAATGTATTTGCATCAGATCATGTAATTGCGACGGATCAACGGCTTTAGTTGAAGAGACACCAGATATATCGGAAATGCTGTTACAGATTATTCGAATCTTATAGTTACGGTTCGATTGATGATGGTCAGGTTCAAAATTTCGTAAGCACCCACAGACAACCAGATTGGCGTCTGCTGTTAGTAGAGTTGAAATAACAGCTCAGCTCAGTGCCGTCACTCTCTACTTGCTCTCTAAGGCCAGCAGGAGTTGGCCAAGGATACCAGCAGATTCCCCTCTGCTGATGTCACCCTGCAGGACAGACACTTGCCATGTATCATGGTCACACCATTAAATTCTCACTGAGGTCTATTTAGGCCCCAAGGAGGCTGATGTTGGCATCGCATTACTTACTGGGTAAGAGGAGAAGAGAGAGTCAGAGACAGTAAGGGAGACCAGGGACCAGGGTGAGGAGGAAACGAGGTAAGGAGACAGAAGAAAGGAAGGAAGAGATGAAGAGTGAAGCGAAGACAAAGAAAAGGAAGCAACTGAGCATAATTCATCATTCCCTTAATTGCCATCAGTACTAGCACCCACACACACACACACACACACACACACACACACACACACACGCACACACACACAGCTTTAAAAAATAACATACAAAAATGGCATGAACGGCACAAACAGACTAGATGATGGCATGCTTGACTCATCTGTTTCGACAATGTGCCCTGTCATTCTCTGAAATATCATTTTTAAAACTCCTCCCATATCCGGCCAGTGCATGTTTGCAGAGCACTTAATGCTCAGAGGATCAGCCCAACGCGTGCACACCACAGCTTATGACAAAAGAGAGGCGGATGTCAGAGCAGACGGCGGCGTGCTCCAATCATGGCTCCATCCATTCTTCTTCACTGTGCTTCCTTTGTGGTCGGCTGACGTTGAAACACCCAATCCCCCACGCCCCCTCTCCCCTCACCCTCAAGACAAACACTTTAATCTTCTATGGTTCCAGTTTGATCTTGAAAGTGTTGTTAAAGAAAGAGGGCAGGGATTTTCCTTGTGGAGAAATACCTTAAGGTAAGATATGTGAAGGAGCGCTCAAATCTCTCAGGTCTTCCATGCACTCTATGGGCTTAATAGAATAGAGCTCTTCACGTGTGCATCGTTTGGGTTGAAATCTGATTCAAAATACATATTGTTATTATTTTCATATTTTTTTGTTTTAATTTAGATTTCTGACCAATAATGTAGGAAATGAAAATACTATGGTTAGATTCAATTCACCAAAGTCACTAATATGTTTCCTAACGTCTAATGTGTCGGATGGACACGTAATCCAAGAACACTGGTTTTACTGTCCAAAC